AATAGGGCTAGGCGGGGCTTAAGCCCCGGGGCCCAAGCAAGGAGGGGGGCCCGTGATTGGCTGTGGAGCAGATACTGCAAGCCATCTGATTACCAAAGCCTTACCACGCAACGTCCCCCACAAATTATCCCTGTTATTTAGTTGCACTTTGCCTTATATTCCATGTATTATCATGGAATCATTATCATTAATAGAGACGTTCGCAAAGACCCGCCTTTTTTAGGTACTATGTGACGGACGGGCCACGAGCCAGGCGGCTCTCGCGAGTCACGCACATCATGTTCTCATGCACTCACGCAGTGAAAAATACTTCGCGGGGCAAAGACTAACGTTACACCGAGTGATTACGAGAGAGAGTTCAGAGCAGCTTACTGTTGATATGAAACAAAGTCTCAACTTTCAAATATTGTCATTTAAGTAATTTAAACATTACCGTTTTCAAGTTCATGTCCACCGACTGACAGCTTTGTTGTCGGACAAAGTTGCGTATTCGGCGTTATGATTGGCCAGGCCACCTGTCAATCAAACCCCCTAGGCATGCAGGGCCAACGGCTCTGAGCAGGGCATGGTAAATTGAAACGTCAGGTTTTAATTTGATATGACAAATATATTTATTCTATATTTAACTTGTGAACGACCGACCTGCTGCTGCACGTAGGCCTATAGATGATGGCTGCCTGCGCCTTATTAGAATAGGTTATATATCAACCAATAAATCGCCTTTACTCTTCTCTTCATTCGAGTCTATTCTTAAAACACAGCGTCATCATCGACCCCACAAACTTTCGGTAAGTTTGAATATTAACTTGATGGATGTATAATTTTGCTTTTTGTGTTTGATTAAACTCTATATTCGCCTAAAGGACTGGCGATAATATATCCGGTAGAAATATTTAAATTTTGCTGCGCCATCATGATGTAAGTTTATCATTTAAACGCGTTTTTAAACGTTGTGGTTTGGATACAAAATATTTCAAACTGCTCAGGCACAGTGAGCAGCGGGAGAATTTATTTTGTAAATGCTGGTTTTGAGACCAAGGTGAACCATAGACTGTGGTGAACTTGAGACGGTTTTGCACAGCGCACTTGAATCCGACTCTGAGGTCTCAAAGTGACAGACGCTGCTAATAAAGCTGCTGTCGCCATGTGTGTCAATAATGTTAATCAAACATCAGAAAGAAAGTAATTTACTGCATTTGACTGAATTACTTTTGCAAAATTAACAAGAATGAATGTTGAATTTATAGTGAAAACCATGTATTGTATATTTGATTACTTTATATAATATTATTCAGTGCTTTAAGTTTTTCATAGGTCGATTTATTGTGCCTTTTTCTATTTTAATTTGTGACTCTTGTCATCAGTAAGCTTGAGATTATTTTCTTAAGCTACTATTATTTTTTGGTGATATTGAAATTGGTCACAATAATTATGAAATTTTAGTCAATACATTTTGATATGATAAAAAAATCATGTTAAAAGTAACATAACTTAACTGTGAAGTATATCATGGATAAAATGACTCGTAGGCTATAATAATATAACATTTAGCTCATGTAGTTGGCGACCTAAAGTGGTGGGGGGGCCCTGCAGTAACTCATAGCCCCGGGGCCCAGTGAGCTCTTAATACGGCCCTGCCTATATTTGTACGGTTTAAAAAAATTGATGGTTTAACTTAAATTAAGTAACCTGGTTGCCTTAATTTTAAGTCGATTGAACTGGAAAAAGTGAGTTAATAAAATGAAGGAGATTGATTTAATCATCAGAAACTCAAAATAATAAGTTATCTGAACTAAATAAATTATTTAAGTTGATTTGACATGAGACTTGAACATTTAAATAATAAATCTTGAAAAATTTTTTTACAGTGTATTCATAAATGTGTGCAAAAAATTTAGTTAAAAAAGATATCTTTTTCAACACATTAAAATTCTGTGTAAACCTGAAAATTATAGCTGGTCAAATGTTTAAAATATTTGTGATTGGTCACTTTTCCATTATTTAGAAAACCGGAATGCATTAAGATGTGGTAATGTCAAATTCTCATAATAATCCTAAAAGTTTTTTGTTGTTGTTGTTGTCGAGTAGGCCTATCTTATTTGATACATTAGGTTCGTATTATGATAAAGGAGAATATGAAACCTTTATTAAGAATCTAAAGAATTTATTCCGAGGCCCAAAATGAGCAAAATTATGTAATTTGGTGCAGTTGTTGATGTTTGTATATCCCAAAAGTTAAATGAAATTCTGATGGGCTTTAATGTAATTTCTTTAAAAAAAAAAAAAGAAACAAAGGTAAACTTTCACTTGCACAACAGAAGGCATGTAGTAGAATATGTACATTTTATATAAACAGGTGTTTAAGATTACAGTTATTTTGATTAAAGATTATGAGGGCACATGAATTAAAAATAAAAAGTAAATATGTGCATTGATAATAATAAATACTGCAATAGTCCTTAAATAATAATCAATCTTGATTTTTACACCATATTACAACGTTTGATCCTCCTCAGATGATGAACGGCCAGATCATGTATTCTAACACGTTGCGCTATACACCAGAGCCTCAAGGGACAGTCATCCGAGCGGTGCCCCTCACGCTAAACATCCAGTGCCTATACAACAGGTAAACCTTGAATCTGAAGAGGTTTCCGGAGTTGGAAATGAAATTCACCTTTTGTTTTGTTCACCTCATCTTTTGTTTCCTCCAAATTCTAGATTTCATTATTCCTACAAAATAGGCTTCCAGCCTGTGCTGAGGGAGCACAAGTTTCACAAGATTTTTGAGCGTAGAGCCAAGTTTAGTATTTCTGTGTGTAATGGTAAGCTTTTCCTCTCCTTATATTTAATTTCATGTTTTTGTTGGTACTCATCAGTCTATTAAACTGTGTGAACTCCAGAACGCTGGGAAAGACTTGAAGAAAATGTGAGTTTTATGCTTGGGGAGCCCATGTATTTTGAAGTCAGCGCTGCTCATGTGTCCAAAGACGAGATGATTTTTGTTGACTCCTGCTATGCGACAGCATCCAGAGATCCAAAGTCTATTCCACAACACAATGTTATTTGTAATTATGGGTAAGCTCTTTGGTACACTCTGCTTTTTTTTAACATAAGGACACTTTTAGTGTGGAGAAAGAATAAAATTAAACACCAAACCTCAATTTCAGGTGTATGGAGGACAGCAGAAGACAAGGAAGTCTCTCCCGCTTTTTCCAAAGACAGTCAAATATTATAAGGTTTTCGGTTGATGCCTTTTTACTCCCCCAAGTTACTGGCACGGTAATGTTTTCATTCTTAAATAGGTTATATATATATATATATATATATATATATATATATATATATATATATATCACATGCTTGTATATATTTAAGAAATATTTTCATGTATAAACTGTATAAATATTTTATATATAAATAAAAAAAAATTCTTAAATATACATGCATGTGTGTGTATTTATATATATATATATATATATATGGAAGCGATTAATCGTTTGACAGCCCTATATATATATAAATTGTATGACAGACCTAATATATATATATATATTTTAGGGCTGTCAAATGATTAATAACGATTAATCGCTTCCAAAATAAAAGTTTAATAAAAGTAATAAGTTTTACAAAATAAAAGTATGTGGGTGCACTGTGTATAATTATTTTGTGTATGTGTGTGTGTGTGTGTGTGTGTATATATATATATATATATATATATATAAATACACACACACACATGCATGTATATTTAAGAAAAATATATTATTTATATATAAAATTTATATATACAGTTTATACGTGAAAATATTTCTTGGATATATACAAGCGTGTGTGTGTGTATATATATATATATATATATATACATGTATACATACATACATATATAGTCATATACATATATAGTCGCTTTAGAAGATATACTAAAATATTTGCTGAAATGTCAGGGGTGAACTCATATAACTCATACTATATATATATATATATAATAAAACTAGAGACTATTTGTTATTTGTAGGGTGGGGTTTTGATATTGGGTTTATTCTTAGTTCCACACCTTGAAGTCTTAGCTGCAGATAACTTGTAGAATATTGATTGTGGGAATTGACTGATTTAACATGCATTGACACAGAAAAAATTTAAGTTAATGAACAAAATGACCAAACCCATAAATTGTCTGAGAGAATTTTTGTATAGAAATGGCAACATAAAACATGTGACAACTTGCCCCTGTCTGATATGTAGGTATGGATATGTCGATCTGTCTGTCATGCATGAAATGAATGTTTGTGTTGATTACATACATGTATATTGTGTAAATGTATGTGTTGATTGCATTTTTTCCTCATTTTTACAGCACTTTTACCTGCATTGCACAATATCGGTTCACGATGCCACAAGCGCTTCAGCAAAATCCTGCACTTATAACCATGCAGAGAGAGGGTGAATAATTGTATTTCACATATGTGCAAAATACTGTGTAAATGCAGAGAAGCAAGATTCTAATCTTGTACCAACAGGTGGGACGAACTCTACACTGATGCGTCCGTTTGTGCATGTTGTGATTCAGTTTGTGAAATTGAAGCAACTTGTAAGTAGAATGCATCAGCGACTATCAAAACTTGAAATGAAAACCCTATACATTAATGTTTTGTTCTTGCTTTTGCAACAGCTTCTTTGCCCCGTTCAACACAATCTCTGGTAACTAGTCTACCCTGGGTAATGGACAAGAACGAACAATATTTAATCAAAGGAAAAGGATTGTCCGGTGTTCAGAAGGACATAGAGGAGGTGAAGTTCAAGAGCGCAAATGGAATCGGTGAAGAGGAAGATGATCATTACACTGTGGGGGCTGTGTCTGATACTGAAAAACAAATGAAAGCAAAAGAGAATAAAAAGATGCCTGTGAAAGACTTGGATGAGGATGTAGAAGTAATTGTTGGGAAAGAGGAAACAACTGCTATAGAGTTGAAGGATGAGGGGGATCGTTCTGGAAAAGTGATGTCTTTTGGAGAACAGATGGATGGTGTTGTAGAGCTCGAGCAGGGTGCTGGGAGACTCAAGAGCGCAGAAGGAATCGATGAAGAGGAAGATGGTTACACTGTGGAGACTGATACTGAAAAACAAATTGAAGCAAAAGAAGAAAATAAAAAGATGCCCATGAAAGACTTAGATGAGGATGTAGAAGTAATTGTTGGGAAAGAGGAAACAACTGCTATAGAGTTAAAGGATGAGGGCGATCGTTCTGGAAAAGTGATATCTTTTGGGGAACCGATGGATGGTGTTGTAGAGCTCGAGGAGGAGGCTGGGAGTCTCAAGAGCGCAGAAGGAATCAGTAACGAGAAAGACGGTTACACTGTTGAGACTGAAACTGATACTGAGAAACAAATCAAAGAAAATAAAAATATTCCCTTGAAAAACCTTGACGAGGATGTAATTGTTCAGACAGAGGAAACAACTGCTATAAAGGATGAGGAGGGCGATCGTTCTGGAAAAGTGATGTCTGTCGGGGAACCGATGGATGGTGTTGTAGCACTCGAGGAGGATGCTGGGAGTCTCAGGAGCACTGAGCTTTTGGAAGATGTTAATGATGACAAAGGGTCCAGCAAGAGTGGATTAAATCAACTGATTGACATTACCAGAGAAGAACTGTCCAAATATAAAATAAAGCCTGAAGTTTTTGAGAAGAGCATGCCGGTACGAACCACAGGACCCTCATACATGGCGATTGGTGAAGAGGTATTTTTAAATGCCAAACAAGAACCAATGGAGTGGAATAGAGAGGAACATTAACCCACCCAGTGAGCGAGAAATGGGGGACTGACGTTTGAGATCGTTCCAGGGTCTAAAAGGTATGAATTTAGCTGGACTTCATGAGAGTTGCTTGATATTTTTCTAGCTTTGTTTTTTTCTGTTTTAGGATCCTCGATGGACCTTTTTTTTGGAGTTGCATTTGTGGGGCAAAAGATCTCTGCATACTTTCTTAAAGTCAGTGTTTTGGTCATGGATTTAAGTGAATTCACGAATTTGCATAATAGGAATGCTTCAATGTACAGTCCTGACATCCACTGTAATGTCATGGGAATATTAAAACGTTTTTGATTGAGCATTAGTTCTTCTTTACTGATTCCGTATGTCCTGTGACCTTTTTGATGCCTCTCATTAAATGAACAATTTATTTTTAACAGGAAAATCTCACAGGTCATAATTTATCCCAATATCAAAAGAAAAATATTTAAAGAAAATTTTAGCAGATATTTATGACCATTAAGATTTTCTTTATTTTACATAAAGCTTTGTTTGTACTGATTTTAAAATTAATAATGAAAATATTAAACGTATACAATAATGATATTTTGGTTACACTTTACAATAAGTTATCATTGTTAACATTTATTAATGCATTAACTAACACAAACTTACAGTGAGCAATACATTTTTGCAGCAATTGTTTGTTAATTAAAATGTTCATGTTAGTTCACAGTGCATTAACTAATGTTTAACAGATACTGCTTTTGATATTATAAAAAGGTATTAGTAAATGTTGAGATGAACTAAGATTAATAAATGCTGTAGAAGTATTTTTCGTTTTTAGTTCATATTAAACTGTAGTTTACAAATGAAAACTATATTGTAAAGTGTGACTGAGATTTTTTTTCAATGGTCCTAAAATGGGTTTAATTTGCTTTATGCAAAATGCAAAATATATAATCTAATTTAAATAATATAACCTAAATCATAAGCAACTCTACTTGACGTTTGGAATTAAACTAAAGACTTCTTAGGAGGAATATGCAAAGGTATCATAAAGTAAAAATCAGCTGTTTTATATGATTCAATTTATATTATTCCTGGCGATGTCAGTTGTAGCTTGAGGATGGCTGTCAGTGTCAGATCCTCCACCTAAACATGGCCATAAACTCTCTAGAAAATAACAAGAGATTAGACATGGTCTGAATAAATGTTGTGACCAATAGACTAAGAATAAAGAACAGAGAAATCTCTAATGTAGGCTTACTGTCTGATTTAATGACCGTGCTGTAGGCGATGTCTAATTGTTAGTTAGTCACATCAGACCAAAATGCTTTCTGGATTATGAAATAAAGGAGATTAGGCATTAGGAGACTGAATTTGGATAACATTAAAGCCATCCTGTGTGAAAAAAGAGGGAGATGTCATTTTGCAGTATAACTCTGTTGTAGCCTATATTTGTGTGACCTGCCTCCCTTTGCATGTTGCTGTTCGCATCAGAGATTTTCGACCGAAATTATTTCTGAAATACAGTCAAGAGAAGTTTAGACATCACCAGGAAAATTTGAGGAACATTATAGACGGTCTGTAAATAATGTGACCGAGCGTCCATATTACAGGGTTCGCCTAACACTCAAAAATAAGTCACACTCGATCACTAACTTCTAAACAGTAAACACCCTTAAAGTACCCAGTGCGCATGACATATGCAAATCTACGGCAAGCCCCGAGGGGGAAAATACTTCTGTTACAATATTAATAAGTTACGTACAACAAGTATGTAAATTTACAATGAAATCTATTATTATCAGAGATAGATAAAACAATAATAACCAGGTATCATTTGATGACGTAAAAGAAACGCTGAATCTGTTTTGAGAACTGCTCAAAAAAAAAAAAAAAAAAACGGTTCGTGGAAATGACAGTGCTTGAAGACGACAGGTGCGTTGCTAATTAACTCACCCATCTCGGTTATGTGAAATATGTCAAGGTTGTTTGAGTGATTGTGAGTATTACTTTGATGAGGTTTAGAGATATGAAGCTTTATTTAACAGTATTATTTACTTTAGTGGTATTTTTCTCCAAATATGTTTACGCCTTACGAGCTGCGCTTAAACACGCCATCGATTCGACCTCAGGGTCGGAACTGGACATACGATTTGGAGAAGATTTTGAAGGATCTGCTGCTGGCTCGCCGTATTTGCAACTTCCCATTTTCCAGCATTCTAGAATCCCTCTTTTGGACAAAGTGCAGTTCACTCCAAAGCGTGGGTCGGGCCTTGAACAACTGCCCGAAGCGACGAAAGAAGTCCTCGTCCCGCGCGTCACTGTACGCGAGAGCTCCCGTCGACGCGGTCGATCACAACAAGTAAACGTCGTTTGCCTAAAGAAGAAAATGATGGTTCAAGTCAACAAACAGATTTTAGGACACGATAGCTTGGGGTCTGAGCTAAAACTGGGAACATGTGACGTCAGCAAGACTACAAAGCACTATCATGTGTTTATTTACGACATGGATCAATGTGGCAGTAAAAGACAGGTGTGCTTAGCTGGTTTGTTTTTCTTTGTCGTTTCTTTTTTGTTTGCATTTTTTCTTCCTTACTTAAGGGGCTACATATGTTGCTTATTGTATTTTTGTCTGTTACTTTTTTAATTTGATAACTTCACAATGGGCGTTTGCAAACATTGTGGAAACTACTATGCTACATGTTGAAATGGTATGGAAGAAATTAAAGGATTAGTTTACCCAAAAATCAACACATAAGAAGATATTTTGAAGAATATTGTTAACCAAACAGGCCCACGGCCTTATTGACGTCCAGTATGGAGAGAAAAAAAATACTATGGAAGTCAATGGGGCCCATCAACTGTTTGGTGAACGACATTCTTCAAAATATCTTCTTTTGTGTTCAACAGCAGACGAAATAAAACTCATACAGGTTTGGAACAACTTGAAGGTGAGTAAATGATGACAGAATTTTTAATTTTTTGTGTGGAGTATCCCTTTAAGGCACTTGGGAAAAAATGTAACTCAAAGTCTCCATGTTCACTTGATAAACTTTGAAATTATCTTTGTCTTTTTGAATGCAGTTAATAAACAAAAGAGTAACATATTCCAACATACTGCGCTACTCTCCAGAGGTGGAACCGTGGCCGATCCGCCGTGCCATGCCTTTCTCGCTCCCTGTTGAGTGTCACTTTAACAGGTAAATCGATGTCTTAAGTTGTACCAGATTTGTGTTGATTATATGTTCCACTTAAACTTGCAGTACATTTGTGTGTCCATTTTGTTGATCTGTTAATCAATCACTGATTTATTTTTTTAAACAAACACCCATAATCTTTTTTTTTTCCCCAGATATCATTACTCATACAAAATTGGTTACATACCACAAGTCAGGTTTCAGAACTACTTCAAGCCCCTGAGAACAGTGTACAGCGTTGTACTATCTCCCCGTGATGGTAATTAAGGTTTGACTAATGTAAAGTAGAACTCCATTCTGTTTCAGTCAATGAATCATCACGTGTGTCTGTCTTTTAGAGCTGTGGAGAAGATTATCCCCCACAGAAGAGTACACCCTTGGTCACCCTATGTACTTTCAGGCAGACGGACCCCCTCTTGCTGAGGACAAGAGGCTGTTTGTGGATTCCTGTTATGTGACTACCAGCAATTCTCGTTTGTCTATGCCACGATTTACAGTCATTGAAAACCATGGGTAACACTTTGTTAATTTAACCCTATAAAGCCTACTGCATCGAATTTCAAAGGAACACGTCAACTTTTTGCTACTTTAGCTTATTTACACGGAAATGAAAAGGATATGTATGGACTGACTCTGGGGGTATGGTGAATAAGCTAAAGTCCCAAAAAGTCGGCGTGTTTCTCTAAACTAAATTTCTAAATGATCAATATCATCCTTTGCTGAAAAGCCTGCTGTACACAATCTGCTACATGCCTTCTGTCATCTGATTGATAATTTATACTTTCTTAGCAGGCAAAACATCTTTTAGTATAGTTCTAAAACATCCCCTCTCAGGTTGTGGTACGTGCCTTTTTTCTGTGAAATAATTTTTATAAAGTTAATGTAAGAATACATTTTATATTTTGAAAAATATACAAATACATTTGAATTGAATATTATCAAATTATGTTTACTTTATCTATACAGACTTTTTATTTATTTTTTATTCTTTTGTAGAAAAATCAATGAATCAAACACAGGCTTTTGAGGAACGTTGATTTGTACATTTCTCAAATAGAGCATTGCATTGTGTTTTATCACCCCACAATTAAAACTACAGAGGTTTGATCACAAGCATTTAAATGTCATCTGACAGATATATAATTATGATCTGTAGAGTGACAATTGATATGTATAAGCATTTTATGTAGTCTGCTATACTGTTATAAAGATCTCGCTTTACAAGCTATCAGAATTTAATTTTAAGTTTTGACCATGTAAATCACTGCTACTGAATCAAATTGGAGATTTTTGCTCAGTTTTGGGCCTCTGGATAAAATTGAGGATTGTTTTTATTTTTCCTATTCGAGTGTGAGCTCCACATTCTTCTATATTGTACTATATGAGCTGTAAAAGCCTGATGTATCTCAAATTATACTCGGCCAACAACGCACATGCAAACCTTTTTTTTTTTTAGATTTCTTTTAAGGTTTTAAAACCGTTCCATTTTGGGGAGCCATTATTACATATGTCAAACTTTACCGGGTTAGGGCGAAATTGAAGACAAAACTTTATATTTCAGGTGCATGATTGATAGCATGAGCAGCAGGTGGTCCAGATTCATTCAAAGTGGACAAAGGAATGTTGTGCGGTTCTCATTGGATGCTTTTCTTTTCCAAGGAATGTTGGGAAAGGTAAAATAATAAAAAATTATACAAAAATAATGTTGCTGTCAAACAATTTTAGAAAAAACGTTGCATGCTTTTATGAATAAGAGGGCCAGGCTCATTTTATTTTATCAGAATAACATTTGAGTCTGCTTATTGAGGTTGCCTGTTCTTTTTATTCTCAGCATCTTTACATGCATTGTGAAATATCTGTCGGAAGTTTAGATCCAACGGCAAGTGGAAAGTCCTGCACTTATAACCAGTCAACAAAAGGGTATATTGAGTTTTGGTTTGCATTGTAATAATTCAAAACTGAATTGGTACTAATTCAGATAATTTCTTCTTCAGATGGGAAGAATTATACGGTTCAAATGCTGTGTGCCTCTGCTGTGACTCCACATGTCTGTCTTCTGACCTGCCTGGTGAGAAACCTCATGTTATCCTACTTTGAACCATTTGAATAGTTTAAAAGTCGGTTTTCGTGAAATGTTTTGTTTGGTATATAGATCTTTTCATTAAGGGTAGATGCAATAATGCCTGTAAAAGTCTTGCCTCATCATGGAAGGAATAAGATTTTATGCTAATCCCTTTTTAATTTTTCCATCTAGTGTCCAGTAAGGTCATCACCAGTGAACCCTGGATCATGGAGTCTGATTTGAACATAGTTGAGGAAGAGCAAACAACTCCATTCCTGCCAGAGGAGGTGGGAACAGGCTTTGTTCAAATAATAACCACACCGGCAGCTGAGATTAGACCTCGTCATTTTGTGCCAGTCTCGGCTGTGGTGGAAGAAGTGGAGGAAGACGACAAATTTGAGGAGACACGCAGAACCTTTGAGGAGGTATTTGGATTGGTCTAAACAAAGAAGACTTAATAAAGACATTTTGATTTAGTTCTCACAGCTTAATTGCACTTGAAGTGTTAATAAAAACATGACACACTTTTAAAAATTTGTATGTTTCCCCTCCCTGCCCTTTTTAGCTTTTTATATTGTGATTTTTTAGGTAATGTATCAATAGCTATTTCTATTCACTTATTTTATGCGAATTGTGGGATATTACAAAAAAAGCTAGATGGAAACACAAAGACATTCAAAATTTTAAAAACGCATATAAAAAACGTCTGCGTTCAATTGAGGTTGATAGATTTTTTTTATCTGATAAGAAGACATGCGCGAACTGTACCATGCATAACAGCAAATAAAATGAAAGATTCTTAAGATGATTGTGTCTCTTAGTAGAGATGCTATAGAGCAAAAGCCATTTTGAAAATCAGTATACAAATAAAATTAATTAACATTGTGCGTATTGAGCACACAAATTTTGAAAGGGCTATTTTTTAATGTAATGAATAGATGGGTAACATCTACAACAATAAAATTCACAGATGCATCAAGTGAGCTACATGTTTTATTGGTTTAAAATATAATGTTAAACATAGAGGAGTGACGTTATTTGATTAAAAATCAATGTCTGTACACAGGCACACTTGCATACAAAGGCATATTACATTTAAAACATAAGGGGGTGATTATGCTTTGTAGGGATGTCAGAGGAGTCTTTTCAAAGCCTTATATGAAACATGCAAAACCTATTTACAATTTAGCCCCGAAGACACAAGCTTGTGTTCGATTATGCATAAACTGTACAAAAAAAATGGCATGACATGGAGAACTTGATACTATGATATTGCTACAATGGTTTTTGGATTGTCTAATGATCCCCAAAAAGTTTCCAGTTTGTTATTCTGTTATTCTCGGTCGTTTTCAGCAACTTAACGAGTCTGAAAGTAAGTGAGGGCTTTACAGTTAGACCTTTTCAGTAATACGAGTTCAAATGAGAGTGAGTGCTGGGATGTCGTGGCATGGGTGAGCTGGGATAGACGACCCCTGTTGCTGAGTTCCAGTAAGTGGTAGGAGGCCCAAAGAAATTCCCAGGGGAAACTGGCATAGGGCTTGTATGAGAGCCCATGAAGTTCATTTTTGGCTGGTGGCTGTGGTAGCTCTGCACATACGGCACTTCGGCCTGGTATTTGAGCACGCCTCCTTCTGGAGGATGGTTTTGGTGGGATTGGGAGATACCCTGGAAATCGAATTTGTATGCATATCGCTTGCCGTGCACCTTGGTCATGATGTTCTTGTCGTAGTAGTAGCGGAGGGCACGGCTCAGCTTGTCATAGTTCATGTTAGGCTTGCTTTTCCGTTCCCCCCAGCGCTTGGCCACCTCATCTGGGTCGGTCATCTTGAATTCTCCGTTCGTGCCCTCCCAGGTGATGATGGTAGAATTGTTGCTGTCAGACAGCAGCTCCAACAAGAACTGCCACAGCTGGATCTGACCAGAGCCTGCGTGAAAATAAAGAGTATCAGAGGACTGAAGGCCTTTTGAAGGCAGCTTTTTTTTCTCCAAATGTGACCTTTTTTAGTATGTTGTACACAGAAACAGAACGTGGGTCGGTCAGACACCTACCCACAGTCCTGTCAGTGCTGGTGACGGGCAGGTTGTTAGAATTTTGTTTGGTCGTTCGGATCTTGGTGTGGAATGGTTTCGTTTCTGTGTGAAGAAGGTTATACTGAAGTCATACTGATCATGATGTGCTTGCTTTGGCAATTATTGTTTGTTTATTTTTAGGCCTTCATGTCTTAGCATTAAAAAAAAGTCTAAATATACACTATGTTCAAAGGTTTGGGGTTGGAAATGTGTGTTTTTTTTATTTTTTATTTAATTATGCATTTATTTGATCAAAAATACAATAAAACATTTTTAATGATTTATATTGTAATGTTTTTAAAAAATATATATTTAGTACTGTAATGGAAAAGCAGAATTTTCAGTGTCTTATGATCCTTCAGAAACCTGTGTAGTTCAAGAAATATTTCTTATCAATGTTGAAAACAGTTGTGCTGCAAACTGTGATAATTTTTTTTCAGGATTCTTTGATGGTTCAGGATTTTTTTTGTAACTACGCGAGTCTTAATTGTCACTTGTTGATCAATTTGGTGTGTCCATGCTGAATAAAAGTACTAATTTCTATCAACAACAAGGATCAAAAAATCCTGACTCCAAACGTTCAAACAATCCTATGTATTTCTTAAAGGAGTAGTTCACTTTAAAAAAAACTTTTGCTGATAATTTACTCACCCCCATGTCATCCAAGATGTCCATGTCTTTCTTTCTTCAGTCGAAAGGAAATTAAGGATTTTGATGAAAACATTCCAGGATTTTTCACGATATAATGGACTTCAATGGGAACCAAACGGTTTAACGTCCAAATGAGTTTAAGTGCTTTAAACGACAGCAGACTTATCCAGCGAAACGATCGGTCATTTAAAAAGAAAAAATAAAGTTTAAGTTTTATAAGCACAAATGCTCGCCTTGCTCTTTTCTGTGATGCGCGTTCGTGACTCTCCTGTTCGAACTTGTTCATCAAAATGAATGAATCTTTTTTCGAGTCATGACTCAAAGGGTCCTAGATAAGACCCTTATTCATCGTCTGGTGTCGTTTAAAGCTTTTTTGAAGCTGCACTGAAACTCTCATTTAGACCTTGAACCGTTTGGTTCCCATTGAAGTCCATTATATGGAGAAAATCCTGGAATGTTTTCATCAAAAACCTTAATTTCTTTTTGACCGAAGAAAGAAAGACGTGGACCTCTTGGATGACATGGGGGTGGGTAAATCATCAGCAAAAAATTTTTTCAAAGTGAATACTTCTTTAATTAAAAATATATAATGTATATCATTTAATTGTCTTAGATTTGTTAAATTTTTCCAGGTTGTATTAACATTAGGAATATTCAGTTATATAATTGATATAACTGAACCCAACTATATCTCATCTCAGTTATGAAAGGGCATAACTTTGTGCCAAATCTGTGCATCCAAATATTCCATACTCTAAAAAGGCCACATTTGTTGTTCATTTGACAGTAATGCATTTACAGTTTCATGATTGTTTCTTACCTGGATTTGCAAGACGGCTGCTAATGGGACCTAATGCTTGGTAGGGGTCTGCAAAGATGGAAAATATACAATACTGATTAGAGATCTCAAGGTGTGGTGTGTAACAAAAAGATGATTAAAAGAAGTTTCATCGAGTATTGAATTGTGCACTTGTCGACCTTGTTGAAGTCTTGATGGAGGCTCTGAAATTCTGCTGTTGTGCTGATGTTCGATTGGAGAACCTGTGATTTTAAAAAGGTGAGTGTTTTTTGTATGTGGTTATGGTGAACGATTCCATATTTGTATCACATTTTGTAACTTCATGATGTTTTTGTGTACCTTTTGGGACAGCTGGCAAGGCATTTGAGGACCAACTGTTCCTTCTGCCGATCTCCTCAAAGCTGTTTTCTGTGTGGAGGCGAAGTCAGATAGGAGCAGTTAACAAAAGGGAGATTTTACAGGAAAGGATGGCTTTAAAGAGTAAGGAGAACGGCAGCCCCAGAAGGAAGGAAGCCCTGCATTAAAGTTCCCAAAGGAGAGACCCAGGGCAGAACAAAGCCAGGAGCAAAATGGTAAGAAGGCTTGAAGATGGCACACAATTCCTCAGGGGATTGTCCTTTTGTTCTGACTGATTCTCTTTGCCACAGAATAGTCAATTGTGTCCTAACCTGAGCTCTACACCCCTTACTTCCTGTCATGATGCAGCTGTTTCCTGTCTGAAAACCCAACGATTGAAAAACCTTGCAACACTTGGGGAAAAATTCATTGAAGAAACACACCACAGTCCTTATAGCACCTCTCTATATTCAATCTTACCCAATGAATTATTTCAATACATCTTAACTATATTATTTAGTTAAATTAAACAAGTAAACCACCAGAGGCTATGCTTTACAGTATTTTTAGCTTTGTTCAGGACTGTTTTAGGTGTGTAAAACTGATGTGACCATGTGACCAATGTTTTCTTGCTGAGCAAACTGACCACCTTGGCAAAAACATTGTATAGAGTATGTACACACAAAAAGTGCACACGTCATGCAGTTTTATTTTTTAAATTTAATGCGTCATTTCTATTTGATTTGATTATTGATGTAACTTATATTGGTGATATTAAATAATTCGAAAACAAGCAGTTAATTCAGAATTCACAAGATAAAGCACATTTACCAAGAGAAAAAATAATATTTAAAAAATCTTTAAATGCTTCAATTTGTTTTCATAATATAGTATATTATTAAATTGTAAGGAAAACAAAGCATTTACACTGATCTAATAGCAATGAACATGAACATGAATTCTTTTGGCTCACACATACGCACTCATATTCTCTTTTGATGAAACCTGTTAACCGCATTCACTGGTTCTAGCTCTATAGCGACACAAACTATAGAGGTGGACCAGAGCACTGCAACTATTTTTCGTTTTGTTCACGGATTTCCCCACACACTTCGTGTCTGTCCTCTGAGCAGCATTTAATTCTTTTTGCGTGAAGCTTAGGGAACATTGCATGTGACTTCTGGGCAGAAACTGCAGTATGATATATATATAATTTCCTGGGTAATTACAGTTCCATCATTTCATTAATATAAAATATGGTGTATGTTTATTCAGAGTTCAGCCTATTAAATCAGCATTTGCAAACAGAAGAAGTATAGAAAACACATTTGATTCTCAAAAAAATGTCAAAGTAGTTTGACTTACCAGCTTTCACCTGTAGTCTTGGCTGTGGTTGTGTATTGGTTGGGGTTGGGGTTGTTGGGTATGAAAAAGTGGGACTACCTGAGTGAACAGTAGTAAAGAAAACAAGCTTTCAATCTACTGTGTGTAATATATATATATAAACAGTTATTTCCTGAATGATTAAAGCCGTTTCCTGATGTTTTGTTGACCGAATCAACAAATAGTAATGGATTATTCTTATGAAAATATGGGAGAAGCTCCTTACTCTCCCGGAGGTAGTTTAGGTGGGAAAGCAGGATGTCTGTATTGTATGCGGAAGTGAGACGCATCATGTCCTCTTTGGTCATTTTGCAGAGTGCTTTTCCATCCAGGGTTTGGAAGAGGGACACGTCCACATCGGAGAGGCTGTATTCCTTTATCGCCCAGTCTACCCACTGCCTCACGTGGTCTTGTGTCCATACTTCTGGGTCTAAAGCAGGACAGAAGCAAGAATGAAATGAGGAACAAGTGCTTCAGCTGTGGCAGGACTGATCAGACTCAGTTCAAACATGAGGTAAAAGAAGAGTCAATGCGCTCTTTGTTACTGTTCTCTCACTAAGATTGTACTTAACTAAGGGTTTGTAATGTTATAAGCCAAGGGATCGCGGTCGGTCACATGGCTCAGGTAAATGTAAATGTCATAACTACTTCATCTGGTTCAAAAAGCATCTGTTTTTTTTTTTCTCTATTTTACTTTTTACGGGGGTTTTTTAGCCATTGTCTGGAGCAGCTGCCATTGAGATGAATGGGAATGCTAACGGATATCTCTCTCCAAGTATTATAGACTATAGACCTGTTATAAGCCACCATGCTCTCTTATTTGTCCTTGAAATATGACGTCATATCCGAGTATTATGAGCATTATAATTGTTTGGTCTGGGTGACTCATGAGGAGGTATCCCATACACTCACTGTCGCACAATGCATGGGGCGACTCCACCGGTCTGCCCTTTTAATAATGTTACAGCGACCTTCAAAACACCTCCCTGAAGATAACTCAGCATCCTAATTGGTTTGTGAGTAAAGAGTGATTATCTCTGTTGGAATCTGTGCAATCATTTGTAGTTTAGTCTGCTGGGTTACAGGGATCTAGTAGCAGGAAAGGCATCAGTGTGTTTTTCTTTTTTTTGTAAAAGGAGAAAAAAAAAAACACTGATGCCCTTGCTACAAACCTGTCTTTTTCCTACAAAGCACAACTTCCTAAGTGATACGTGATGCAAGAGCCTGTGGTCACTGCATAATTACCACATATCTTTGTTTAGACATCTATACATCCTCTAGTTTTAGAAATTGGTCAACTCTTGACTAAAATCAGTCTAGTGCTCAAATACTTCAAAAAATAGTGTTAGAGAATTATTTGTTTACTATTAAATTATTTATGATATCTTGAATAAGCTTTTTTTATATTTTAATTTCAATTTAAGTTTACTTTAGTCAAGCTTTTCATCTAATATTGCATTTTTATATTATTTTAGCTTAATTTTATTTACCAAATATGGTTTGTAATGTTTTAGCTAACAACGACAGTCGACATGAAGTCAAAACTGAAATATGACGATATACGTGTTTCTTAGTAGGTGCATGGTATTTCAAAAGGAGAAAAAAGTTTTTCTTCGTAATCTTTCATAAAATTATAATCTGAACTTTTTATCAAAATAACCAAATTACCAAGTTTAATGAGACCTACTACATGATCCAATCAGTTCCTTATAGATAAAATAAAATTCTAAATCTTTTTTTGAATATCCTTTTCCACTCTTACATTCACTACCATGCAAAAGTTTGGCTTGGTATGAATTTTAATGTTTTTAAAAGAATTCTCTTACCAAGGCTGCATTTATTTGATGGAAAATACTGTTAAATCTGTAATAATGTTTTGCTATTTAAAATAACTGTTCTAATTTGGTTATATTTTAAAACACAATTTATTCTTGTAAAGCAAAGCTAAATTTTCAATGATCTTCAGAAACCATTCTAATATGCTGATTTGAAATATTTCTTAATATCAATGTTGAAAAAAGTTGTGCTGCTTAAAATGTTTGTGGAAATTGTGATTTACTTTCCATTTATGATTCTTTAATGAAATCAAAATCTTTTTATTATTATTATTAGAATTGTCTTTACGGTCACTTTTGAACAAATGAATGCATCCTCGCTGAATATAAGTATTAATTCCTTTTTTTCTTATTTTTTAAACTAAGTTTCTGTAGTGAATGTCTCATTACAGAAGTTAAAAGTCTTGTGAATGCCTTTCATGAATACAGTCAGACACAGCTTCCTGTATAAACAACATTTACTCTTATATGGAAACTACAGATCTCACCTGCTGGTACAATCACCCTCTTCTCCTCTGTGACGCTGCTGGGCGGGGTGGCATTCTGTGGGCTAGTCCGTGGCTCTGGATAAGAGGCCTGGTAGGCCAATGGTCCCCCATCACTGTTACTCATGTGTCGGGTCCTTTTAGTCACACTGCAGTCCACTGGGGATTCACGGCTATGGCGTGGAATGAAGAAAAGATGAAATGGCTCGATCCAAATGTTTTTGTTTTAAATGCGCACAGTTATGACGTTAAAGGAACAGTTTAAATATGTCTCCTGAAAATGCTTTATGACCGGTTTTGACAATGGCACTGGTTTCTCGCTTGTGAGAGCAAAAATGTCAGGTTTAAATATAAAGAAGTGTGAATGTGCGATACGTGTCCGCTCAAATGGCACCTATGGACTACTTTATAGTGCATGACAGCACGTGTGTCTGTTGTCATTGTGTGGAAAAGAGCAGCTTGGACTTTCTGTTTAAAGGATTAGTTCACTTTTCAAAAAACTTTTGCTGATAATTTACTCACCCCCCATGTCAACCAAGATATCCATGTCTTTCTTTCGTCAGTCAAAAAGAAATTAAGGTTTTTGATGAAAACATTCCAGGATTTTTCTCCATATAATGGACTTCAATGGGAACCAAACGGTTCAAGTTCCAAAAGACACTTTCAGTACAAACTGCAAACTGTTCAAAGGGCTTTAAACGATTCCAGACGATTAATAAGGGTCTTATCAAGCGAAACGATCGCTCATTTAAAAAAAAACAACAACAACAAAGTTTAAGTTTTATAAGCTCAAATGCTCGCCTTTCTCTGTTCTGTGATGCGCGTTCGTGACTCTCCTGTTCAAACTCGTTCATCAAAATGAACAAATCTTTTCCCGAACAGGAGAGTCACAAACGTGCGTTACAAAACAGAGCAAGGCGAGTGATTGAGCTTATAAAACTTAAACTTTGTTATTTTTTTTAAAAAAAATGAGTGATCGTTTTGCTTGATAAGACCCTTATTCATCGTCTTGAATCGTTTAAAGCCCTTTGAACAGTTTGCACTGAAACTGTCTTTTGGACCTTGAACCATTTGGTTCCCACTGAAGTGCATTATATGGAGAAAAATACTTGAATGTTTTCATCAAAAACCATAATTTCTTTTCGACTGAAGAAAAAAAGACATGGACATCTTGGATGACATGGGGGTGAGTAAATTATCAGCAAATGTTTTTTCAAAAGTGAACTACTCCTTTAACTTCTCCTTTTGTTCGTTTTATAGATTTGGAGGAGTAAATTATGGCAGAATAGATTTTTTGAGGGAATGAGCCTCTGGTATTCTGACATCCGTGTTTGGTTCCCCACCTGGTTCCGTTGATGTGTTCTGCTCTCTTGGCAGGGTTTTGTGTGGCTGATCCGGTCCAGTCTGGCTCGGTCGGTTCTAGGCTTTCTTCAGAACCCTGTCTGAACACTGTAGGTGAGGTGATCTCTCCCTTCATGTGCATGGCCTGGGGACCGCTGAACGGCGACTCGAATATGGACTGGTCTTCACTCACCACCGATAGAGCTTCCTGTGATGTATACAATACACAATGGTTATGTAAACGAAAAACAAATTCGTCAAACCACTTGATTTAGGTGAATAACAAATCAGGATAGAAATTACTGGATATCGTTTAGTCATTAATTCAAGAACACAGATGTTACGGGTTTCCGCTACTATCGCTATGCTGTGACTTTCTAATCAGTGACTGATGTCGTACGAATTAATTTGGGGCACAAACTCATTAAAAAAAAATATACAGTTAATAGAAATGACCTTTTACGTCTTTTGACTGAAAGAAAAACCACTTAGAACATTTTTAATTTGGTGCTACTTATGACCTCTTCAGCAATGCCACATTAATTTTGAAACTTAAAAATAACAGTTTATCGGAATAGTTAAGGGCGTTTTTTTGACTTCCAGGTAGATATGACTTGGCACTAGAGTCAACTTAGTTGTGAGTCAAATTAGAAATTGCGACATCTGTGCCTTTATTTCCTGTGTTTAATGTTGGTAGTCTGCACTGAATAGCTCTGGTATAGGTGTGTCTGTTTGAAACTTCAAAAAGACGTTTTAAACATTCAAATGTATGTAAGTGTTTGTGTGTGAATAAATGTTTGTGTTATAGATGAATTCTGGGAGCTTGTTTAGAAGGCTTTAGTATTGTCTTTAGGGCTGACGTACGTCAGCACTGAGCTTTTTCGGTGGCTCACAGGAAATCTGGCCCCCATGTGCAGTGAAACCTTTTGGCATGGGGCATGAGATAGGAAACAGAGGAGTGGTAGAAATGTGGGTCATTTAAAGCTGAAAAACAAATTTGTTCTGAATGTTGAGAGGTTGAGGGTCACCAAACAGGGAGGAGGTAGCATTGTAGAGTGCTTTCACCTGACCCAAGTATTGCAAACTTGCTGTGAGAAGCTGTTTCAGTGTTCAGTTTCATAAAGTGATTGTGATGGCATGGTTTACCAATAAATAGCTTTTTTTTGTAAAATGCATATTATGCATATGTTATTTTACACATATTTCAGGTTAAGTCTATCGTAGAAGAATGTTGTCTATGTGGTCCCAACCAACACCATCTTCGGTTGTTTGGTTATGTTGGATAAAATTGGATTGAGGATCCTGAAATTTGAATTGAAGCAGGCAGCAAACAGGATGAAGAATTGCACTTCAAATTTGAAGGTTAGGAAGTAGAATTACAATTAATTGAAATTTCTAAAAGATCTAAATGTTGACTTGACCAAATTTTCTAGGCCTTATAACGATGGATGGATGGATGGATGGATTGATTGATTTGTGGCAGCAAGCCAAGAAGTCTCTTAAAATGTCTCATATTTTTGCCTGTTATAATCCACTATGAAAATACTGCCACAAATCCTACTCTTTTTCCAATTCTCTAATTGAGCTAGATGTGAATAGCACTAGCATTATGTGATCTCCGCTCTAGTAGAGAAGTGAAAGCAAAGTCAAAACAAGGCCAAGCCGAGAGCTGAAACTGTTTTCACAGCCTAATCTGTGTGCATTTGCTTGCGACAGTGTTGTGTAAAAATGTACAACGACAAACAAAGTGCAATCCACAGCCTCAGTTTATGGCACAGATGATGCCATACTTGCAGCTGATCTGAGTAGGAAAGGCGGCATGCGCTAAAAATGTATGTGCATCCTCTCTTGCATTGTCCAACACCATTTGAGAAATCACTTGAGGTAGATTTAAAGCGGTTCGTTTGGATCGGACGGTATGTAAAAGCAAATGTGCTAGTTGGATAACTGATGTATTCAGTTCATTCTACATCCTTACACTTGATACCTGGCCACTTTTACAGCCAGCTTAAACTGAGCAGGTATTTCATTCTGCAGTTAGGACGATTCTGCACCTATGCACCTTTTAAAACCACAACCACATGCATAGTACTGCTCTCTGTCCTCCAAAGTGATGAACATAAACATACTCTACCCTGGCCACCAATGCCACAACTGACTTCCTGTTCAATGAGTTTCATATCAGTCTCTGTTGCTGAGAAACCTAATGCAATATTTTAGCAAACATGAACTGCATGCTGTGTGCAAAATGTCGAAGTCAAGGTCAGTGAGATTAATGTGCATCTCGCATCAAAAACAAAGAGAGATGCACATAAACCATCATGCCATTGGGCACGCTGGGTGCCTGTGACATGCATGCCGTGTTTTCAAGTCAATTGCAACAGACCTCCATTTGGTCTTGTGAAAGAAATTCTCATTTTGTCACAACAAAGCTTGTGGTAGATCTACCCTGCATGGAGAAATGTGCAGTTCTTTTAGGTTTTGGAGGTTTTGCACAGAAACTAATCGCACAGTAGATCACCATCCAATGGGTGGAACACCTTGCAAACAGATTTACTAGATTACTGCTGGTGAACTGAGCAATTAGACAATTTTTTTTTTCAAACCTGTACAATCTAAAGAACCTAAGAGCACTGTGGTCAATCTTTGGTAATGACGGCAGGTTATGAAATGTCCCTTTCCTTACAATGTGTATATATTTGTTTCTCCATCACATATTAGACTGTTGGCATTATCATATTCTAGCTGCTTTGTTGTGGTAATTTGTTCGAATCAAAAATACAAATAAAGGGTGTACATCCGAAATCCAATTTGGGTTACGGTGCAGGACAAAAAAAATAACGATAAATAAAATAAAACAAAAACAAATGTGCAAACTGCATGCAAATGACGCTCCAATTGTTATTTTTTGTTTGAAGGCGCAACAAAATACAGACAAAATGTTAGTAGTCTAAACGTGGTCAAAAACGTTGTTGGCTTAAAGTATCGGGGTAAAAATCACAGTAAATTGCAGAAGTCAAGTCATGCAAAAAAAATGTCTCAGGTTACACTATTTGACCCCATGTAAAAAATGCTGTAATGGTAAAAGTGCACTGTATACCATAGTCGTGTATGACAATTATCTCAATTATTATGATTTATGTATAAACACAAACTTTTATTTTGGATGCGATTAATCACGATTAATCGTTAGACAGCCCTAATATAAAATGAAAAATTATATCATTATCATAAAAATGAGTGTGTAATTCCTTAACTGCCTGTTTTAATTCAATGAAATGAATGTACTATTTAGTTTGATAATGTTTTTTTATTTAATATTTTTTATTTTATGGTACTAAATTATATTTATGGAATGGTTATGATGTTAACCATTTTTTGAGCATAGACCTGATAAAAAAAAATTTCCAACTTAAACTGTTGTAAATCTTAATGCTTTGGAGCACAAACTTAAGTTTGGTCTCTTTTTAAAGAAGACAATTGGCAGATTATCGCTGAAGTGAAAAGCGTTATAAAAGTTTACGTCTATTATTATGAAAACTGCACAAAAATGCTTTTTTTTCCATATCTAGGCCTATCAGAAAAAGAGCTTTCAGTAAGATTTTGTTTGGGTGCAGTACCAAATGTTTCCACTAGATAAAATCAATTTCCTAATTAGGGCCATTAAACATTTTCGAATCCATGATTTTATTTTTTATTTCATTTTTTTTTTTTTTGTCCATGAATCACCATGCTCACATAGAAAGTGCCAAAACCTATAACCTAAAATTTCGTACCATTCCGATAAAATAAAAAATGTATATAAAAAAACTTTTGGTAAAAATTAACAGAACAGCACCAGAGGGTTAATGTCAAATTTTGGTTATTTCCCATGTAAACCCAATTCTTAACTATACAAAATAAATAATTTTAATTAAAAAGAAGGAAGATCCGGGTTGTTTGGCACAGGGTTACTGAAAAGTTTATAAAATTAACTTGCAGAAAGATATTTTAAATATATCAATGTTAGTCGAGATATCCACTTCGATTCAGAACAAATAGATTACATGTTTTAGTTAATATTTGGAAGACTTTGATAAACAAAATTTATCAGAGTTGGTATACAAACTATAAGAAAGATTAAACCTTCTTTAAGGTATAGGCTACCCAAATTTAAATGCATGCATTCAAAAATAGAAGAATGTGATAAAAATGACAACTGGAAGAGCAAATTATAGTACATTTTATCATTAAAAAAAGAATTATACCTTGTGTTAAGTGACGTTAGTTTGGTTTAAAATACCCATTTCTGTTTGTTTCTTTTATTGCCTTTAACATTGTGCTTACCAACCCCACAATTATGGTGAACAGTTGCACACAATTTCTGCAATTGTGTGCAATTTCATGTAGAAAATCTGTTTTCCCCCTGTTATTAGTTTAAGGGTTTTATAAAGCTGGGTGATCCTGCTGCTTGTTTCTCTAGAGATCTTTAACAACGAATGAAAAATGTGCCAACCAACCGTGGTCTCACACACCACATGTTCACTTTTGGTTTGCTGTAGTGTTTGCATCTCATCTGAATGACTGACTTACTCTGCATTACAATCTAAGAAACCCAATACAGCTTTGATGCTTCTTACCAGCGGAACCGTCACGACTGAGGGAATAAATCGTTTTATTTCGTTTTCTTCGTTTAGTTACTGACATTATTAGTCTGTCTACCTGAGGATTTCTCAATTTAGGAAAAATAATTTACAAACAATAATGATAGCCTATATAAATTACTAAAATGTAAACAATCATATTCAAATAAATTGTAATAACACTACAAATAACAATGGAAATTAAAAGTTGGGTTATAATTTATAGTTTGATATGACAGATATTTTGAGAGCTGTAACTGTCTGATGCACGAGCATTTAAATTATGTGCTCATGAATCATAAACTATAGCGAGAACTTTCACAGTTATGTTAGTCATGTTCATTTTGCGAGAGTTGAAGAAAGCAGAAGTTGACGTTAAGGCATGCTGATTTTGCAAAGAGACACGCAGCTGCGCTCTGAGCTGCAAAAACACTTTGTGGTTTCACAAGTTTCAATCAGCAGCATCTTGCAAGTAAAGATGGGGGCGATTTTCTGAGGAGAGCCTGCTTTACTAGACCGCCACAGCGCGTGGAGAAGAAACACGTTCGGTTCTGCTTCAGTTTATTGTCCGGATAATTTAATTGAAATGTGGAACAATGCATTGGCATCGCACATCTATCGAATCAATTTTGTTTTGTCAGTCTTTGTTGCCTTTTTTCGAATAGAGACTCCGGAAGTGTGTGCGGAAAGTCTGAGGTTTGAGACAGGAAGCCTGCTGGGTTCTGATAACGACACCTGACAAGCGCCCAGCACTTGCTATAAATTATTCCTTAAAGAACTAAATCAGGCACGGAATAGCCTGCAAACACGCACCAGAGGAATTCGTTGCAATACCTCTCTGCCCTGTTACAAAGGGGATGTATCATTGCGTAAAGTCGACAAGCTGAATCAACACAATTTTCGTTAACAGAATTAACAATAAAAAAAACAACTTTGGTGACTGACTTCCTTCAAATGCGTCAAATTCAAGTTATTCGCTAAATCGAACAAACGGAGACGCTAAATTACAATGTTTGCGATGTTATTTTTTACAGATTAAATTGCGCTTGTTTGAAGACAACCTCAGTGTAAAACGAAATATAGCTTAGCTGTTGTTCGAAACAGAAAAAACACGATTATTTAGCTTACTAAATAATGGAAACAACTATCAAAACAATAACTTAAATTGTTAGCGACCATTTCAGTTGGCCCATTTTAAAATTAATTTCAGTATTGCTGATAATGCCTGAATGGGCTTTTAGCGATGTTTGTGACATTTAATGATTTAAAAAAATTAATATAGGTGGATTTAAGCTTTTATAAAATGACAAGTAGACTTCACCAAGCGCGTAGAAGGGTTAGTTCGTGTTCTAAACTTCAAAACATTATGTAGCCGATATTTTCCATAACGAATAAAACACTTAGCCACGTAATATATTAATAATAACATCCGCTGTTGCTTGCCACCATTTTCTGCGTACTGTTGTCATCCCAATAAAATCCCAATAAATTCAGTTTATCACAGTTAATACGAATTAATATAATGACGTTCTTGTCAACGTGTTATGAATAATTTAACGATTTGAAAGTATGCATAATAACAATATCAGACGCTATTAGATGTGTGATTTAAAAAGTAGCCTATCCACATAATACCTTGTTGTTGGCGCCATAATGCCACCTGCCTCGAGAGCGCCCCGCCATAATTGTGCCATATGTGAAATTCAGTATATTGTTTTCCAGTTGGCATTTTCTTGAGTTTTCGTTGTTCTTTGGTAATCGAAAAAGAAGTTAGCGACGTGTACCTAACCGTCGTGGAAAGATCATTAAATATGCCATTGTGCATACTAGTGCGTAACTGTTTAAAAATAAAAACAAATGGAATAACAAATTTGTCCATACCCTCTCTCGCGCGCGCTCTGGACACCATTTCGGGTTTTATCTGAGTCTAAATGTTGTAGCGGTTTCTTGTGTTATTAAAGAGCCGACATTCAACCACGAACGGGAAGGAAGAGGAAATTTTGTACAAGAAGGAAAGAGTGGGGACCTGCATCACCGCCTTGCCTCTCTCACCAGTAGTCGCGCTAACCGTGTGGGTGGTTGCGCACTCGCTACTCATTTTCAGAACAGACAATAAACCAGATCAAACGCCTACCTTAATAGTACAGTCCATTGCAGATTTCGGTGGAGTTCATGAAGAAAATACTTTGGTAAACTTAAGATATATAAACCTAGGTACTTTGATAACTCAGCTGAAACGCATCGACTTGTATGCACAGGCGCATTTAGTCATCGGCGCAAACCATACTATTTTCGCTTAGACCATAACCGGATGGCAACTTTTTTTTTTTTTTGAGCTCTCCTTTCTAAAATTGGGAAGTGAAGTCACACAAAAGCATCTAGCTCTGTTCCTTATTGGTGAACTCTTATTGCACCAACTCCTCAGAATATTTGTTATACCCAAACCCTCTAAAGTTCACTGAATATAATGAGATTTTAAAATCAGTTACAAAGTTTGTTCATTCATTTATTTACTTTTTAATCTGACCTTTTTCTTAACATTATATAATCATTTTGCCATCTTTATATTAAACGATGAATAGCAACCTTAAAGTTGATTTATATGCTAGCAAATTGTATTTGTATTTTGTATACAAAATCTTTGTTTTTATATGGATCCATGAAGAACCTTTTAACATATTTGGAAACTTTCCATTCCACAAAAGGTTCTTCATATTGTAAAAAAAAAAAAAAAAAAAAAGTATTTCAATCTTGAAAATGAAGGCTCAAACGTGTTTTTATTTATTTGTTTTATTATTTTTAAGCAACGATATGATAGGATCATGTTAGGTTCCCAAAGAACCAGTGAACAGTTCTTTAAAATCATTTTTTTTTTGGTGTAACAACGATCTAAATAACATTTTTACATTATAAAGTACATTTTGAGCAATACAATATTTTGAATGTTGAAGATTCTTCATGAAACCATTGATGCCAGTAAAGATTTATTTTTAAGGGTGTAGTCTTTCCCTTGTTCGTTTATATTTGATTGATCAACAAGAACATTTACATAAACTTTGTTATTTAGGCCTATTTTTTTAACTAATGTGTTTGTAAAAATGTTTTTTTTTTCAAACATAGCCTACTAGGTTTACTATAGCGACAGGAAATCGCGACTTAAGTTGAATTCTCAAACCGCAAACCAGTGATATGAAACGCCATATCAGTATCATGAATCAACAGCTGCAAAAATGCTCTCCAAATCTCACTTAACTGAAAACAATCGGTTGCGTTATGAACATATAGATTGTGTAGCCTATAGGCTAAGATTGATAACCTTCATATATGCCAAGAATAAAAAGCAGATAGCCTATTGATTAGTCATTAAACATCGCTTGGACATTTTAAACTGAATGATTCTGGGAAAGTATTTTAACAACATTAAGATAATGTTTTTAAAAAAACAATTGTTTCGACACATTAGACGTCTAGGGCGCGCGCATGTTGAGGTGCCATGGGAATTTGACACTGATTGTATCCTCTTCAGTGAGCGACTCCTTCAATCACGACTCAGCCCTTGCACGAATTGGCAACTTACTTTTCCAGATGTATTTTTTCTGCACGCCGGAGGAAAATGGCCTGAGGTGTTTGTTTATACAAGACCCTTGGGTTGGTCTTATCTATCCAAAGCACTCACGCCGTGATTTCAGGCCTCCTCGACTCGGAATTTTACAGACCATTGTTCTCTTGAATGGCTTTTAAAGATACGAACCCTCATTAAAGTCAAAGTTACTGGTTCTGATTGATCTTATTCCTAACTTCCAGTTAGAACATTTCTCCTCTGGTAACTGCTAATGATGTATTTTCATGTGTTTAGTGATAGTAGACCCCCCAAAAAATAACTTTAATTGTTCAAGTTGGTCTTCTATGACTATTAATATATATTCCGTTAAAATCGACTAAATGCAATTCAAAAGTAGCAGGCCTAGCCTATATTATTGCATTTTTCGTATCATAAATTCTGACATAAAACAAGTCGCATGCAAAACCACGAAAACGTTGCTGCATGTTGCATACATTCATATTTTATATTTGGTTATAGCCTACTTAATTTTAAGGTGTCAGTGTTACAGTGTAATTAAAAATTTTAGGTTGCCTACTGAGTTATAATAATTAACTAGCTACATGTAGTGTTAGGAATATGTGTTGGTTTGGTTCATTGCATCTAATGCAGCTAATTTATCAGTAACCTATTGCTGCAGTAATAATAGGCTACATGTAACGTGTAGGACACTGTAAAATAAAGTGTTTGGCTACCTAATAATACGACTTAAAATGGCCTGTCAAATCATAATAACAGTAATTGTCATTACTTATTATTATTATTATTATTATTATTATTATTATTATTAGGACTAACAGTAGCTAATAAAAAGTCATAAAACTTTGCTTTTAGATTCTATAGAAGGATTTAATAGACTTTTAGTGGCCTACTATTGTTGGAAGACGGCATTTTCAGTTTTTCATGAATGAAAAGATAGGAGGGACATGGTTATACCGTCTGATGAGTGTCACATTTTGAATTCCACAGTTTCGTTTCACCAGGAAGTTTGGGTGGGCAAATGTTATATCTTCAATAGCCTAGCCTATAGTTTCCTGAGTTTTGAGAGATTTTTATAATATATTTCCAATTTTCGTCAAGTTGTTTGAGTAACACTTATTCAAAACACTAGGCCCAATTAAGGGGACTGTTGCCTGAATTAAAACGCGAAACCGTATGGCGCCGTCTACCCTAAATAGGGTTCATAACTTAACCTACGTCTATCGTCTTAACGTTTCAGCATTTTTATCTTAAAACGATTCAAAACGTTTTTAGGTCGAACGGTCTTGTATTTTGGAAAAATAAATGTGAACGGACATGTCAGTCAAACCTGTCTAGAGATGTTTTTTCTGCTCCCCCATAGATACCTTTTCTATGAATGGTAGGGTAACAAATCTGTGGTCGTGACTCCTGTCTGACGTCACGATTAGTAAAAGGAGGGAAGGGTAACAAATCTGTGGTCGTGACTTCTGTCTGACGTCACGATTTGTAAAAGGAGGGAACCGTAGTCACGACGCATTCCTTCACATGTCGCGCGGACACGCCCCATCGCGCGCGGCCTCTTTATAACGGTCCCAGTGAAGCACCAACAGTCAACTGGATTGAAAGGCAGAGCTTGAGGCTGTAGTAAATCCTTTATATCTGGAATAAGGACTCTGAGAACGTAAAGGTAAGGTTTTCTCTTTAATTTCTCTAAAAATCTAATCTGTCAATTTCAGTTAGAGATTATTACTCTGTATTATCAGTGTTGGTTCACTGACTGGGATTAAAAGTAATGGACTGTTTTACACCCACTGATCAGTGATGTGTTTAATAAATTATAAAGAATTTGAGAATAAGAGGAATAATTAGGCCGACCAAACAAAACTAACCCAATAACGCAAATTCTATATTAGTTTAATATCTAAATGATGCTGTTTTTCTTCAGATATGGAAATGTATCAAGCTGGATTTTACACAGAAGACTTCAGAACTCAGGAGGTTCCTGGTGGTTTTGACTTCAGCTCATATGGTAAAATCATTTTTCTCTATACAGTCTTTAAATGGGCTATCTCTATAAAAAATCTCCTTTTATTTCTCTCAGTGCATAGCTTTAATGATAACGTCCAAGCCCATATTTGCAGTGATCACATTCAGTTTTCCCTCAGGGGGAAAATCTGTCAGATTTTGTGGGATATAGTATTTCTCCAGCTTTGTTTCCTGAATGTCCGTGCAAAACATTTCCGCTGTCCTTGAGCTGCAAAGCCAGAACTGCAACACCCCTGTCAAAACCCTAAAAATTAGACCTTGACATCTTGTTTGTGTGCACTAATTCAAAGCTCATCAGGAAAAGGGGATGTCAGGCTATGCATGCTCTGAGATTTAGGAATGTCCAAACCAGGGAGGTAGAAAAAAAGGGGTGGTTGGGTTAAAGATACACCCGTTTTTTTTCTCCTCCCTCCCTTTCTTCCTAATCCTTTCCTCCAGACTTCCTCCTCAAACAGATTTAGCACCCCCTCTCCTACTCCCTTCTTCATCACTCTGTCACAGACACTTTTATTCCTAGCACAGTTCAGACTAGGTGTAGAAAACTTTATGGGAGCTTACATACATTAATCCATTGTTAATTCTAGAATACATGGTTTATTCTGGCTCTCATTCATTTCACAATTTTTGATAATGTACCTCCAGACTGCAGTGGTGAAGACCTGTCCTTTTTATTAGACAGCAAAGGACCTGTCCAACAGCAGTATCCAGAAACATATTCAGAGCCCCAGAAGGAGCATTTACACAGTGCTAAAGGTAAGCATCTCATGATGCACAAATTCCAGCCCATTATATTAATAACGCAAACAAAGTATTTGATTACAAACATTAATGTGCGTTTTTATTGCATAGGTCATACTGTTGTAGACTCTGGACTATTTAATCTGGACTCCTTCCCTGAGTTTAGCTGCTGGTCATCATACACTAATAGTAAGTATCACATATATATTACATTTACAATGTGCAAACTCGTCTTTTAAGTAGCCTGGCCTCATACTATCTGTTATTTTTCCCTAGTTCCAGAAGGAATGGTAGCAGACAGACAGCAGGTTGCCTTTCACGAATCAACTCAAACCTACCAGAACCTCGTCCCTTTATGCACTCCAGCACAAAGCAGCACATTCAGCCCAGGGATGGACACCAGCAGCCATTACCAACCTGGGAAAGGTCCGAGTCACAGAGGAGCAACCGGTACAGTCAATCTGGACCATCTGGGTAGGCATTTGAGAGATGCATATCGTTTCAAATATATCATGCATTTTCAGGCGAAGCTAAATAGAAGATAGCAAAAAATAAATAAATAAATAAATAATAAAAATATATGTATGTATGTATGTATAATTTATTTGTTAAAATTGTAAAAAAATATAAAATAATAAAATTACATATATAAATGTAATTTTATTATTTTATTTTTTTTACAATTTTAACAAAAAAATTATACATATGTGTGTGTGTGTGTGTGTGTGTGTGTGTGTGTGTGTATATATATATATATTCATGTATGTATAACATTTATTTAGAAATTTATTATATTCTTTCATTTTTAAAAGAACCTAAAATATAACTATTGTTTTTCTTGTGTAGGTGATCCAGAGAGACCTTATGCCTTGTATGAAGCAGAGCAGCAAAGCAGGCCTTCATACTGGTCCGACTACCCCTCACCCACTTATTGCACTTCCATGCTTGGGCAGCAGGCATCCTCTTCATCACCTCCAGTTACTCAATCCTCTGAGCAATTCTGCCCCCGTGTGGTCAAAAGGCGTAGCGCACCATCTCAAAGATCAGACAGAGAGGGTGAAATGACACCAATGTCCGCCTACCCAGGTGAGCAATTGTTACAGAAGCCTTTGAAGCATCCATATTTTTCATAACAGAAAATGAGAATTATTTAGCCTTGTCAGGATATAAGACTTAGTACTGTTTGTTCTCCATCAGGATCTGGGCCTATACAGCTTTGGCAGTTTCTGCTGGAACTTCTTCTGGATTCTGCTTGCCACACTTTCATTAGCTGGACTGGGGATGGCTGGGAGTTTAAAATGTCAGATCCTGCAGAGGTAAGATTCATACCTAAACAAAAGAGTCTCAAAACATCATGATGTAAGCAAAAGAGAATTTGTTATCTTTACATGTGGAATTTTGTCATTCGCTCAGTTGTTCTGAAGATAAAGATTGGCTTAACATCTCCCTTGTGTCCTCCAGGTGGCGAAGCGGTGGGGCCAGTGTAAGAACAAGCCCAAAATGAACTACGAGAAGCTAAGTCGTGGTCTGCGTTACTACTACCACAAAAACATCATTCACAAAACTGCTGGGAAGCGCTACGTCTACCGCTTTGTCTGTGACGTGCAAGGCATGCTTGGAAAAACAGCACCTGAGGTCTTTGCAAGTCTAAACATCTCTCCGACAAATGCAGTATCTTCTCAGTCTGTAAGCACAACCAGACCAGAGGAAAACACAGAGTCCTGGGCGCATTAGTGGAGGACATTTTCAAATGCCTGTAATGATCGATAAGAACTGTAAAACCAAGCCCTGGAGATAGTAACGACAAAGAAATGACTGACTGTTCCGTTCAAAGATATGTACTTTAAACTCCTTTGGACTTTTGAATGAGCGACGCGTATTTAAAAACAGATCTGAAATCAGCCATCAAATGCAGTTTAGGTGCCTTTAGAAAACATTGTTAGCTACCTCTTTTGACGTTGGAACACTAATCTTGTAAATTTATTTCCTTTTTTTCTTACGTAAACTGATGTTTTGACATCAGATTGTGAATTCTTGTAAATAAATTAAATGTTACAGTATGTGTCTTTTCACAAAAATGTTGTTACTCGGTTCCATTTAGTCAATTTAAGTCACCTTTATTTTTGTTGCGCTTTATACAATACAGATTGTTTCAAAGCAGACGTGGTCTCACAAAAATGCTATGCAAGATGTAGTTTTTTTAATTAAAGTTACCCACATTCAAGAGTTGATTAAAAAAGAGTGCATGAAACTAGAATAAAATGTTTTTAAAATGGAAAGAGTTAAAGGCATTCAAGTACAAAATGAATATGTAATGTCATAATGATGATTTGTTAACTTAAATTAAAACTTACAAGTATAGGCCTACTTTCAGTATAAAACTACTAAACTAGTAGCTGCCTATACTGAGAGTGTACTTCAAAGTGTAGGCCTAACTTTATAAACTAAAAAATGTGCTACAATTATTTTACTAGTAAACTATCAGTATATCCATAAGTTCACTTGTAGTATAGTTGCAGTACAAACGAAAACTTACACTGTAAAAAAAAAAAAAATGGTAAACTACTGGCAGCTGTAGTTGCCAGCATCATACTGTAAAAATACGACGTGTTACTGTTTTTGTGTTAGGAGCATATAGTTGTTAAATTAAAGTTTTATACTCTAGCTGACAATACAGTATTTAACTGTTAATTTCAAAAACAGTAACATTTTTACAAGGTATGATGCTGGCAACCATAGCTGCCAGTAGTTTACTGTTTTTTTTTTACAGGATTATTTTTTACAGTGAGTACTGTTACACTTAAAGTATACTTAAAAGTATATTTCATACTCTAAAAATTGGTTCGATTTAGTGCCAAGTTGTAACGAAACAGTACACTTGCAAGTAGCTTTTCTAGTACATTGATAGTATAGGCATACAGTAATTAAAATATAGTTGAACTATATGAAATAGGCTACAGCATGCATTACAAACGTATCTTGTAGCTATACCCCAGTATTTACAAGAAAGTGGTTGTGAAACGAGGAAGGAAATGTTCAATGTATCCTAAATGTCAGGCTGAAAGTCTAAAGACACACCTTTAACTCGCCTCTAAACTGGAGGTCTCTTTTGCAGCCACGAAACTTTGAGGAACTATGGTGAAGACCATTAAGGAACATCTGGAGGATACTTTTGAGGATCTGGGGGAGGAAAAGCTAAGAAAGTTTAAAATCAAATTGCGCGATCGGAAGCCTGAAAATGATAAACAGGTTGTACGACAAGCTACAATCGACAAAATTAAAGACGCTCTAGATCTCGCCGATGTAATGGTGAACACTTTCACATCGAAAGACGCTGTTCCTGTAACAGTCGAACTTTTAACGGCCATTAAAGAACATAAGCTGGCAGAGGAGCTCAGAGAGAACACGAGAGACGGTAAGTAAACTGATATGAAAGAAGACAATAGACTAGACCGGTTTTCCATCATGTGAAATAACTGCCTGAATCTTAAATCACTTAGAGAACAGAGCACGTTTAACAAAGATATAATGTTTAATAGGCTAATAAGCCTTTAAATAGTTGGAAAGCTAAAACAATTTCTTCAGAATGTAGGACACCGGCTCCCTTTAAAAGTGAGACCGAAAGGATTTCCTCTCTCTCTCTCTCTCTCTCTCTCTCTCTCTCTCTCTCTCTCTCTCTCTCTCTCTCTCTCTCTCTTTCTTTCTTTTCTTGTTGCAAATAATTGTTTCCAAAAGTAGCCTACTAAAAAAATTGTTAAGAATTCAGAATCGAAAGCAGGATCCTTACATGAATGTGCTAATTGAGTTTTGATTGTGGAATGTGGAGATTTGCCGTAAGTTAGTCACCCAAAGATTTTTGTTGTTACAAACCCTTAAGACATTTGTTCATCTTCGGAACACAAATTAATATATTTTGATGAAATCCGAGAGATTTCTGACCCCTCCAGACCGCAACATTATTACCACTTTCAAGACCCAGAAAGGTAGTAAAGACATTGGTAAAATAGTCCATGTGACCACAGTGGTTAAACCTTAGTGTTAGGCTATTAAGCGGCGAGAATACTTTTTGTGCGCAATTATATATATATATATTCAACAGTTTCTTCTTTTCCATGTCAGTTTGTGATGGTGTTCACGTTGTAAACAGTGTGGCCGGCACCAGCACCATACGCATAGGCTACTTCGTGGTGCTCACCTGAACAATGTCAGACACAGAAGAGAAGGAAAGATAACTTCACGTTGAACCACTGTAGTTACGTGGACTATTTTAATTATGTCTTTACTACCTTTATGGGCCTTGAAAGTGTTAATATGGGGTCAGAAAGCTCTCAGATTTAATAAAAAATATCTTAATTTGTGTTCCGAATATGAATGAAGATCTTATGGGTTTGGAGCGGCATGCAAGTAGTGATTAAGTAGGCTAAGTAATTAAAGACATTTTTGGGTGAACTAACAACCTCCTCTTGTTTTTCAGTAGATCCAGTTGGTCGTCCTGGCCCGAGTGCTCAATCTGATGGTGAGTAAGTCTTGGTTGGTATGGTAGGTTTCAAAAATAAAAATTACTATGTGAGAACACATTCAAGTTTACAGAGTTTTAGTATCAGTACATAATATTGGATACAATTTTGAATAATAAGCCTATAAATAGTTGGAAAGCTAAAACCATTTCTTCAGAATGTTGGACACTGGCTCCATTTAAAAGTGAAACCGAAAGTATTTCCATGCGAATGGCATCTCTCTCTCATCTCTCTCAATGGCATCTCTATTAAAGACATTTTTTGGTGAACTAACAACCTCTTGTTTTTCAGTAGCTCCAGTTGGTCGTCCTGGCCCGAGTGCTCCATCTCATGGTGAGTAAGTCTAGGTTGGTACGGTGGGTTTTAAATCTCTTCACTCATTGTTAGGGGTGTAACAATATCATGTAACAATATATCACAATACAAAAAGGCAACAATATGTATTGTATAGTTACTGTGTGAGAAAACATTCAAGTTTACAGAGTTTTAGTATCAGTACTACATATCCTGTACATAATATTGGATATGATGTTCACTAATGCAATGGGGGAATATTTGTGGTTCCCGATAATGCCAAATGTCTTATGTGACCAGTAAAAAATGGCCTAAATTATTTTAAATATATCTAGTCAGTGACAGAGTTCAAACATGTTTGCTAAAATAATTCTGTATTTTCAGCTTCAGAATCATCAATATTTTTTTATTCTGGTTTCAAAAAGTGACTAGCACCAAGTCGAAGCCTATTCATTTCCACACCCAATGTAAAACCACATTTAGCATTTTAATCAATTTTTATTTTTGTTAACCTTTCACCAAATGTCTTGGAGCATCGCAATAATATCGTGAGTTCAGTTTCGTGATATGTATGTGTAGTGTTCATTTAACTTAAGGAAAATATCACAATACACAATTCACTCGAGTTTTCTAAAAACGTTTCAAAGCTCCAGGCAATCATCCTCAACTTCTGAGCATACATGGACTTGTAATCTCAGGTTTTAAGTTTGTTAGAATATGATAAATGATGTGCTCATGAGCTGTGTTGTGTTTTCTAGGCTTGGAGGTTATGCAACCGCAGTCAGATGATTGGCAGAGAGAATTGCAGGTTACTCCGTGCAGCCAATCATTTAAAAACAAAATACTTCAAGAAAATGGCCAAGAGGCAAGTATTAATCTATCGAAGTATTAAATAGTTAAATAGTCATGTTAAAATAACGCCTTCACATCAGTAGCTAGTCTTCCTAATGATATAACGCTAATGTTACTATAGCATAACAGTTGCTCTAGATTGCCATTGTATTAGTTGGGGTTAAATTCTGCATTAATAACTCCTGGTTGTTTTTCTTAGATTTATGAAGTGAAAGACAAGTTTGCAAGAACACGTCTTGCCCTGCTTATCAACAACAGAGATTTTAATGATAAGGCAATGACCAGGAGAGGGGCAGAGAGAGATGAAGAGAACATGGAATGGCTGTTAAAGGAGCTGGGTTATCAAGTTGTCAAGTACACCAATGTCTCTGCAGAGGTGCATATGAAAAACTGTCATTTGAAGTCATATCTTATGAAATTATAGTTTTTTATTGCTTGTAGAAAAAATGATCCAGATGGCCCATATATATATATATATAAATTGAAAACCTCGAACTTAAAGGGTTAGTTCACCCAAAAATGAAAATTCTGTCAGTATTTACTCACCCTCATGTTGTTCCAACCCCGTAAGACATTCGTTCATCTTCGGAACACAAATTAAGATATTTAAGATATTAAGATCGCTCCTGCATACAGTCCATAGGCTTCTTGAGGGACTGGCTCTTGCTGTCCTCGAAAAGTCATTAAAGACATCGTTAAAATAGTCCAAGTGACTACAGGGGCTCAATCTTAAGTTTATCAAACGACGAGAACACTTTTGTGCGCAAAAAAAACAAAAAAAATAACGACTTTATTTCAACTATTCACTTCCTTCTCCATGAGCCTGTAAGTCAGTTAACGTAGTGTGATTGCGTAGAGCTACGTCACACGTAGGCTCACTATTGGCCGACGCTGGTCATGTGTGTGTGATGCGTGTGACGTACAATAACAGAAGCTTACGCTATTAAACTAGTAACCTGACTCGCGCAGAGGGAGAAATAAACGAATAGTTGAAATAAAGTAGTTATTTTTGTTGTTTTTTTTGCGCACAAAAGTGTTCTCGTCGTTTGATAAACTTAAGATTGAGCCCCTGTAGTCACTTGGACTATTTTAACGATGTCTTTAATGACTTTTCGAGGACAGCAAGAGCCAGTCCCTCAAGAAGCCTATGGACTGTATGCAGGAGCGATTTTAATATCTTAAATATCTTAATTTGTGTTCCGAAGATGAACGAAGGTCTTACGGGGTTGAAACAACATGAGGGTGAGTAAATATTGACAGAATTTTCATTTTTGGGTGAACTAACCCTTTAAGCTAATATGTTTTTGTAATTGTCTTCTTGATTTATTTAACCGAGTTTATTTTTTTGGCAGGACATGAAGAAAGCAGTCAAGAAGTTTGCAGAGCGTGAGGAACATGCAAATTCAGACAGCACCTTTGTGGTTATAATGTCCCACGGAAAGAGGAACGCCATTTTGGGTGTCCATTATACAAAAGACAACCCCTCTGATACTTTCCCTGTTGATGATATCTACAATCATCTGAACTCTGAGAACTGTCCGGCTCTGCGTAATAAACCCAAGGTTATTCTTATCCAAGCCTGCAGGGGAGGTATGAAAATGACTAAAAATACAATTGTTTATTGTTGAATTCTCAGGACTTCATTGTATATTACTAACTCACCATTGATTGTAGTCATATTTGAAGAAGGCTGACGCTCTCTTAAAGGGTTAGGTCACCCAAAAATGAAAATTAAGTCATTAATTACTCACCCCCATGCTGTTCCAACCCCGTAAGACCTTCGTTCATCTTCGGAACACAAATAAAGATATTTTTGATTGAATCTGAGAGCTGGATCAGTCCTACATAGACTGCCTAAGGGACTGGCTCTTGACGGCCCATAAAGTCATTAAAGAAAAGGTTTAAATATTCCATGTGCCTACAGCGGCTCAATTATAAGTTTATCAAGCGAAGAGACTACTTTTTGTGCGAAAAAAACATAAATAACGACTTAATTTGACTATTCCATTACTTCCTTATGGGCGCATGCGCGAGAACTGAGACGAGGACGTTCTCCTTCGAACTTGTTACCGGCTGCTCACCGCTTAGGAGTATTACCGCCCCCTACCGTATAAGATGATGTGCTGATATAGCTGGAAGCGCAAAACTTTCTGTTTACAAGCAGAGGAAGATGAGCGCTGTACATACGCTTTTCGATTAGCGTATTTTCCGCACTACAAGGTGCACTTAAAAGCCTTTAATCTTCTTAAAAAACGACAGTGTTCCTTATAATACGGAGCGCCTTATATATGGATCATCATTTTATACGGTAGGTGGCGGTAAAACTCCTAAGCGGTGAGCAGCCGGTAACAAGTCGAAGGAGGACGTCCTCGTCTCAGTTCTCGCGCATGCGCCCATAAGGAAGTAATAGAATAGTCGAATTAAGTCGTTATTTATGTTTTTTTCGCACAAAAAGTAGTCTCGTCGCTTGATAAACTTATAATTGAGCCGCTGTAGGCACATGGAATATTTAAACCTTTTCTTTAATGACTTTATGGGCCGTCAAGAGCCAGTCCCTTAGGCATTCTATGTAGGACTGATCCAGCCCTCAGATTCAATCAAAAATATCTTTATTTGTGTTCCGAAGATGAGCGAAGGTCTTACGGGGTTGGTACAGCATGGGGGTGAGTAATTAATGACTTAATTTTCATTTTTGGGTGAACTAACCCTTTAACCAAATCTCTGTTCAGGGGAACATGGGCGCGTGTGGGCCAGTGACGGTGAGCCTGATGAGCCAGAGGAAATAGAGGGCGATGACTTTGTGCACAAGGAGAAAAACTTCATTTCTCTGATGTCCTGTACCCCGGGTAAAGTGCTTTTTGGCAGAGAGTTTTCTTTCAAATTGAGTCATGAACCCTACGGTTCTATATAAAACTGTCACAGAATGGGTGGATTAAGGTGCGAGGACTCGAGTGCAGAAACAATGGCTACATATTTATTAAGTAATTTATTTATTAAGGGAAAGGAGAACAAAAACAGGCAGGATAAGGAAGCACGGCGGTATTTCCGGTAAAGGTTTAAGGATGCTCGATAACTTCGACCGATCGTAGAGTCCAATGCAATACAGAGAATTTTTCTTGAATTTTATACTCCATTGTTATACTAAAGAAACGTTAGTCACAAAATCAGACAAAACAGACACCCCTCGTTGTGTTTATGCTTCTTTTTAAAATTATATTAAATAAACATAACTATATATACATTTACATCTAAACGTATGAAAGTTTCCTTTCAAAGACTGGAGGACAGTACATTTTGAAGACTCTGCCATAATCCAGTTTTCCTCGGTTTTCCTCTGCTTTAATCTCCCCAACCGGAAACTGAAGAGCATCCTTGTGTCAAATGCGAAACTTATGCGTGCATATAGCCCATAGGGAAACAAACAGAAGAGGGTAACGAACAAGGCAGGTGGGGCAAATCAATCAATAATCAGGTAAAAAGGGAGCACATGGCACAAGGAATACAAGCCATGTGCTCACAACAAACCAGACTAAACACCAACGCATGACAAACCGGGGATGTCAGAGCTGAGCTCTGTCACCAAACCAGATATAAACCAAACAGAGGTGACAGAACCCTGACAAAAACGGCATGGACCCCTATATAAAACACTGTAATTCAACAGTGTATGAGAGTGAAAAATGATTTTATATGAAATGGCTCATTTGTATTCAAATTCAACTTTATTTATTATTTTTTGAATGTGTTTCTCAGTGTAAAACCACAATATGCATGTTATACACAATATCTATTTAATTATTGAGGAAAGTCTGAAAGATCCTAACTAATGATTTTTGTTCTACAGAAACCAAATCTTACAGGCATGTGGAGAATGGAACTTTTTACGTGCAATACATAGTGGATGTGTTCACGAAAGATGCACACAAGGATCACATTGAGGAATTATTCAGGAAGGTAAATCACATGCTTCTGCAAGAGCAACTTGTGTGAATTATTTTCCTTTGAAAAGGTCAAACTATATCTTGATTCTGTTGTGTGTACATTCAAACCGTTCAAACGTTTGTTTCTTACCACAGATGTTCATGTTCTCGTTTTACAGGTTATTAGGCGTTTTGACAGTTCAGATATGCCCGGGAGCTACAGGCAGATGGCATGTAAAGACAGAGCATCGCTGGCAAAGTTGTTCTACCTGTTCCCTGGACTCTAATTGTACATGCATCTCTCTCCTCATCTGTGAATTCTGTAGACCCCCTATGTGCCTGTAATACATAATAATTCGCAAATGTATTTTCACACAAACAATACTTTATTTGCTAATAATCGTAACCTATGTGTCATATTTGAAAAGAAAATTTCGAAGGCCCTCGAATTATCAACAAGATCAAAACTGCTGAAAGACCTGTTTTACAGAATCACATTGCTTCTGTCCTCTGATTGATAGTTTATGTTTTTTAGCAAGTAAAATACTATTTAGTAATTTAAAAAAAACAAACAAAAAAAAACATCCCCCTTCAGTTTGTGGCACATGTGTCCTTTTGCGAAATCATTACTGATTTTTAAACATAAAAATAGCTTTTATACTTTTAGTAATATTTCTAAATACACATTTCCTGGAATTAAGAAAATTCGGTTAGGTTGCATCAATTTTAAGAAAAAAAAAATCATGTCAAATAGTGATTGTCAAATATGATACATCAGGAATATTTACAGTTGAGACAAATGTCATTTAAAATAAATGGTTTTGCTAATGTTATATTTAGAGAATGGTTTTGCTAATGTTATATTAAGTTTTTTAGAGATTGCAGTAGCCTCCCTTGGAAACCAGTTCACTTACAAAGTATCTGACAAAATAAATGCTACCTGTGAAGTTTATGACTGTCCTGACATTGAAGTAAATCGGCTGCATTAACGGTTTTAAGAGTGTGGATCACATGAGGTGGTCCACAGAGAAAACCTCAAATCGGCCTCTGAAAATGAATTAAACATACCACTCGTGTACCCCAGTAGCCTATTTACAAGACAGTGGTTATGAAATGAGGAAGGAAATGTTCCTTGTAGATGTTAGGCTGAAAGTCTAAAGAGTAGCCGCCTCAAGTCGCCGCCTTCAACTCGCCTCAAAACAGGAGGTCTCTTTTGCAGCGGTTCAACCTGTTCAAAGCCAATAGAAGAGCCACGAAACTTTGAGGAACCATGGAGAACATCATTAGGCAACATCTTCAGGATACTTTTGAGGATCTGGGGGAGGAAAAGCTTAGAAGGTTTAAAATCAAATTGCGTGATCGGACGGAAGAACCGGTTGTACGGCAAGCTACAATCGAAAAAATTAAAGACGCTCTAGATCTCGTCGATGTAATGGTGAACACTTTCACATTGAAACGCTCTGTTCATGTCACACTCGAGCTTTTAACGGCTATTAAAGAAAATAAACTGGCAGAGGACCTCAGAGAGAACACGAGAGACGGTAAGTAAACTGATATTATGAATCGATAGAATATCCTAGAAAACGTAGCCTGAAACTTAAGAAAGCAAAAATAGGAGAAGCGTGTACTTTTTCAAGATTTTATAATTATAAGTAGCCTAGTTGGAAACTAGAGCCGTTAAAGGTAGCCTAAAAGAGAGATGATTTTCTTGCAAATTGCATTTTTTCTTATTTTTTGTTATTGTGTGTGCAAATAATTGTTCCTCAAATGTAGCCCTCTACTTCGTTAAATAGAAGGATAATTCGTTAAATTATTTACGATTCATATTTCTATTTGGCACACTAGAGTTGAATTTAATTTTACTTTCAGTTTCCTCCGTGTAAGGTAAAGCCCATTAAACACTTGATTGCAATTTTTTGAAGAAGAGAATAGTAAGGACTGGGAAAGGCCAGTTAGGCTATATACAAGCGGTAATATAAGCTAAATTATTCATTAATATTCCAATCCATGTATAGTTTGTCGTGCACACTGAGGTTTGAATGTGAAACGTGGAGATTTGCAGCAAGATAATCTTCAACTTCCTCTTGTGTTTTTTTCAGTGGCTCCAGTTGTTCTTCAACCAGGCCCGAGTGCTCCATCTAATGGTGAGTATTATTAAGTCTAGGTCAGTTAGGTAAGTTTTAAATCTCTCCACTTTTTGTTGAACACAAATACGATGTTTATTTATAAGCTGACACACTTAAGTGCGTTCATAACTTTAAATATGACCAGATAAAACATAAGAATATGAACTCGGTCATCAGTATCCTCACAATCTGACCACATGCACGTTTACATCTCTTTCATAGGAACTCTACATCGATAGGGATTTGACAGAGCTTCATAATGTGGACCCTAAATGTAAATCAAATTTAACATTAATGACAAATACTCATTTGATTAAATGAAATATAGTATAGAAATATCTAATATGTAGCCTATCTTTATTAGCCTGTTTATTCAAGCCTATACAGTACATTTCATTGGAGTTTTGATGAATTGTCATGAACATTGGTTACTTTTATTTCTCTTAAATAATAAGTAGTAGTTGGAAACCTAAAACCAGTTCTTCAGAATTTAGAACCGGTTCCATATAAAAGTAAAAGGATTTTCATGCAAATTGAAGTTACTTCCTTAGCTGTGTGCAAATAATTGTTCCCCAAAAGTATTAATTCCTTAAGAAAAATCAGAATCGAAAGGAGAATTCGTTAAACGATTTACGATTCCTATTTATAGCCTACTCAAGACATGAACTTCATTTTACTTTCAGTTTCCTCTGTGTAACGCCCAATAAACACTTTATTACAATGTTTTGAAGAAGAGAATAGTAATCTTGAGGAAAGGCCATTAGGCTACAGTATATAATGTAATAAGCTGAATTCTTCATTAATATCCCAATCCATGTATGTGTGTGTTGTGCACACTGAGGTTTGAATGTGAAACGTGGGGATTTGCAGTAAGATAATCATCAACTTCCTCTTGTTTTTCCAGTTGTTCCTCAACCAGACCCCAGTGCTGTATCTAATGGTGAGTAAGTCTAATGGTGTCTTCACTCTTTGGTGAAGACAATGAGGGTGTTCATTTATAACCTAATAAACCTAAGTGCGTTCATAACTTTATATGACCAAATGAAAACTATTAATATGAACTCCATCATCAGTATCCTCACAATCTGACCACATGCACGTTTACATCTCGTTCATAGCGCAACGCTTCATAGATGAGAATGAAATAGAGCTGATAAATCGAGTTCATAGTGTGGACCCCATCCTTGATCAACTTCGTGTGAAGAAAGTCATCACAGACGAGGATTACAGCAACATTCGTGCTGAGAAAATCCCACAAGAAAAGATGAGAGCTTTACTGCTCATAATTAAATCTGTTGGCTCTATGGGGAAATATCTTTTATATGAAGCTCTCAAGAAATCAAATGGCATGCTAATGCAAGACCTTGAGGCTCAGAGATGATGAAATCTGTTAAATATTTTTTTTTACTTTAAATTTAAATTTCATTGTTTTAAAAATAGGCCTTTTATCACAAACTGCAAAACCAGCTAAGTTTGAATGTTGTTTCATCTGCTTTGTTTATTTTTTCCCCCCAAAATCATGTCCAAAATCTTGCTTAGTAACAAAAACCATTACATCTTAATTGAGGATTAAAACGCTTGTATAATGTCTTGAAAAAAATGTCTTCGATTTAGTTATCTTTTAATCACCTGTCAATAAACAACCGAGTCAAGAAACCAGATGTTTGTTTCTTTTCTACAAGCCCTTTTAATTTCAGAAGTCTGTTTATACCGACTCTTTATATTCCTGATTCAACTTTGCATAGTTTTAATATCTGATTGATACAATGTTGCACCTGATTTAATTATGACCATGGTATATTAATCATCCTGTATTCTGCTTTACCTTAGTCAATGCAATGCTAGAAATGTCGCTAGACATAAACAGGTTTGTAAAAATATAGATCTATGTCATAGCATTAACGTAGTGAACCTATAGTGTCTTTTAAATGAAAATGAATAAGCCTACTAACCAAAACTGTAGTTATTCCAAATACACACCATCACAAGGGTCCTTCAAGTCAATACATCTATGAAAAAAGATGAAAAAATTACATTTTGAATCAGAAAGGTATATACACTGGCTTTATACACTGTCGGTCAAAAGTTTGGAATCATTTTTAACGTTTAAAAAAAAACGTTTCTTTTGTTAAATCAATTTAAATCATTTATGTAATTCATCATATAACATAATAGTTTGAGTTTCTGATGATTAAATCAATCTCCTTCATTGTATTAACTCAATTTTTCTATTTCAATGAACTTAAAATGTTAAGGCAACCAGGTTACTTCATTTTTAAGTTAAACCAACAATCTTTTTTTACAGTGATGTTTGAATGCTATTTACATTTTAAAATAAATGTTTTATATTTTAATATATAGTTTATTTCCGTGATGCCAAAGCTGATTTTTCAGCACCATTACTCCAGTCTTCAGTGTCACATGATCATTCCATTATGCTGATTTAGTGCTCAGAAAGTTATTATTTTTTAAAATATAAATATTTTATAAGATTATATTATTTACTGCCACTTGAATCAATGTGTGTCCTTTAATAAAAGTCTTAATTTCCTTCTTTCTTTTAAAAAAAAGAAAAAGTTAATATTTAGGCAACCATAAACTTTTAATGGAAAAATGTGTGTTCAACAATGATATCAAGAAATGTTTCTTGAGCAGCAAATCAGCATATCAGAATGATTTCTGAAGGATAATGTGACACTGAAAACTGGAGTAATGATACTGAAAATTCAGTTTTGCATTACAAGAATAAATTACATTTTAAAATATATTAACATGCATTAATTTTAAATTCAGCCTTGGAGAGCGTAAATTATTCCAAACTTTTGACGACCAGTGTCTGGCAATAAATTGTAATAAACTGGAGCAAATCTTAGGCCTACTTGTTTTGAGAGCGTGCAGCTTTTCTGGCCTCTCGAGCTTCGTTCTCGGCGTAGATCTTCTTATAGCAGTAAATCAGCACTCCAATCATCCACAACTGCAGGACCACGATCAACACGTACATCATGATCTCAGAGATTACAGTCGTCAGCTCGGGGTTGGCTGGGGGAGCAACAAATTCACCTATTCAAATGACCATGCAGTTGAAATGCAAATCTGTCACATGTGAGTGGAGTTTGAATGAGTCTCACCCTTTTCTACGACTGTGAGTTCCACCTCTTTGTTTATTACCACGTGCTCCTCATTCAAAGAATGGTACAGCGTTCGGTAGAAGGTACAGCGGTAACTCCCAGTGTCATTGTATGTGACGTTGTGAATGAAGATGGCACCAATTTGCACATCCTTTGTCCACATAGTTCCTTGCCACTCTAATCTTCCGTCAAAGTTTTCATGAAGAATAGCGGGGTAAGGATATTCATACTCGAAAATCTGATGGGGACAGAGATATTAGCCTACTAATAAAACCATGAGAAGAATTAACCCTCAGGTGCTCTTCGTTTCGGAGTCACACTTGTTATCTTCCCGGTCAAAAGTGACCGGACACCTAAAAATTAAATTTCCTCCATCCCAGTAAAACCAATGCAATTTAGTTTTGTTCTATAATATTTATTCTTTGTAATTTAGTATTTTGAGACAATTTGATTGAATTTATTAATATTTATGCAATATTTATGGTCTATTTTTGCCATGGAAAAATATATCATATATATTTTTCCATGGCAAAAATATATATTATATATATTATATTTTTCTATATATATATTATTTTTTTTTAAAAAAATGATTAATGCGGTATTTTAGTTTAATATAGAGTCTAGGCCTTCAGAAAAAAAAATTGAAGAAAATTAGCACCATCTGGTTACAGTAGGCTATAGAGAAAAAGCGTAGAATCATGGTGTAACCACTAGATGGCATGTGCAGCTCTCTATGGAGAAGCATGTGAATTCCCCAGCTGTTTATGAACACATTTTTTTTTTTTTTTTTTTTTTTTGGTGGTGGTGGATTTGAACATATAGTTGAAACAATCTCAAAAACGATTTTTTTAATTTAAAAAAATGTAAAATAATAATAATAATAATAATAATAATAAATAAATAAATGAATAAAAAATTGTGAATTTTTGTGTTTTTGTCAATTTCCCATTCATTTCCTATGGGGGTCATTTTTTGACCAAATACCACAAGTGTGACTATTTTTTTTAAGACCACTTAGCATGCTCAGATCATGACCTCAATTTTTTCGTGTGTTCACATAATGCCATAAAAGTCACCAAGTTTCGTAACATTACGATGAAGCTGTGATTTTTAAAAATTCAAAACATACTTTTTGTAATCAAAATGTATTGGTGTGTATGTGTATAAAAGTGTGTGTGTGTGTTTGTCTGTTTTGCACTCTGGATGTTGTAGAGTGTCACCCCTTTCCTGCGGTACCTACTTTTTTTAGAATTGTGGCCGATTTGTAGATTGCACGCAGAAAAATTCAGAGAATTTTATTTATTTTTTGTCAATTTCCCATTCATTTCCTATGGGTCGGTCATTTTTGAACGAAGACCACAAGTGTGACTTTTTTTTTACGACCACTTAGCATGCTCGGATCATGACCTCATTTTTTTGTATTCACATACATAATGCCATAAAAGTCACCAAGTTTCGTAACATTCCGATGAAGCTGTGATTTTTAAAATTTCAAAACAGAATTTTTTTCGGTCAGAAATGACCGAAGAGCACCTGAGGGTTAAACGTGTGTCATTAAAGATTTTTTTTTTCTGTTCATTTAAACTGATTGGTGTTCTGCTCTGTTGTTGTACACTCTTAAAAATAAAGGTGCTTAGTTTGTCATTGATGGAACTTTTCCATCAATGGTTCTTTTAAGAACTGTTCACTGAAAGGTTCTTTGAGGAACCCAAAATGGTTCTTCTGTTCTTCAATGAAATTGCCTGAAACTTCCCTTTCGGAACCGTTATTTTTAAGAGTGTAAAATATGTCAAGCTGACCGAACGACCTGACAACAGGCTTTCTGATCCATATAATCTCCGTACTAACATGGATATACTCCTCAGTTCCGGCTGGTTTGAAGTGCCACTCCACAATAGCAGAACCGGGCACTTCTGCTCTTTTTTTGCAGGAAATGCAACCCAACAGAAAGCTTTCTCCAGCCACAGCCTCTGTCATGGAATCCACTTCAGCACATCCAGTTTGGCCTTGTGGCACTAAAATTAGACATTTTAAACAATCAAGATAAAGAGATGCACGATTATTAGTTCAGATGCATTACGCAAAGATGTTATGGCAGTGGAACATTTTGCAGGCTTGATCCATAAGCTTGAGTTATAAATCTAAAGATAAATGTGGACCTGACATGGAGAGACTTAAACTAGCAACATAAGACAGTCTATAGCCTAATAAATAATGACAAAATATAGGATGCTAACATCTGATGATTGTACTGATCCAGTCCACTAATCGTATAATGACCTCTAAATAATTTTTATCGTTTTAAATAATTTCACTCTTGCATGTTTTATAACTTACCTTGAATAAAAAAGACGCTTAGAGCCAAAAATAAAATCATCTTCATTGTCATTTTCACCATTCACGCACAGACCGATGCTTTCATAAATCGACTTTTTGAAATCGTTTCCTTGTTCCACGTTTCTCTTTTCTTCTTTATTGTCACAGTTTCTTAAACATTACTGGGCTCAACATCCTCATTTCCTCCTATTTTAAATCAAACTCTTCAGTTTACTATCCTAAAAAAATACATTTAAAAAATCTTTCAGCCTTCAAATGATTTCGAGAAAGCGTTTAAAGCTTTACAATTATATCACGTCACACTAAAAAACAGATCGTGTCTTGCAGCAGACTTTGGCGTTTAGGAGAGCTAAGTATAGACCGTGTGAATCCTTGTGCTTGCAACTCAACACGGAATTTGAGACGTGAGATTCGGACGAGCGCGAGCGCGAACGGCGTCCAGTTGCTATTCGATCACCCAATCATCACGTGGCATGCCGTTTTAACATTTAGTCCCTAGAACTATTTTCAATTTATACTTAACTTTTAATAGGCTACTAGTAGCAAATAATCCAATAGAACGTATTCAGTTTCATTGGTTTTGGTTTTATTGTTATTGGTAGGCTAATACATTTGCATGACATTATATGAATCACAGAGGTTCGGATATCAAAAAAAAATATATATATAAATAACTTAGAATGTATTCCAATGAATACTGGTATTAGTTTGTATTTATTAGATACTAGTAGCTACATATTTATAAGACAGACATTAATACTATCCATGTAAGGAATAAGTGTTGAAATAGCTTGCCACATTAAATCAGCACTTTTATCAGGCCTTTAACTTTTTTTATATATCAACATTTTCAGAAATCACCTTTATATTTTCAGTTAGACCTAAGGAATGAATATGATACAAAATAAACTACTAGTAGTAGTAGTTAGGTTGTAGCTTAATTTCAGGGACCATAAACCAGTAGTCAAGGACATTAATGAGATTCCTGATCCTTTTGAGTTGCTGTGGTTAGTAGTGCTTGTGAAAAAGATTAAACACATGTGTGGAAACTGATTATATAGCCTTTCTCTTCTCATTTAAATCTCCATTTGTTGAAAACATTTGCATATATACTCCTCTTTTGTTAGACAGCTGCATACACCAATGTTCCACAAACTTGTTTATTTTCCTGTGAAAACATTTATTAAGTAGAAGTGTCAATAGCCAGTAAAAATGTGCATAGCTTTTTTTTAGCATTTTGCAAAATGCAGTGATGTCACAGGGGACACACAAGAGAGTCGACATGCAAAAGAGTTATGCTTGAATTTCCACATGAATTTTACTAACAAATAAGTATAAGCAAACAACAATGGAGGCCTTTTCAAAGATTCTAAAGTCATTCTATAGGAGAGCTGTAAAGATTTACAAGCTTCAATAGTTCTCCATGAGGAAATGTTGATAAAGATTATCTTACAGTACCTGTCAAAAGTTTGGAAACATTACAATGTTTTAATGTTTTTGAAAGAAGTCGTATACCAAGGCTGCATTTATTTCATTGAAATATTAATACAAATTAAACAGTTTTCTATTTGAATATATATTTAAAATAATTTAATAGAATGAATGTAAATGTATAAAAAGTAATATTTCCAAACATTTGACAGGTTATTTATAAATAACACTTATTTATTTACACCTAAAATATGACATCTTTGGATGTCTCACGGATAAAAGTCTCACGGATTGTAATATTCATAAAAGGCTTTTATATTGCAATTGTGAAAGTTTTCAAATGTGTCCCGCTGCTGTAAAGTTTAGCTGTTTATGTAGTGAAGCAGCTTTATATGGTTTATCACACAACTTCCCTGTTTTCACTGATGCTCAGTGTCAGTTTACTATAAGTCTGAAGCACAGGGCCATTTCACTGTAGAGCAAGGTTAACAAAATTCTCCCTAATGGAAAATAATACCAAATTATAATGTTTTATCACACAACTCCCCTGTTTTCTTGTCATGGCACTGATGCAAAGAGTCAGTTTACATAGTCGGGAGCACAGGGCCATTTCATTGGAGAGCAAGGTTAACGGAGTAGTTCACTTTAAAAAAAACAACTTTTGCTGATAATTTACTCACCCCCATGTCATCCAAGATGTCCATGTCATCCTTTCTTCAGTCGAAAGAAATTAAGGTTTTTGATGAAAACATTCCATGATTTTTCTTCATAATTCACTTTACTTGGCACCAAACGGTTCAAGGCCCAAAACACAGTTTCAGTGCAAACTGTTCAATGGGCAATGGGATTACAGGCGATGAATAAGCGTCTTATCAAGCGAAACGATCACTCGTTTAAAAAAAAGTTTAAGTTTTATAAGCTCAAATGAAATGGTCGCCACTTGCTCTGTTCTGTGATGCGCCTTCGTGACTCTCCTGTTCGAACTCGTTCCTCAAAATGAACAAATCTTTTTCTGAGTCAGTTCGTTCATTTCGTTCGTTGAATGAACCAAATGGCACAAAAAAGATTTTTTAAACGAGTTCGAACAGGAGAGTCACGAACTCGCATCACAGAGCAAGGCGACCATTTGAGCTTATAAATCTTAAACTTACTTTTTTTTTTTAAATGAGCGATTGTTTCGCTTGATACGACCCTTATTCGTCGTCTGGAATCGTTTAAAACCCTTTGTTTGAAAAGTTTGCACTGAAACTGTCTTTTGGACCTTGAACCGTTTGGTTACCAGTAAAGTGCATTATATGGAGAAAAATCCTTCAATGTTTGCATTTCTTTTCGACTGAACAAAGACATGGACATCTTGGATGACATGGGGGTGAGTAAATTATCAGCAAAAGTTTTTTTTTTAAGTGAACTACTCTTTTACCAAAATCCTCCCTAATGGAAAACAATTCAATCTCCATTATCTAATTATTATTAGAAAGGCTTTTTTTTTAAAACATTAAATGTTTAATAAATAGGCTAAATCACAAAAATATAGAATTATTTTTTTCTCTCTTTTTTTTTTTGGTCAAACCGTTGTCCTTCAGATGTGGTAAGTGTGTTGATGTAAAATATATATACTGACATCATGTCATGTCAGATTGCGTCAGAGGTTTACTGAGTAACTGACAAACTACGGAGTGAAGGTTGTTTTGGTCCCTCGCGCGTCAAGCGCACCCTCCCCAAACACAACCACAGGCATAGGCTACGCAAAGCGTGCCGCTAGATTTCCTTAGCGACTCCCACGAGCAGGTGAACACTTATATTTAGCACCGCTCGAGTTTCCAGATGCCAGTTCAGTGCCAGCAGACGTACAGCAACAACATAACCCTATGGAATCTCTCCACTAAGCCAACACAACTCGTAAAACCATAGCCTACGACTCACAGGCACGAGTCACGAGCAGGTCACGAGCAAGTGTTGAAAACCTGTCAAAATCGAAGAGGTGAGTCAAGGTTATTCAATATTTGATAAACAAAACGTTCCCGCGGAAACCCGTATAAACAGGAAAAAGCTCAAGAGACTGGAACCTATTATAGCCTAACAGTTAACATAGCATTGTATTCTATAGGCTACATTAAATAATCTATAGTAACGCTTTCAGCATGTATCTAATGACACGTAAATATAAACGGTTGGGCAAAAGCAGCTTTAGACTAGCTACTGTAAATCTAAGTACACAGTTCAGGAGATGGTTTTGTTTTTAAAGCATACTATTTTATTTGAACAATATAGCAGCCTATATCCAGGTAAGGTTTTACTATGGGATGGGCTTTACCAAGTCGCGTTAAGTCAATGTAATATAGTCTACGTTGAAATGATATCCAACTTAAAAATTTTGAGTCAGCAACTTTTTTTTGTTTACAGTGTATTCTTTGCGAGAAACGGACTGAAAAGGCAAGAGAATATCAATTCCACACTCATCTCTCATTAATCTAGCCCAGAATAATGATTGTTAAATGCTTTGAAACAAGCATTCAAGGTAAGCGAATCTATCATTCTTCACTCTTTATTCCTACTACATTGTTACTAATCTAAATGTTTAAGCTATCCTCGTTGGACTTCTTACCAATCGAAATGTTCAATCTATTATTGTTGGACTTGGACTCCCATATTATTATGGTATTTCATTCCTCTTTTTTTTTAGTTTAGGTTAAACGCGCTACACTTTATGCCCTGAAGAGGGCGCAATAAGCAAATAAATCATGTCAGCTTGGAAAAGATTTGTGGAGTAGAAATCAAATTGAACATCAATGACAAATGCTCACTTGATTATATTAACTATAGTATAGAAATATATAATATATCTTAATTAGCCTTTATGTTTACTCAAGTCTATATTTCATTGGATTGTTGATGAATTGTCTTGATGAACATTGGTGACTTTTATTTCTATTAATATGGTGGTAATATGAACCGTCTTGTATATTCCATATATACTAATCATTCATTTCATTTTTTTTAGACAATTAAAGCATTTAAAATTAATTATTTATGTACTGGCCTGTTACTGAACAAAGCCAAAACACCCGTTACTTTTTATCTGCGCACGCTGAAGATCCTTTTGATGGATTCTCTCTCGACTATACCATTGAGTAAACCGGGAGGGGGTGTTTGTAATTAAGTGTAATTCTCATTAATTATTTTCTTCCGCTTTATGTGGTGTTTTAATATCGAAGATGTTTATATTAAGTGTTCTCATCATAAGAGTTCAAACTTGAACTTACTTAAGTCACAGAGCGTAATTGTACATATCCTGGCGTTTGAATCTACCCCGTGTCAAATTTTGGCCCGTAGCATTGGAAACTGTTCGCTATCTTATCTCTTCTCTTCGCGTAGCATTTAAACTTAGGGAAAGTTCGTATACTTAAAATGTATTAGATACGTAGCTTAAAGAGGCATATTTTAATAGACCAAACTATGAGACCTTAGTCCTGTGACTAAGAATTTGGAATGGCGGAAAGGCGATTTAACGGATAAGAAAAAGTAAACAGAGGACCGTTTTCTCTCCCACCGGTATCATTAGCATGCTAGCCAACTAGCAACTAGTATTCTCCCCAACTGTCTGTCTGAATAGTACAGCTGACCGGTTCGTCAGCCCTGCTAACGCCTATCATGGTTTGTTTACTGCAGTATGATTTGACATTTACGCATTTCAACGTATGTAATGTTGACCCGAAATAGTTTAACAGAAGTACATAATTAGAAAACAGCTTAATCTGAAAACTGGAAGCGAAAGCTAACTTTTCTGTTAGCTTGCCGGCTAAATTAGGGGTGCTGATGTGTTCTTGCGAAAAAGTGGACTTTAACATCACCCCTCGCACTGTCGCCCGTCTGGTGTATGAGGCCGAACAGGAAAAAAACAATGGGGGTAATTCGTCCAATGGAAGGTAGGAATTATTGTTATTACTACTATTATTATTATTAAGTTAGACAAGTTGCAACAACTTTACAAAAAGGTTACAATTATTTAATGTATGAACTATCAAACTAAATTATCACGAATTAACCATGAGCAATACAGATTTGTTACTGTATTTGTTAATTTGTGTCAATGTTAGTTAATAAATATCCAGCTATTCGTTGTTTGTTCATGTTAGTCCACAATGCATTACATTATATTTCCATAATGTAGTAGTAAATGTTGAAATGAACAGGAACAAAGATGAATAAAAGCTGTAGAAGTGCAGTTCATTATTAGTTCATGTTAACTAGTGTAGTTAACTAATGTTAACGAATGAAAACTTATTGTGAAGTGTTACCGACTTATTTGCCTTTTATTAGGTTAAACAGTATCTGTCATTGATGCCCTTCATTTGACTAATATAACTTTCATTTATTGCACTCTGGTAGTTTTTACACTTCCTCAATGTGTAAATGAAAGTGTTAATATCTCTAGTTTGATTTGTTCAAACAAAACCTGGACATGATTTAGCTTGTTCAAACAGGAAAGTAAATAAAGTAGAAGATTGTGTCCCTGCCCTTGATAAATGGCTGTCAGTCTTGTTCTGAAGCCTATGACGAAACTCTTCTGTCTTGAAGCTTTTCAGAGGAATTTGTATTAATCTCCTAATAATCAGGAATTTCTACATAATTATTATAAAGGTCAGGTTTTGATAACTGCTGATTTCGTTATCTTGTCAGTCCCTTGCTGATGAGAATATGCTGCTACTATTTTGGTTCACTTTTATTTTCAAATTTCTCTTCAAAGTTTTTTTCTAATGCGAAATGTTTGTTTCTTATGGTAATTTCTTTCAGTTCAGGAAGGCATTTTTACTCTGAAAGAAAGTGAACAATAAAGAGGACACACTGTGCTTCTCTTTTATTGTTGTGGTTGATTTGTCTCAGCATGGGTCACCAGCTTGTGGTCCAAGTGACAGGAAAAAAGGCCTAGAGCTCTCGTAGAGAAGAAACTTTTCTTCTCTACCCACAGCACAAATGTTAAAACATTTTAACATGAGGTAAAACATGCAAAGCTGATAGTCGGGTGAGAAAATGAACAGGGTTTCTATTTACATGTGCCTTCCCATAGCATGAACAAAATGTGTTGTCTTCCCTTTGAACATGATAAAATCCAACAATACAGTTATAGGTTAGCACTTAGCATCAGTTCAAAATTTACTGGGTATGTCATTATGTTTTGGATTGGGCTGTTGAAGTTTTACACTCAAGATTAATCAAAGGCAGTAGCTTACATAGGAAAAGTAAACCGTAAACAGTGCAGGGTTTGGTTCACCTCTTCTTTGGATAGAATCTGCAACCTTCATATTAGCAGCCTAGAAGTGTTTTTCACAGTGTTCAGGTGCCAAATGGCAAACAATCACAGAGAGATGATGGGTTCATTGTACTGTAATCAACCAACGGTTACTCCACCCTTACATTAATAACAGCTTGCGTGCATTAAACACCACTTAGCCGGGTGTGCAGGTTGTTGCTGTATGATTTTATGTTTGTGTTCTTTTGAATCTCATTTAGAGGAGCTATACTATAAGAATATGGGAGAATATAGTCCAACAAGACCATTGACTTAAACTTTGTCTGCTAAATCATGTAAAAGAGGTTTTAATAATTTTGTGGAAATATATTAGGAATGCAATACCATGACCATTTAAGAAACTGCTGTTTAAAGTTTTTATTTTAAAAAATAAAAATAAATATCAAGGGTCATGTGACACTGAAGACTGGTGTAATTTCATCACAGGAATGGATCAGATTTTAAAATATATTAAATAGAAAACAGTCATTTTAAATTGTATTAATATTTCACAATATCACTGTTTTTATTGTATTTATTATTACATAAATGCAGCCTTGATGAGCAAATTGCCTCAGAAAAAAAAAAATACCGAATGGTATACAATATACTTTTTTATTTATATTTCTTATGCATGTAGTTTTGAGTCTCTGAATCTCTTCAACATTTGGCCGAACTGTTAAAATAAAACAGTGCCTTGTGAAATGCATTCAAATCAGCCCTAAGTGTTAAGTGTTTTTAATACTGTTTGTGCATTCCTGATATATTGTGAAATACCGCAACATTATACAATAGATCCATAAAGATGTTTTATAGAATATAAAGTTGCTCAAATAAATGATTTTTCAGTCTGTAGCTTGAAGTAGTTAAGGACAAAAATAGTTTTTTCCCCTTTTCAGCAACATGATCTTATCATACCTGATGTGCAAATCGCAATGACGAGGCACATTGCAAAACGGCTTTTTTTGTGAACTCTGCTTGTGGAAGAGAAAGGGGCAGAGACCTTTTTTTTGAAAGAATGCAGCAGAGAAACGGGAAGAAGATGGATCTGATATCAAGCAGTCTTCGATGCAAGCACGTTCAACTTCTCAAATTCTCAGTTTTTTCCCCCCAAGAGATGGCTGCACATTTTTATGCATATTAGAACCCAGTGATGGCTCCACCCCATTTTTTCAGTTCCTGCTGCAGGAATCTATGTTGTATTTATGCTGTACATCTGTGAAGGAAGCTCAACTGCTGACAATTTTCTTCAAGACAGCGAACCGAAATGGATGCAGACCTTTCCAAATGTAATCAGATTGTATTTCTGTTATAGCGCTTCTTTGAGCTTTTTAGCAGAAAAGCTCTAGGTGATGTATGAAAGTCTGTTGATGATGGCTGTGACACCACCACCTGTAATCACCATGGCTGAGCCCATTCCCATTCCAACCCTGAACATTTTTCCACCTTCGTCCGATACGGAGTCGTGGTCCTGCTCCCCGAGCCCACGGCGACACCGGTACCGCTCACGCAGCCGAAACCGAGAGAACAGGAGAGCTAAGGAGGTACAGCAAAGAGATGCATCAGAGAACCATTGGGATAAAGGGAAAGGGGAAAGTGATAGAAATCAAAGCCCTTCACATGCATCTCCGATGGTTTCTAATGTAGAAGAGGAAGAGCAGGGAAGCCCCTCTGTGCTTCTCCTACCCCCATCAAGCTCATGTTCACGGAGCTCTTCCCTAAGCAGGCGCTCTCGCTGGTCTATCCGTAGCCTTCTCAGCAAGGATTCAGATTGTGACAGCAGCAGGTCAGTGTGTTTCCCCCCTCCCACTTGCACAGTCAGCACCATTCCCTTATGCTGGCTTAAAAAAGAAAGTAAAGTGCATCCTCTCTGGATGCTCAGAGCCAGAGGGATATTCCTGCAGGTGCAGATGCAATAACTCTTTAAGAAACAGATTTGGTTGGGTAGGAGATGTTTTTTTGTCTAATTTAGATTAGCAGATTTTTCTGTCAGTGATGTGTGATTTATTTTATTTCTTGATTTAAACGAGTGTTTGTTGCACTTCTCCTTTGTCAACAGTATTTTTAGTGTGTCATTTACCATAGGAAATATATTTGACTTGTTCCTTAGTTGTATTTATAAAGCAAGCAAGAAACATGGTTACTGTAAGGCACACACCATGCAAGTAATGGGCCATGCACTTAAGACATTTAAAAAGGTCAAGTATTTTCACGCCCCCAAAAATGGTTTTAAGCCAGTTATTTATATCTTTTGCTGTAATATGTCAATAGGAAATATCAGTTTACATTTCCAAGCATTCGTTTTGCCATTGTAGAAGTCCAGTGAGAGTTTTGTATGCACAAGGGGTCTGACAACACCCGATGTGCTCCACGGAGATCTGATCTCGCCATCATCGAGGCCATCTGGGAATACAGGAAGAAACAGAAAAAATTGAGACAAACTAAATCCAGAAGATCTGTGGCAACGTCTCCAAGACGCATCCTTTCAAGCAATCCTCACTTTTACACACAGTATTTTTACACAAGTATCTAAAACATTCCTACCAGCAGGTAGGTTTCTTACTAGGTAGGACAAAAGCGGTTTGAAATACGTTGGTAACACCAAATATATTTTTAATAATTTATTTACATATTTTATTTGTTAGTTAATTTCTATTAACTAATATTTATCAATGTATTTAAAACAGCTTTTGTCTTCTGTGCACTTTTCAGGTAGTTTTGCGGGTTGGCTCCTTTAAGTTGCCACAGTTCTCCTGGGTTTAGTCTGTCTCCGTTTTTTTTTGTGCATGTAATCACAGACAGACTCAATAATGGTGAGATCGGCACACCAGCTGTTGTCAGACTCCTTGTGCATGCAAAAATCTCACTGGATTATTACAATTAATGGAAAAATGAATGTTTGGAAATGTAAACTGATATTTCCTACTAACACACTACAGCAACAGATATAAATAACTGGCTTAAAACTATTTTTAGGGTGAAAATACATGCCAAAGACTTTTACACAGTATTGCATATTAAAATAGAAAACAATCCATTTTAAATTGTGATCATTTCACAATATTGCTGTTTTTTCTGGGTATGGATATATACATTTCTATATTTAATATTAAATAAATATAAATTGAAAAATAAATAATGCTATAAATGCTGTCAATAGAGTTAAACTTGTACTGATCCCAAAACATTCTTTCAATGCAAATGTAATGATTTGTTTCCTAGTAAATTGGCATCTTATAATCTACTTTAGAATTACAGCCTAGTAACGGTTCCGTTCATTGCATATGTATAAACAGCATGCTTGTTATAATTATGGTGAATTTGTCCAGTTAAAACACAGAAGTATTTCCAGGGACCAAATTAAACAGAGTCCTAAAACACTGTCATAATGTGAGGTTCGAGTCCTTTTCATGAATAACAGGAAGATGATAGAGTGACAGAAAAAAAGAGGAGTGCTCTTGGCAGCGGAGAGATGGAGGTGGGGCTCTATCTGAGCCGCCTGGCTCTTGTACGCATGACATCACTATTACCCAGTAGGAGTGTTCCGCCTTTTCTGGTGATGTCACTACTGCCCAATCAGAAGCCGCTGTGTTGATGCTGCAGTGAAGACTGTCAGCCAGTGAAAAGACGAGCTTTGATAGCGAAAGGTGTTTTGTGCATGCCACATGAACAGCTGTGCCCTTGTCCTTCTCATCTACCAACCGGTTTCACTGACCTAGTTCTTTTTGTTGTGTTGCTCAGCCGTTTTAAAGGCTAGCTCTGAATTCGAGCCTATTGTGGTGTTTTAAGAGGTTCTGGATATTGTTTAGTAAGCGTTTATTTATTGATTATCTTACTAGAACTTTAAACCATACAATTATGCAAAACACAATCCTTGTTAGTCTGAAATCAATACAAAATCAATGATGGGTATCCGTTATAACCCTTGTAATGATTCAAACAGACTTGAATGAGTATTACAGTATGAATCATTTACATGTGATGAACCTATAAACAGGGTTTTTGGAAACAAGCCATACTTCCTTTATTTGTTGACAGAACTGTGCTAATCTGAAGTTCAAGAGGGAAAGCCTGTTTATTGCTGCTCACTTGCATGAATCGTTTTCGCTGACTGTAAAATTGGCCTTGTTTGTTTAGCAACGTCTGTGGGTTGTTTGTCTGTCCAAAATCAATGCAGATTCCTGACATGCAAGTTTGCACAACATCTGACATGAAAGTTCTAGGTTTTCCACCAACATTAGATCCAATTAATTGTAAATATCAGTGTTTTTTTTAATCTATTGCCTCCTAATGTGGCAAAAATAATCCAGTTTCTAATTTCAGCCTGTAAACACCCTGTGTGCAATCAATGCTTTTTGATTTCTGCTTCGTTGCCTGAGGTTCACTCTGTTTACATCGGCTGCTTCTTAAGTCTGAAGATTTCATTTGTCTAAGCCTCTTTGGAGTGCTTTGGCCCTTTCTGACCATGATGTACTTGGGGTGACATATGTTCCTATAAACTTGTTGAGATCCTTTTAGGATCACAACACATTTAAAGCTCTGTTTCCAGACACATGTGATTGCAGAAATAGATTGAATAGCTTTGAGCTTCAAATCTCAATCCAGGTGATAATTGCACTGGCTGAGCATTATCTGAGTTTGATCAATGCCACTAAAGCCACATAAGTGAAAGATTGAGTGACATTGATCACCCATAAGGTCGACAGTACACTACATTGTTGACTTGCATCTGTACTGCAATCTACCGTATATTACAGAAGTTGTGCATTGTTAAATTTGCACTGTTGAGACGAGAAAACAAAACGCAGATAAGTCAGAAAAGTGTATAAAAAATCATTCTAAATATAAAAGAATGGCAGAGTACACGTCTATAACGATAATAGCAATCACTTTCAGAACAATTTTTTCCAGCTGATGAAAGATTAAAACATTAACAGCAAAACTGGCAGCGTGCTTAGAATAAACAGAACAGTATTGTCCACAGGTGTAGACGCTAATATTGTTGTTATAGTTATCTTTCTTGGTGTGAACAGGTGCTAAGTCACATTTTATAATTATATTCAGAAAAAAAATTAAATACTGGTAAAGTTAAATGTTTATAAACATATTTGAGTTCCCTCACTCCACAACAAAAATTAAATTTGCACATGTAGAAAATTTACTATACAAATAAACTCGGGATCATGTATCCCTGTCTCTTTTGGCAAAAAATAAATAAATAAATAATAATAATTTGTGCATTTCTTGCTTCCTTGAGGTTATTTGCATAAATAAATTATTTAGGAATTAAAATCACAGCACATTTCAGAGTTTATGTATATAAAAGTGATTTATAATTTCATATGGTAGGCCTATGTATGTTTTTAGTGACCGCAAGGTCCCCTCCGCCCCTTATACTATTAAAAGTTAAGATGCTTAAAGCGAAATTGTAGCTTTAACATTTATTAATTTAGCAGGCACTTTAATCCAAAAGCAAATAGCAATACACATAAAAGTCTACTTAATTCTATATTTGATTTAGGGTCAGTTTTGGACTCGGAAATCTGTATCTATATGTCTTGGCTTCCCTTAACCCTCCTTACTGAGATTATGCAGCCTCTCCCTGGAAAACAGATTATGGAGACAGCCAGACCGCTGAGCATTATTATGCAATTTTATGATCATTATTAGTGTAGTTAGGGTTAACCAACTTCCCTGTTTCTGATAATCAGAATAATTCATTTCATTTGAATGACTTTGTATCCTTGCCAACTCCAGGTGTCCAGGCAGAGCATTTCAAAACAGTGGTATTGACTGAAGTGCTTCCACATAAACTCTAAGCATAATCCCCTATGGGTTGGCTCTGCTGTGTGGTGGTTGTAAAGAGAGGGCCACTGCCTCAAACGGTGTTGATTCCCTCCTCCATACTGAACAGCCTCTTCTCTCCTCCCCCTCCTCCTCTTACCCAGTGTGTAGGTTGCTTAGGATAACCGGAGCGCTCATAGTGGAGACCGCGGTGGTCGTTGCGTTTTAGAAGGGGGTCTGGTACCTCGTTTGGGATGGGGATTTTGAACGATCGCGTTCTGTTGGACTAGAACGGGCAGCGGATGAACAGAGGACGCGGTGTCTCCAATGTATTCGTCTTGTTAATCTGAATGTACGGTCTATTATGTCGGCGCAGTGCCATATTGAGAGGCTACTGTAAAATAAACGTGGGCATCACGCATTGATTTGAGAAAACACCCAATGACATGTTCGAGTAAGTAGCAAATGGTTTAGTTCTTTTATGCAATGCATGTAAAAAACCGTATGCTAATGTTGTATGATGATTCTCTTTATCAGTTGTTCTTGCTTCACAGTGCATTAGTAGGTTAAGGCGTTAACACGCATGCAACTGCGATTGCATCCACTAACCGTGCTGATGACATAGACATTATTTCTGTTTGATCAGTCAAGGTTTGCCCAAATGCACGTTCTGCACTGAGGATTAGATTGGCGCGTGCCGTAGTTTTACATAGTGCAGGTTTAGCATGCAAATGGCCTTTTCGTCTTACGTTTACTTTCTGTAAATTGCATTGGTTTACGCAGTATCGACGTGTTAAAATACGGCATTCGTATTTTAGCTTCAGCATTTCAGCACCCATTCATTCTCTTGACGTTTCCTCAAGCGATTCGTGAACAAGTCGTTCAATTTATCGGTTCTTTTGAACGAATTGTTCGAACTGGCTCATCAACTGGAAAGAATCTATTCATGCGGTTCTTGAATCAACAAATTGATTCATTCAACTGAGAACCTGTTGTTTCGAACATGCCCGACTCGTTATGACAATCGATGATCGTGCTGAATTGTGCTTAAATAATGGACTAAAACAACACTTTAATAGCCATATATAAGAAATAAGAACACATTTAATGTAGTGATAATCAACTTTTTATTCATTGTGACAGTTTTGTTAGTTACACATCATGGTTTGCATGTCAATGACATTCATGACAAGTCATGATGCAATAGACTCTGATTAAATATCTTTTTTCTTTTTTTCTTTCTCTTAATTTGTTTGGGAAACTTTACATGGAGATTTGATGTAATTTACTGTCACAATTATGTTAGCGGTTGAATAGTTTACAAAATGTTTTTTTTATTTTGTTCAAGTTCAAGTCTTTATTTTGCCAGAACGACCCACATCGCCTGGAATTCATTTTGGTGAATTGGCGCACACAAGACAATGCACCATAACATATACAATAAAAACATGAAATCTAAACAGAGAACAAATACTTAGAATACTGCTAATTTGGGGGGTTATTCTTAGGTTAGTCTGGCTTTTGTTAGGATCTTATTAAATGTAAATTTTTCTGCTCTTTTATTTTGTTGTTGAATTGCTGTCACTGTGTTTTTGCTGACAAGTAAAACAGTAAATTTTACATTTGAAACCTACTAGATCAAATAGTTAAAGGGATATTCACCCAATAAATGAAAATTATCCCATGATTTATTCAGCCTCAAGGCATCCTAGGTGTTTGTGACCATCTTATTTCAGACTAACGCAATCGGAGAAACCTCTGACGTGGGATGTAACTAGGAGTAGCGTAAGCTTAGGTGAGAGTAAACATACTTCTCTCTTATATCAAAATCCTCCATCCTCGACTGCCGGAACTAGACTCGCCTACGGTCGTTACCAGAAGTCAGTGATTTATAGTTTATAATTTATAATATAATTTAAAGTTATAAAATTTAAATTTCTCTTAAACAAAAACATTGCTCAGATTCAGAAACCCTTTATTATTACCCGCCCTGGAGCCGTGTGGATTACTCTTAGATGGATATGCTTTTTGGGGCATCAAAAATCGTGAGCACCATTCACTTCCATTATAAAACTTGGAAGAGCCAGGATATTTTTTAATGTAACTCCGAGTGTGTTCTTCTGAGAGATGATAATCATGTACACCTACGTAGTATGGCTTGAGGGTGAGTAAACCATGGGATAATTTTTTTGATGAACTTCCCAAAACGTCATTGCTATGCTCATCTTGCATCAGGCATGTCTAATCAATGCCCAGAAGAGTGACTAGCTGCTGTCTGTTATGGATTTCTTAATTTTCAATGGGATTTTTGAAGGTGGTTTCAAAACTTTTCTTACACTGAACATTCATTTCGAAGAGAACTAACTGAATATGCAATATGTACAGGAAAACTTGTGGTCAAGGTTGCCATAATATATATTTTTTGATATTTCAAATGTCTTTAAATGAGTTGATTTTCATTAGTGCTATCAATTATGTTTCGAATACATAGAGTAACAAGTTTTTAATGCTTTGCATGCTTTTTGTAGTTGCAAGTAGGACTGGGTGATTTATTAAATATTCACAATATATTCTTAATGATTTTTCTGGTGACATAAAATTAAGCAATATTGTGAGAAAATAAATAAATATATATAAATATATGATAATAAATAATATATAATTTATTTATACAGTCGACATTTGAAGTGGATCAAAACCTTTCATCAAATTATACATGAATTTTGAACAATACCTGTACTTGTCATAGGACAACTTTGATGAACTTTTTTGATCCACTGCAAAAGTTGACATACATAAACTTGTCTTTTAATACATATAATTGTTCATTTTTTTTGCTGCATCACCCAACCCTAGTAAGAACAAATGATATTAAGGATTGATTTTGCATGCCTTAAAGCTGTTATAAGCACTCCTTTGACAAAACAGGTCTCATATGTCTGCCATTTAAATGTCTCAACAGACTGATCAAATGCTGGTGAACAGATAAGGCTTTGTGTTTGTGTACAGAAGCCTCCATCTATGTTTCTACCTTTATTTTACTGGAACAGGAATGGAATGCTACTATGGAAACGATTGTTATCATTATAAATACACTCTTCAATTCCTGGGCTTCGACCTGAACTTGTAATATAGGACCCATCCTGGACACTCCTTCAGTTTTTAGAGTGTGATGGCTAAAATTCGTCTAAATGACAGCTCGATTGTATTTTGAAACATAATTAGAGACTTTAAAGTCGTACCTTAACTTACATGGTATGTTGTAGACCAGAATCAGTTAGTTGTAATCAATACGTGCTGTTTGGTAAATTTTGGGAACAACCTGTTCTTATTTGTTGTTTCCTTGTGCATGACCCGGATGCCCTGCTGAAATGCCAGATTACCTTTCTGACCTTCTTTTCCTCCGCCTCCAGCACAGCCAGTAACTCTCCGCGTAGCACTCCCGGCAGCTCGCCCTCCTTGCGCCGTCGTGTTCTGGGAGGCAGAGCCAGCGAAGGGGAGACGGGAGCGGACAGAAGTGTTGGAGGTTCAGACAGTCCCCTGCCTCCTACTCCCTCGTCATCAACCTCTTCATACCCGCTCACGGCCCGCCACTTCACTCGCAATGCCAAGGTAAGCTGAGATTGTTGGTTATCTCTCTTGTCTGATATTACGAGCGCTCGCTCTTCCACCCTCATGCTGAGCACAGTATCATGTCCGGTTTGGAGTGAATAAGGCAGGAGGAATGGTAGTGTTGCAAACAGTTATTTAGAAATTGTTTTTCAAAGAAATTTATTGAACAGATTATAGTTATTGTGCACATAAAATAACAATAATTCAAACTCATTTTGCTTCTGTAATTTGGCTTATTTCTGAGGGAAGCATTAGCAAGCACCTGTCAATTTTGCAATAATATTTATATTTATTTTTGAATATTTTTGAAAGAAGTCTCTTATCCCCACCAAGACTTCATAAATTTAATCAAAAATGCAGTAAAAACACTTACTGTTATTATGAGCACTATTTAAAATGACTGTTTCTGAAGTAATTCTGATATGTGGATTTAATGCTCAAGAAATATTTCTTATTAATGCCAAATTGGCACAATAAGACCAAAACATTTTAAAGAAAGCAAATAGTGTCCCTTTTGATTGGTTTGTTGAGAAAGAGTGTTAATTAAAACCCTCATTCATCTTTTCCTCTCTGTTTCAGAAAATGCAAAGCTGGTATAATGTAAGTATCCTGGGGTCTTCAGAAGTTCATGCCTCAGTGTTTTGTGCTTTTGCTGACCGTGCTGGTTCCCTCCACTCACATCTCACTTTGATATATAGGTGCTCAGCCCCACGTACAAACAGAGGAATGAAGACTTTCGTAAACTCTTTAAAAAGCTGCCTGAAACAGAACGTCTCATAGTGGGTGAGTTTTACCAATTCATGAGTAAAGCAAGCAGAATGTAATGAGTGATGAGTGATATTATTTTAAGTCCAGCACAGTCCTTAGAGTGATTATGTGATGATCACATGGCCTTTGGTTGTGTTTATTTTATCTTTGTCTAGACTACTCATGCGCACTGCAGAAGGACATACTGCTCCAGGGCCGCCTTTACCTGTCTGAGAACTGGCTCTGCTTCTATAGTAATATCTTCCGATGGGAGACCACGGTAATTCTCACATTACTGAAAACATTAATTAGTCATCCAATGACTCAATGAAAATAATCAGCAATGAATTTCCAAGTGGGTAAACTTCAAGTATTTCATAGAGAATGCACATGAATGTCAGTCAAAAAAATATTTAAACAATATTTGTTGTTTAACATCAAATTAAATGAAACTTGAAGTCCTAAATGCAATGCAATTAGTAATATTTTATATGAACAGTATTGTTTTAAGGGAATTCAATGTTAAAGATAATATATAAAATAGTACTCTTTTACATAAAAATTAATTTGTAAGTAATCATACCTGGTACCCGTTGTTCGTACATGGATTACCAAGTTATGTGGATTTTACTGTTGACAATTTGACATGAACAGCACATTAATTTGAATTATGCGGATGGCTTGATGACCTGTTCAGGAGATGCAGAGAACCTTTTAAAAAAGATTTTATTTTAGATTAGAAATATGTTCTTGACCTTTGAGTAATGTTATGCCTTTAGAGACTTTATGCTTTATAGCAAATCCTCAAAATTATGTTTCTTTAACAATTTTTTACTGTTTAATATTTTGTTGTAAACCCTGGTAATAAAAACAAGTTCAAAGGAACTGCATTTATTTGAAATGGAAATGTTGTGTATAAATGTCTTTACTGTCACTTTTGATCAATGTATAACATCCTTGCTGAATAAAAGTATTAATTGAAATTTGAGCTGTGGAGTATAAACAGAAATTAGCATATTTTGAATATCAAAAATCAACATATTAATCGATTTTAAAAATAATTATTTGTTGAACAAACCAAATAATTGGTTTTGGTCATTTAGCTCAGGCAAACCGTATTTGTAAATCTTAAATATTCTTTCTCCCTCATTGTATCACCAGATAACCATACTGCTGAAAGATGTGACCAGTCTGACCAAGGAGAAGACAGCCAAGCTCATTCCTAACGCCGTCCAGATTAGCACTGAACACGAGAAGGTACCGTGCTGCAGACATCGGATATGCATGCTAAAATTACCATTAAAGGATTTCTTTTGTTAGCTCCATTTTGAAACTCCCAAGCCAATAGGTAATCTGCCTTTGATTAAAATTCTGATCTTGCATTTGTCAGCACTTCTTCACATCATTTGGGGCAAGAGATCGCAGCTACATGATGATCTTTAGACTTTGGCAGAATGCACTGATGGATAAGGTAAGATTACTTTTATATAAGACACAGCCATATAACACACAAATCTCCTGTCAGAATGTGCGCTGTGTATTTGTCAGTGTAGACAATTTCATATGGCAGGCGACCAACATCGCTTGGGCATCGGCCATAATAATTAACATTTGGCAAGATGCAGGTGGTGACTGTACAGATGCATTGCAGTCTTCAGCGATGAGGTCAATGGAAATGTTGCTTATAAATATACTTTTTAAAAATAAATGAAGTAGTTAAGTAATATCTGTAATTAAAATAATGTTATTCAAATATAATCAAGTTGAAAATATTTGAAATATACTATTTCACATAGTTCCCGTAATGCATTCATTGTCCTTATTACACTTTTTGCTAAAAGGATTAGAAGGCTAATTCATGTCATTAAAGTCTTAAATCAGTCATCACATCTGCTGCCTCACAGAAATGCTATTTAAGCAATTCTTAGCCTGGAAGACTCCATACCGAGCTTCTACTTGAAGTACTGATGTTATATTTCTCATCCACAGACCCTGTCACCTAAGGAGTTATGGCACATCGTTCACCAGTGTTACGGCACTGAGCTGGGGCTCACTAGTGAAGATGATGATTATGTCTCCCCTACTGCTGAACATATGAACGGCCTGCTGTGAGTCCACACTGAGAGGAATCTGTTTGTGAAATTTTAGTTATGAAATTTATCTGACAAACAGAAGGTCACTGTGTACCTGTATTTTTATTTTATTTTTAGGTTTTGGGTCAATAAGGCCACAATTATATATGACTAGAATTGAAATACATTTTATTTATTAAAATGTACTGAGATAGATAGATAGGTAGTATAGAAGACTATCTATCATCTCCACATACATATACATACTCTACATATGTTTATTACTTATTTAATTTTTTTGTTCAAATAGGCCGTATTCAATACATACTTATATGTATAGACCATTTTGCAAGATGTAAACAACACTGGTCCAGAAACACTTCCTGTTTCAGTTTGTCACATGTAAAGAAAACATCTTAAAGATGTTTGTGTAACTTTCTGATTCAGTTTTATATGTTCTGTTGGTTGTATTTTATCCCAGCTTTTATGTAGTGTTAAACTGAAACAGGAAGTGCTTCTGGACCAGTGTTGTTTACATCTTGCAAAATGGTCTATAAGATTCTACAGAGGCCATCATCGTCACCTGACTGAAATACTTTTGTTTGATTTGTTCATTGCAAACAGCTGAAAGTCTGTACATTTTGCTAATAAACCAGATTTGCAATGAAGGTAGAATAATTTCAATTGCAACTGTATGGTAGACATTTGACTGTCTAGTAGCAGAAAATGTCCCCTTTAACAAGCCTGACTCTTGCATCTGACTGTCTCTGTGCTGTAGGCCAGGTGAGGAGCCGGTCTCCGTCACTGACCTGCTGGATCTGGGATCAGTGCCGGTGCCTCTGGTGGGCTCCTCTCCACCCTCGTCTGCCTCAATTCTTCCCTGTGCTTCAGGATCTTCACCTCCATCCTCTTCTTCCTCTTCCTGCCAGCCTGTGGAGGTGCCATCTAATCGGGCCACCGTCGAGCCTGAGCCCAGTCCAACTGGCTCCCTGAGCTCACTAACCCCAACCGCAAACACTGGAACTGCCCTGTCCTCAACCGTAAGTGTCAAGCTACAGTGAAACACCAGCCATCTTGGTTCTGCTCAAATAACATTACAATGGAAGATTTATACACAAAAGGTTGCAAAAATCCATTGATGCATGGTGATGCATAAATATAATAGAAATATGCTGCTTGTGTGCATATAGTACTCTACTTAGTTTGTGGGTGCATTTACATGCACGTTCTTAAAGCAATTATGCTTAATAAGCTGAAAACACGTGTGGTCATGTAAACGCGTTTAACCTTTTTCCTTTATCGGCATAAGGTCATAAACGGCTTAATAATAAACCAATCGACGGCTAGATTTTTTTTCCCCTTTTCCCTTTACTCTGATTTTGCCCGGCATTTAAACAGCTTAACCTTCGTTCTGTCGGCTTATTTAAGTGTGCATGTGTGATATGGGACAGGAAAGCATCCTTATACAGCAGATTTAAGGGCATTCTGCCACAGCAATGTTTCGCAGTAGGGGAGAAGAAATATATCAACCTTTTCTTTACTCAAGAAATGTAAAAAATGTGTTTTCATCTATTGCAGCCAAAGAACAAGTGGTAAGTTCTAGAAACGTCCAATATGAGAGTAGAGTGAGCAGAAGTTTTCTGCCGATATTTTGAAATACTCTTGGCGTTTTAATGCTTTATTTAACATAACTCATATTAACATAGAATACTCTGAGTGAAATACATGAATCCTTGAACCAGGAAATAATAACTTGTTTTTTTTAGGTCAGTCTTGTAAAAGCGGTTTAATTGCATAATTGTCAGGTTGTTGATTTGACATGTAAACCGGTACATCTGGTTATTTCAATAAACTGATTTTTGGTAGTTGGTAGTGTGCATGTAAACATGCTTAAGGATTCATTCGGTAACCTGTTTGAATTTTAATTATTAAAAAAATAATGAAAAGTCATAGAAATGTATTATCATAATAAAACTGAATTATTATCGGAAAAAATATTTACACCCATGATCATTTAAAGGCACACCGTGGAACTTTTGGCCACTAGTGGCACTCGACCTGTAACTTCATGTCTAGTGTCCCTAGAGGCCACAAGCTCCACAGCACTGTCGCAAAAGTCAACAATCAGTCAACAGTCAGTTATTAATAATAATGATATACTTTGTATTTATTTATTTTTTATTTCAATTAATGAAACAATTTTTTTGTGGTTTTAACAATAACAACACATGTTTGAGAATGTATCTTTATTCGCTTCCTCTATTTTCTTTTTATAGATCTTTGAAGAAGGTGGGGACAGCCAGTCAGAATCAGCCAATCAGTCACTTCAGTCCCCTCTTACTGTCCCACACAGCCTGGGAAACCTCTCCTCATTGGATATGACTAATGATGACGATCTCCCAACTGACCCCAGCAATTCCTCTGACACTCAGGAAGAGAGTGAGTGAGAGAATTGACCTCAGATTAAAAACAAGATTTGAAACCATTCTCTGTACAGAGTAGATGCATATGTGTTAAGTAATATGTCCTTGAAAGTCAGACTGATTCATTTGAACACTTTTACTCTCCACAGGTGAGGTGGAGTCTTTCTGTCCAGACCTCAATGGCCGACTGCATATCAACACGGTTGTTCGCATGAGCGTGGACAAACTCTACGACCTTCTGTTCTCGGACACTCACTTCATACAGCACCTCTTCTCTCAACGTCACTTCACTGGTCAGTTTACACTTTTTTTGTAGCGGGCTTTTTTTTCCCATTCTTGCTACTTTTTCCCAAATTAAATCACTACAGTACAATATTTCATTTAAAATACAAAAATGGGGTAAAAAGACTACAAATAAAATAAACTATAAATCAATTAAATTATAAATTCTAAAGTATAATTAATAAATGTAGAAAAAATTAAATATGAATTATATTAAAGTATTTTTAATCATATAATCAAAATAGTTTATTTTATTGTGTCTTTTTAATGTTTCCTGATCAGAAAACATTTCTGCTATCTTTTATACTTTTACATCCCATATTATTCTAACATTAAAAGGGTCGCTAGCTCGATTAGCTATTTTGTTTTTACCGACGTTCCCATTATTATGGTTACAGCAATTTCTCTGATTGGTGGGTCTCTCATCGGAAGTTCAGCAATGAAAGGTAGGGTAGGTAGTTTACAGAGAGGCTACCAATAGCAAGCTAGCTTTGAAAGCATGAGATGCTACGCTTTGGTTCAGGAGGAACTGTAAAAGTTTGTGACTGACATCTGTCTAACTCTGCATTCGAACCAAATGCAATGATTGGGCGAACATTTTATGGTCCTACACCTTCCGCAGACGTTATATATACATATAAATACGTTTAGACCACTTAACGTAGTGATTGCTATCAGGATGGGAAGAGACTTTCAACCAGCATAACAAAAAATGTTTCTGGAACAAATCGCTTACCCTGCCATCATACTGATGGATCCTGCATAAGCATACACTCACCTAAAGGATTATTAGGAACACCATACTAATACTGTGTTTGACCTTCTTTCGCTTTCAGAACGGCCTTAATTCTATGTGGCATTGATTCAACAAGGTGCCGAAAGCATTCTTTAGAAATATTGGCCCATATTGATAGGATAGCATCTTGCAGTTGATGGAGATTTGTGGGATGCACATTCAGGGCACGAAGCTCCCGTTCCACCACATCCCAAAGATGCTCTATTGGGTTGAGATCTGGTGACTGTGGGGGCCATTTTAGTACAGTGAACTCATTGTCATGTTCAAGAAACCAATTTGAAATGATTCAGCCATAAAGGGATGGACATGGTCAGAAACAATGTTCAGGTACTGTAAGCTGTAGCATTTAAACGATGCCCAATTGGCACTAAGGGGCCTAAAGTGTGCCAAGAAAACATCCTGACACCATTACACTGCCACCACCAGCCTGCACAGTGGTAACAAGGCATGATGGATCCATGTTCTCATTCTGTTTACACCAAATTCTGACTCTACCTTCTGAATGTCTCAACAGAAATCGAGACTCATCAGAACAGGCAACATTTTTCCAGTCTTCAACTGTCCAATTTTGGTGAGCTTTGCAAATTGTAGCCTTTTTTTCCCTATTTTTAGTGGAGATGAGTGGTACCCAGTGGGGTCTTCTGCTGTTGTAGCCCATCCGCCTCAAGGTTGTGTGTGTTGTGGCTTCACAAATGCTTTGCTGCATACCTCGGTTGTAACGAGTGGTTATTTCAGTCAAAGTTGCTCTTCTATGAGCTTGAATCAGTCGGCCCATTCTCCTCTGACCTCTAGCATCAACAAGGCATTTTCGCCCACAAGACTGTCGCATATTGGATGTTTTTCTTTTTTCACATCATTCTTTGTAAACACTAAAAATGGTTGTGCGTGAAAATCCCAGGAACTGAACAGATTGTGAAATACTCAAACCGGCCCGTCTGGCACCAACAACCATGCCACACTCAGAATTGCTTAAATCACCTTTCTTTCCCATTCTGACATTCAGTTTGGAGTTTAGGAGATTGTCTTGACCAGGACCACACCCCTAAATGCATTGAAGCAACTGCCATTTGATTGGTTGATTAGATAATTGTATTAATGAGACATTGAACAGGTGTTCTTAATAATCCTTTAGGTGAGTGTATATTATTGTTAAACAACCTTGTTTTTAAAAGTTTCTAACATGACACATTGTTCTAAAACATCATGCATGTTTAATTCCAAAGCATATAATGTTTAATTAATTAGTTTGTAGTGGTGTAGTGCAGATATGACATCAGAACCCGGAAGTCTAATTGTAACCGGTTGTGTAAAATAAGCACATAATATCGAAAAGTATAGTCAAAACTAAATAAATGAAATGAACCAGAAGTATTGTCAAGTTATGTTTGCCACAGGCTTTATTTTACACACAAATTGAAAAACCCCATAGGAAAATCTCAAAGGAATCAGCGGTGAATTAGGCTTCCGGGTTCTGACTTCATACCTTCTCTGTGAAGATTCTGAATGCCATTTTTTTTCTTCTTCCAGAACCGTGCTGTAGTACTCAGTTGCCCTTTAGCATACTTTACTAATTGAAATACTGCCCCATATTGCATTGGCGCTCCTCCTAGCATTTTATCTTTGACTGTGTTGATAGCTATTCTATGCATGGCCGATTTGTTATTGCCTTTTTCTGGAGTGTTCAGAGCCCACGTGTCCTCATTCCCCCCTCCCTTTTTCTCTTTTCATGCTGTTTGTCCTATAGGGGCCTTCGGAGCAGATAATGAGAACTCACAATTTGGTTTCACTATGTTCTATAGCATAAAGTACCATGGTCTCACTCTATTTTTTTTCTCTCTTGGTAACTTTATTTACTTTGTACAGCAAATAATGTCAAAAATATTCATGATAGACCAAGAGATAGCCTCCGCACCACAGTGTGAGAATTGTTTTTTACTCATGCTGAGCTCTTTGTCTATGTTGTCTGCATGGATAATTGTCCCCTTCTCTGTGCCCCTGCAAGTGCTCTGACTGTAATCACACATCATTCTTCCTCCCTCTTCTCTAACTGTTCTTTTCCTGCTCTCCCTCTCTCTCTCTCTCGTGTGATTGGTTCAGATCTCTCTGTGCACGAGTGGCAGCAGGACAGCAGCAGTGGGAACAGCAGTAGAGTTCTGAGTTACACCATCGCCATCAACAACCCATTGGGCCCAAAAACAGCTCCTGTGGTGGAAACACAGGTGGGTCCACACAGCTCTTTTTCTTTGTTTCTCCCTCATTTTTATTAAAGGGGCAGTTCTCCCAAAAAATCATTTACTCACCCACATGTTGCACCAAATGTATGTATGTATTTCTTTTTGCCAAACAAAAAAGAAGCTATTTAGTCTTTTTGTGCAATGAATGTCAGCTGGGTCAAATATTGTTTTGGACGCCACTATTGAAAAAGTTATACAGGTTTGAAACCATTTGAGGGTGAGTAAATGATGACATCATTTTTCATTCCTTTGCATTTTAAAAAGAACATGAATGCCACAATTACAATGCATACAACCCTGAAACTAACCCTGAAATTTGATGTAATAGACTATTATTATTTTATATCCTTGACTATTATGAACACACTTTTTTGCAGGTTAAATACAAGTTAAGGTCTACTGGCATCACAAAAATATTTCTGACTTTTGACAACAAAAAAAAAAACTTTTTTGATAGAGATGCAGTTACAATAGAGGCATTGCACTAAAATAAGTATTAAAATACACTTACATCTGCAATATTTAAACATTATGGTCTGGTTTTTAAGACAAGGACATTTCAAGGACCTTAGTTCAAGGACATTTAAGTAACTTTTATTAATATGCCTTAAATGCATCTTGAGACAAAATAATGGCACTGACATGTTTTAAGATATGTCAGTGCAAGTTACTTTCAGTTAACAGCTGAAACATGCATTTTTTGCCTTGTCTGTGAAACCCGGAATATGCATGTTAACATCAGACTATGCTTTCTTTACTTGTGCAGTTATATTTCATATTCTTATCTTCTCATGACCGTGTAAATCTAATAAATCATGATGCGCAAAGATAACAGAAAAAGATTCAACATTAATGTTTTTTTAAAGAAACAGGTTTGCTATGCTTGTTTGTGGTTCTGCAGAATTAGTTAAAAAATGTCATCATATATCAAAATTACTATAAATAATCATGATAAAAATAACAAAAATAAGAACAATTTTACTATTGTAATAATACTATATCACTGTAATTTTTTTCATTTTTAAACATTAAAGCATCAAGTTTTTTATTTTGGTGGAAAATCCCAGAAATAGCCATTTTTTTTTATATATTTAAAATACAGCATTTGTGATTTAATAATCGCTCTAGTCTAAGCCATATCTCGGTTGTTCAGCCCTAGTTAATATTAGTTAATGCTGTGCTTTAATTCACATGGTTTATTTATAACTAGAAGTTCATCCACCTAGAACTGTAAACCCATCACTAAAACGATTTAACCACCTTTTCAGCTCATGCACACAAAAACATAAATGCTTAAGAAAAAAACAAGCTTCATATTGCTGCTTTTTAATATTCCCAAATGTTAAAGACTTCCTTTGAAAGTGCATTAATTTTTGTTTTTACAAATGAGGGACATTTCCTGTCCTTTAATGATGGGTTTAAGCAGATGGTAATGTCAGTTTGGTGTATTTTGTCATGTTGCCAGACTCTCCACAAGAGCAGCTCCCGGGGGGAGTGTCATGTGGTGGACTCAGAGGTCATAACCTCAGGCATCCCCTACCAGGACTACTTCTACACTGTACACAGATACTGCCTCACCTCTGTCAACAAGCACAAGAGCCGCCTCAGGTAGAACTTCCTGGCCATTGTAATGCACGTATTGTTATGCTTCAAAAGCAAACACCGCTGATGGACCCATTGTGTGTGTGTGTGTCTGCAGGGTCTCGTCTAATATCTGCTACAGGAAGCAACCGTGGAGTCTTGTGAAAGCTCTGATAGAGAAGAACACTTGGAGCGGCATTGAAGAGTATTACAGACACATGGGTAAGCAGGTTCTCATCTCAGTGTAAACCTTTAATGCGCCATTGGTGCTAAACATTATCCCCTGCATCCATTGTCAGAGACGGAGGTGTGTAAGTTGGAGACGCTGTTACAGTCGGAGGTTTCCGTGGTGAGCTCTGGGGAAGTGCCTTCCGCGGACTCTGCCAAGACTCCCCCCGGCCTGCGCAGACGCAAACGCAACTGTCCGAGACGGGCAGGAGAGCGGGAGAGAGAAAGGGAGGGAGCGGGAGGAGGCGGGGAGCGGGGCGACCGAGGAATTGGAGACGATCGCGAAAGGAGAGAAGCTGGTGAGTCCGTCGATAGAGGAGCATGAGCTGAATCATTAAGTCTGGTCTGTGAGTCCATGTGAAACACATTGACATCTAGTGGTGGAATGTGGAATTGGTTTTACTGGATTTTCTGTAAGTTTTCTATATTTTATCCTGATTTCCATAGTTCCCAACCAATGAAAAAAAATATATAATCCTAATATTATAAATAGATCAAAATATTTTGATCAAAATCAAAATAATAGCTCTCTGGTTTAATGATTGAAAGCACGAAAAAATTAAAACAGCCATACTGTTATGTAAAATATATTATTATAATAATAATAATAATAATATTATTAAATACTATTTTTTTAATAGTTGATTTTTTTTATTAAATGTCATTTTAAAATGAATATTTTAAATAATTAATAATAAGGTATTTTATAATGAAGATGGCATAATATTAATATTAATTTTACTGTTGCTCTTTAAAACAATTTGTTCATTATTATTATTATTATTATTATTAAATTCAGTACATCATTATTAATATTGCTAGCAATATGTCTGTATTGATTTGTTTAATAATGATGTACTTGTAATTTAATGAAATAAAACTAATATTTTGAATAATAATATTGAAATGGTTCAGAACAGTATAAGATTAACATATCTGTTTGTGCTTTTACTGGAATAAACAAGGATGTGAGTTTTCCGTGTTTTCCAAACTGAATGAACCTCATGAATTGTGTAAATCTGAAATAAAATAATCTGAGAAAAAAAAAAAAAAAAAAAAAAATATATATATATAAAGTTTTATATTATAAATAAATATTTTCCTTTAAAATAACAGCTCTAATTATATAATTGTATAATTCGATAAAATATAAATAATATATTAATGCTTATATTATAGATATTATAACCTGCTTAATGAGTTGTTTTGCTGTTGTCCAGGTGCTCAATATGTGAAATTGGGAGAGAGGTGGCGAGGCAACAACAGCAGCATCTCCACCATTCTGCTCATTGTGAGCTTCATGTGAGTGTTTTTATCTTTGGCATTCTGTAAAGATCATTGCCTCTGTGTGCATTTGTGTAATGTCAGCGTTAATGTGAGCTGCTGATGTCATCGAACTCCCTTTAGATGAGGATAATTCAATCTGAGCTCATTGAGGCTGACAGGTTGTCATGTCATCACTGCAGTGGCAGCGTCTTTTCTAGTCATGAGGACTTTAAGCTCAGCTCTGATTTCTGGAGATTTGAATGTACCATATTAACTAACACGGTGGACGAGACATTTTGGTGATGTTTATTTTTAGGATGATGATGAAAGATACATCATATTTTACTCATTCTCATGTCATTTGAAACACAGTTGTTTAGCAGAATTTCTTTGCTGCATTTTTCCATACAATTCAAGCGGATAGGGACTGGGACTTTAAAGCTCATTATTCAGTAAATATGAACTAAAATGAGTATATTTTTCACAGAAAGTTTTCATACGGCTTTGAAACATTTTGAACATAGCATACAAGTCATGTAGACAACTTTAATGATCATTTTTAGTGCTTAACAGCTCCACTTTTATTGTATAAAAAGAGCAGCCTAGACATGCTGCTAAATATTTCCTTTTGTGTTCCACTAAAGAAAAAAAATCAATGTGACATGAGGGTGAGTATATGGTATATTTGAGTAAACTATCCCTATTAACACTTTTCTGTGCATAATAATATTACACCCAGTTTATAATAGTACCAACATCACGACCTATGGAGTATCTCTCTCTCTCTTTCCATTTCTGTTCCTCCCTTCTTTTGCATACTAATATCTCTTTGCTGTTCTTGTCTTTCTCGTCTCGCTTTCCTCACTTCCTCCTGCATATAGGATCTGTGTCAGGTAGAGTCTCTGTCTTTGTGCTTCAAGGAAAACACATATTTTTTTATCATGACACAAAACTATATTTACACCTCTTCTTTCTTCCTCCAGTCTGGTGGTTCTGGTGGCTCTGAACATGATGCTGTTCTACAAACTCTGGGCGCTCGAGCGGGCTGCACACACGCTCGAGACCTGGCACTCGTACTCTTTAACTGACAGGTATATTTAAACTAACCGGGTGACTTACACACATAGCGCTTCTCGGCATGCTGATTCGGGAATCTCTCTGTCCGCAGCCCTCTGCCTCAGTCAGCAGGAGAGTGGGCGCAGGTACTGCAGCTCCAGAGGCAGTTCCACCAGGCCCAGTTGAACAAATGGCAGCAGATTTTACAGTCTTCTGTCGCACTTCTGGATCAGGTGTGTTCCTGAGCTTAACTTAAACTTAAGATGTTCAGCTCTTCATCAGGCATTCGAAATTTTGTATTTTCTGAAAAAAAAAAAAAACATCAGAGTGTGAATTTGTATTACTTTTTCCGAGAGTTTGTCTTGCATCTATACCTGTGATTCTCAACCACAGGTCCAGGGCCCACTTTCTATTTGGGGTTTACAGACCTGGAAAAAACATTAAAACAAATATTAAATTGTACTTTTGTCTAATAATGTCAAGCTCAAAAATATTTTATTAAGTCCAAATTTATTTATTAAGGGGGGGGATTATCATATTTTTTAAATTTCCACTCCTAGTTTCTGTAAATGAAACATGCCGTAATGACAAAGCTGCTCATTTTCCAGTAATTCATGGTGTCCTTTGAATATTGTCTTTGACAATATCGACAATAGCGTCCATCCATTTATTTTTATGCAAATTTTGGGATATCACATAAAAAAACACTGGATGGAAATGCTGAGATGCGTATACTTACATTCTAAAAATGCACTCAAAAAACTACATTTTTTTGATCCGATAAGAAGACATGCGCAAGAGACACATTTCCCAAATACATCCCTCGATGGGAAATTACAGAATCTCAATTATAACCCGAATATTTTGCTTATTGTCTTTATACTTGTGAATGTTCTGTTCTTTAGTGTGCAAAAAGCTGAGGAAAGATACATTTTAATGAAAGATTATATAAAACAAAGAGTTCTGTAAACGAGTCTAAGCTGCCATGTCTTTCTGAAGTGCCCAAAACCCCTTTAAAAAAAGCAGACCTGCATTTATCAGGTGTAACCGGTCCTATTCGACCCGCTTCGAGTGGGATTCTGCTGCTAGCGTGCCTCACAACAAACCAGTTTAGGCTTAGGCTATAAGGTTCTTTATGATTAGTAATGTACAAATAAGACAAGGGGCATTTATTCTGAAAATAAAAAGGGTTGATTTTGATTTCTAATGGTTTCCTCTCTCTAATGTAGATGAAACAGTCTCTGGAGAAGCTCCACGGGGGAATGATCACACCAGAGGTGCAGCAGGAGTCTGATCCAGCACCAGACACACTGACGGATCAGTGAAGAGCATACGGTAACCCCCCCTCACACGACCGTTTACTGACTCTGGGCCCTGTGACATAAATCATGGACAGGAGACGGTGCTCTTCTCAGTGACATCAACGTTGGGATTGATATGGGTGGCTTTTAGCTTACTCGAGTGCCCCAGCAGCAGCTAGAAGACTACAAACTAACTCAACTCTTCTATCAATCTGATTCTGAACACAATGAACTCTGGGACCGAAGCAATAACACACAAGTATGGGAGTGTCTGACTTTCAGCTGTGCTGCATCTTGAGCCGTACTGAGTGTCTGAGGAAGCTCAATGTGAGCTTGTAGAAAACAATTCATCTTGGACCTTTTTTATTACTAGTTTTTTTTTTTTGAGAGATGCGTTTGAGATTTCAAAGAGGGAAGTGTCTTTCTCTTCTTTAGGAGGTTTGCAGTGGACTTCCAGTCTGCTCCGAGAGACCTTGTCTTTTCACAACAAACGTATTTTTCTGTTTTCACGGAAGAGAAATTTCATTTTCTTATCGGTTTGATGATTTCAGAGCTGTTACTGAAACTTGTTAAAAATTTGTGTTCAGACCATTGCAGTATTTATTTAATAGACTTGAATTACAGTCTAACATCGTGTTCCTGCTCAAACGAGGACCAATAGAAATGGGTGGATACGAAAATATAAATATGAATTTCCATTTTTAGCAATAATCACGTGGAAAAATCGTAATGACAATTAGAAGTCGAAGTACAAGTAAAATGTGCAGCTGTTAAGATAGAGTTTTTACACACTGTTACAATTTTAACCATTGCTTGTTTCTCCCTAATGTTTCAGTTATTATTTTTGTTTTAAATCCTTTTGTATTTATAACTTAGGGGCGAGAGGAGCCGTTTCATGTAGTCGAGGTGTCGGGAACCTTGTAGAGTTTCACTGGAATCAAACTTGAACTGTTCAGAGTTACTTTTAGCTCGAGCAGCTGAACACACACACACACACACAGATTACAGGACTTCAGTCGTTCCTGGGACTGGACGTTTAGGACCAAGCAGAACTCAAGGTCAGGAGGAGTATATGATGTACATTTCACTCAGCACTGTGGGCGAATCTCACATAGAACATGTCCATGCATTTCACCTCAAAATCAAAAGAAAAAAATAAGCATATATATATATATATATAAAGTCGTATATTTGCATTGTTACAATTTCCTGACAATTAAGCACCGCTCAATTACTGTGGAGTGAAAATCATCCTGTCCAGACTATTTTTATTTTCATTTTTAATCATTTTTTCTTTTATGAAAATAAGCATTATTTAAAAGTGGTGTAAATGACAATAATATAGAAATATATTAATAATCTTAGGTAATTGGACATCGTGAAAATATTGTCACAATGCAAAATATTTATTTTTTCTATTGATTTTAATTTGAAATTCTTGACAGACTTGGCGAGATTCACCTATGATTTGATTTTTTTCTTTTTTCTTTTCTCTCTCTGTTTGTTTTATGCTTGATCATTTCATGTGGACGGTCTGTTACTGATGATTTTTTTTGGCCTGCCCTCCAACCTCAGTGATCTCTCCCTCCTCTGAGTGTGTTATCAGAGTGTCTGTCTGTGTCTGTCTGCGGGCGCTGCTGTGCAAAGCCCTTGCTGAGTGATGAAAGCATGTGCTATTTATTCGGGTCAGGGAGGGAGAGAGCGAAGGTGGGATGTATTGTATAAACACGATTGTAAAGATGACTTGAGACAGTCAGAAACGCATAATAAAAATGCCAAAAAAAGTGAAAACTTGTGCGTATTACTAATTGGAATATAATTTTATTTTAGCTGTGTGTGTGTGTGTATATTACACATACACGCGCATAAATAGGAAAAAAAATTTTTTTCACGTGTATGAAAGATCTTATGCTCACCAAGACTGGATTTATTTAGATAAAATAGTTAAAACAGTCAATTTAATAATATTAATACAAATTGCTGATTTATATTTTAATATATTTTAAAATCAAATTTATTCTGTGATTTATTTTTTCACAAGATCCTTCAGAAATGATTTTATAATGCTGATTTGGTGCTTATTATCAGTGTTTAAAACTGTGGAAACTTTTTTTTTTTTTGCCGTTTTAAAATAGAAATGTGTTAAAAGCATTCTTGACCCCAAATGGTAAAAACAGCAGACACACACACACAAAAAAAGACCAGCTGTATTTTTTAAATGTATTTTATTTCACACTATCATGTCACATTTTCACTTTAACATGAAATGCATCCTGGAAGTCGTTATGTGCATATACTGTACTGACTCCCACAGAGGTGCAGACATTGTCAGATAGTGACATCGAAGTGTTAGTCTGATCCCATCTATGTTTAGGTAATCACAGCTCTAAAAGCAGCTGTGGTCGTGTTAAAGTTTTGCGCGTTTATGACGGTGTTCGTAAAAGAGCATTTAAAATCATGCGGTAAAAATCTACCAATTTAACAACCTATGAATGAAAGATATAAAAGTAAGAAAGCCAGAGATAAGAAGTCTCCAGAATGTTCATTCATGCATAAAAGGCAGTGAGACACTGGCAGTGTAGTGCTGCCCTCTGTAGTCACGGCCTGGAATTGGCTACTAAGAGGGAGAGGAAAGACAAGTATTTTTTTTACCACACTTGTGAATGAATACAATTGATTCAAACTTTCCCTATCCATTTTCTTTCGAAATCATCATGCATTAAGAGCCAGAGATTTGCGCATCCGGCCTTTCTGAATCATTCTCAATCGATTTCATACAGCCCTTGATTATCTTGTCAGCAAAGAGAAAACGAAAAGCGGAGGGATGATCAGGTCAACTTAAAAAAATGATTAATAGCACAGATCCTCTACAACACATTCTTAATATATTGAATTATCACGTTAGTTCCGGTAGCTGATGTAGACTTTGATATTTTAGACAACAAAGTACTTCACGTCTACGATTATAACATGTGACATTCATTTGCATTTGTTTCTTTTAAGAGAACGATTTAAATAGCTTTACATGCTACTGGCAATGTCTGCTTTTCAGCATGAATGGATATTTTGTGCTTTATGGTGCTAAATATATTTACTGTTTCACACCAAGACAGTAAAGTCTAAATACAGAGAGCTTGTGTACTGTTTGTAAATGAAAAGAACAATTTAAATGTACACTATGTAACTTTTTTGGTTTAAATAAGTCTTATCATCTTCCAAAACATCTTACCCTAATTCACTTCGTGAAGAGGAAAGGGTTTTTGACCTATACTGGTACCAGCCACATGGGGGCGATCAAAACCTTTTTTGGCTTCACTTTTCAGGACTTGTGTGGCACAATTGGTGTGAACAGGGCCTAAGCTCAACCTTGACAAATGCCTAACCCCACCCCATCACTAAACCTACCCTTAATGATGCTATAATCTCCGCCCCAACACCAGTCTGATGCCGCGTCCCAATTCAGAGGCCGCATCCTTCGAAGGCCGATTGCGTCACCGCTAAGTGACGAAGGCTTCTTCAAATGCCTCTTTCGTGTCCCGTGAAATGAAGGATACAACAGATGCATCCTTCGAAGCCTTGCCTATCCCAGAATTCATTGCGCGCCATTTTTTTAAAGTTGTTTTTTTAGGGAAATTGCCGAATTACACTTTTAAACTTAAGTATTGGGTTTCAATTTGCTCACATATCCAATGATACAAATGTAAAAAAGTCAAATGTGGCTCAAATGCGATTACACATAGTTTATATACTTATAAAGATATGGAACATGGTGAAAATAATAGACTGTGTTTTGTATCTTGTTCTCAGACAGTTTAATATAACTTTCAAAAAAAGTCTAGTACAAACATTACTGTCACTCATCGACGGCAACTGTTGCTAGGCGGCAAGAACTAGGCTGGACCGTCCCATTTAACAACGCTCAGTTTAACCTTCACAGCCTTAGAAATGGGACACAGCTTGAGACTGCTGGTCTGGCGCATAGGTTAGTAGTTACAACGAACAAGAACGGTGACATGGAGTGCTAAATCTCGAACCTCCAGTCTGCTGGAAAAAAGAAAACGTGACGAACTGAGGGATTTGAAATGTTGTAAAAGTGTGGTGGAGATTGCATTTTATTACTCAACGAGTGAGGTTTTTTATTGAACAGATAAATTTCCATGTAGCTCTCCAACAGTGTTAACTGTAAAGCAATATCTATTGTGAAGCGTCATATTCATATCCGAAGTCAAGCATATCTGAAACACAGCCAAACAATATTCTTTCTCAAAATGCATGCAGTTTTTACTGCTAGAGGGCCTAAAGTTACATAGTGTACCTTTAAATTGGACTATTATGATTCAGTAAAATTTTTTTAAAAGTAATGGTTAGCTTACATGTGGTTTGTTAAATTAGTGTGGGTTTAAATCCCCTGTATGTGAGAGCGACTGTACTCAGACAGCTCTTGTTGTAAATGCGCATTATTATTTGTTGGCATTAGTTATGTAATGCTAATCAGTTCCCAGCTGCCAAATCTGAGATTTTCTGTCTGATTTCTCATTCTATATATATATTAGGGGGTTAAACGATGAACTCAAAAATAATGGTTCGATAATAGTCACGGTTTGGTGTTTTTGGTACAGCAGGGGGGAAACAGTGCTTTAGTGAACAAACTATGACTCTGTCTTTAAAAGGCTGTCAATACTGCTGCAAAACACTCTTCCTGCTGCGATTTAATGTTTTTTCAGGAAAAGATTGCTTCCAATTTTGGATGCCAAATATTTTTGCATAATGTATATTTAAGTCAGAATGCTGTGCCTAATTTCAATCCTTGCAAATAAATTATTAGCCCTCGTTGAAGCCTCTATTTAATTGCCTAATCCTAAACCTACCTATACTGGGGATTTACGTCGAAAGTTAGGACGACACCAGTGTCGTGGCGAATTCTGACCCCTGCCAGATTATTACCCCCCTGAGTTCCCATAGCGGCCTCAACGAGGGGTCTAACCGTTTGGAAGAGTGTTCAATTTGGCACTCATTCAGCAAAGTCTGTGGAGATTAATGGAGACTTGTTTTGGATTTTGCAAAATTGAAATACTGGCATAAATTTCATACATTTACAGATATGGATGCAACTTTCCTAAGCAAAGTGCGAAATTCAAATAAAATTTTGCATATAGTAAAATTCTGCATTAAGACAACGCCGCATCAGTTCGCTACACAAGCGTGCGAAACGAAAGACACCCCTAATATATATATTATAATATGTTTTCACATATATAATTAGATTTGATTAGATCATGTTTTTATGTTGTTGTTTTTTTTTTGCTCTTGATCAGTAAATTGTGACCGATTTTATACAGTATAATATTTCTGATGTCCTCTGGCTCAGTGGATATAATATACTGTTGACTCATTTTGTTTCACATTTAAAGCTGGTTTCTTGTTTAGAAAAAGGTGTTAAAAGCTAAAACACGCATGCCATGTTCAGTATAATTTATGTTCAGTGTTACAGACTCATGCATCATTCATTCGTTAACCCCAAAGGTCCCCTGACATGGGGTTATTTTATGTTTCCTGGGTTACCCTTACAATATGCTAGTACATTTTTTTTTAGATCAAAAATAGTCATAATTTAGAAATAAAAGGCATTTTTCCTTTAGCCTCTGATTTGAATGCTCTGTTTGAAGGGGCTTGTCTGCTGTGGGATTCAGTGTAGCCGCCCACTGCTGTGATTGGCTGACATAACTGCATATGAAATAACTCGTGAAACTCTCTCGAAAACTTTTACTACAGCTGTTATGCGTTTTTTATTACAGCTATCGGGGTTAACGAATTGTGAGGAGTTTTTAAAGTATTTAGATCTATTCCCATCACATAAATGTTCCCATGATGAGCATTGAGCAAGCAGAGGACAGTCTGTCGATCTTATCATTGCAACGCAGTTTCTGCTCTCTCTCTAATGCTTTCACCAATGCAGACACGATGATGTACATACAGTAAGAGCTTCGTTGTGCAGTGTAGCCTCATTGATTTCATAATGAGTGTCCAGATAAACTTGCGCTGTGTGGAAATATTGTTCTTTGATTGCTTTCTGTATAATTTGTTATCAATTTAAATAAGATTAATTTCATCCTACTAAAAGAAAAGATGGGAAGTAAGTCACTGGCTTGACTTACTGAAGCATAAACCGTATTGAACGATTTTGAGAGAAAGATTATCTGTCTGGACTTGAACAATTAGGCTACGCATCAGAAATTGTTGTTTTGTAGCTCGATCGATTTCTTTTCAGACGTTCATCGAGTTGAGGAAACAGTCGTCAGTGAAATGTTTGGACCATACAAAACTTTGGGAAGTTGTGTGGGCGCATTTTCAGAGAAAATAAAATTAACCCAATGTTTCTTCAGAGGCTCGGATGAAGGAACTAAAAAAATACGTTTGAATTCATTTGTACATCCGAACACTGATCAACTGCTATGCTTCGCTCGTTTGCAAGCTATGATATCTCTCGAGGAAAACTCACATAGCGGTAGCGCATTCGTTTTTCCTTGCTCATTTTCTCATGGGTGAGCCGCATTCTCTGGGCCGGCAAAGCAGAGAAAGGTAACCTTTCCTCCTAATGACATCATATGGAAGAGATTCAAGATCAGCGCATCTGAGCTTTCATTTTCTCAAAGACAGAGAAAGATAACCAAAGCTCGGTTTACACCGATTGAAAGGAAATTTTTGAAAGTTAGTATATACAGGCTAGGGGAACTCATATTAATGTTAAAAATTTGTATGTCAGGGGACCTTTAAAGTTGTTGTGTAGGACCTTTAATCACAACGCTTTTTACGTAATGCGTGACTGAATTTCCCTGATGATTTAGAATGGCGGTTCTGTCACAGCAGCCCTGTGGTTATGGCAGAGCACCGGTGTGGGTGATGGGGGAGGCCGTTGGTGATGTCATAATGGATGGAGCATCAAGCTTTCAGCTTGAGACTTTTTTTGGATCTGAAATAAAACAAAAGGCAGACGGTTAAACAGACACGAAATAGAGGAAGTCTAGATGTGACCATAAGAGTTAGACTTAACAATCCCACCTGTGTTATTCTGCCACCGGTACACCTGCACACTTATCTTTACCCTCCGAGCTTATAGCTAAATATTCCGCCCTAAGAGAATAGGAAGGATGGAAAGAAGGCAGAAGGGACAGAAAAGGTAATGAAGAAAAGAACAGCAACACGACATTCAAAAGTTATGAGAACAGCAGCCTGCAGAAAAATATAGATCTTTTGGGGATTGTGGGAAATATAGATTTGAAGGAAGAAAAGCAGTGGAAAGTAATAAAAGACGGAAATGTAATTGTCTTCTATTTTAGCTGGGTGTCAAAAGTTTGGAATAATATATAATATAAGTACTAGTAAAAACAGTAATACTGTGAAATATTATTACATTTTAAAATAAAACTGTTTCGCTTCTGTATTGCAAAGCTGAATTTTCAAGCAATTTTCCAATTTTCTCTAGACAGACTCTAGAAAGTTCAAAAGGCCCACATTTATTTGAAATAGAAATCTTTTATAAGATTATAAATGTATTTACTGTTACTTGAATCAATTTAATGCGTCTAGTAGTCAAACGTTTAAATGGTAGTGTATAAGTTTACACAAAAATATAAACCATAACGCTGTTTTCAACGTTGATTATATCATATTATATATTATGTTATATGATTCCATATTCATGTTATTGATAATATTTCACAACATTATGGTTTTCACTATATTTTTGATCAAATAAGCCTTGGTGAGCATAAGAGACTTGAACATGAAACCTTAATTATTCCAAACTTTTGACACAAATGTATTAAATAAAGATCCCATAAAATTGAATTCGAACTTTTTGTTAGTGCATGTTTGTTTGCTTTGAATCCACCTTTATGTTAATGCATTCCTGATAGAGTTCAGCTTACTTACACTTAGGGAAGATTTGGGAGGATACAAATACACCCTTCAGTATGTTTTTCCCCAAATTTCCCCAAGTTTTAATAGGACATCCTTAATGGTCCCTAATGTGGTAGACAGGTGTTTAGAGCAAACCATAAGGAAGTGTTTAGAAAATGGAAACGTGACTCACTCGCTCTCTCTGAGCGCTTCCTCTCCCGCTGCCGCGATCTTCCTGTAACAATAGACCATCTCCACCAACAGCCACAACTGCAGCCCGATGATAGACACGTACATCATCACCTCAGATAAGATGGACGCCATGCCGCGTGTAGCTAGGAGTAAGTGAGATCAAATTCAGTGGAGTTCAGTCTTTCACATTTCCATATAATCCTTACCACCACATCTAATCAGACTTATTCTGAATTACTCCTCTTAATATTATGATCAAACACTGATAGAAGGAATCTTAAAGTACGTTCTGAACATATTTGTGCGGGTTTCAGTACTCAGAGTCAGTATTTCGTAAGACAGACACATCTGTAGTGACATCAGGGCTGATACAGACTCTGATTGAATTATCACCGTCAGCATTTGTGACAAGACGGCTTCTGTCCCAGTGGACAGACAAGTTCTCAGCGGAAGCGTCAAACTGAACATGTGGCCCCTCAGATTCCTCAGAAGTTGATTTTGAGAGTAGTTTCCAACAAAAAAAATACGATTTGATCACTTTACATTGTATTGAAAGGGGAAAGTGTTAAGGCCATTGCACACCGAGTCCGAAATTCGCATCCGAAATTTTCGCACGTTAAAAAAAAAAAATTCGACCTCACGTTATGTCAGTCACGCTTGCACACCGCCTCCGAAACTTTCGTCCGTCATAAAATTAATCGGATCGGGTTCGATTTTCTGCGTTTTTCGCATCCAGAGCCAGCATTTTGAAAGGTCTTTTGACAATTCAGGGCCGGGGGGGGAGCTCGTCCTCAAATCATTGCACATATGCGCCGTGCTTTCAGTTTCGGTTTTCAATTCGATCAAGTGTAAGTTCTCTTCTATTGGATTATGAAATTAATAAACCTCCCCTTTCAATCAGATTGAAATTTAGGATCGAATAAGGTGTGATTGAGAAAAAATCATCCTCACTGCTTGACGAATCCATTTGGTATTTTTGCGTTTTTTTCCCGCAAAGGTTTAATAAATACGCAACGGACTCGGTGTGCAAGGTTTCTATGCGTGACGAATTTTTAGGCTGACGAACACGAAAATACGCATACGAATATTTCGTACTCAGTGTGCAATGGCAGAAATACTCTACACTTTTCCCTCAAACTACAAAAGGAGATTTTCCCATGTGATCGCTGGCTGTCAAAATGTTTATAATTGTATATTACAAATGCACATATACTAAATGGATTTGTCATTTTTATTAGTTTTTCAAATTTTTTTTTCAGTTCTAGTAGCTTCAGTGTTTCAACAAACATTTTATTTTTGATCAGTTTTTCATACATTTGTATTTTATTTGATCTCAGCTTAATTTTAATTGACAAAAATGATATATAATAGTTTTATTTAACAAAAGCGACACTGTTGCCTGAAAATGGATCCTGATCAGCATCTTAAGGCCACGTTTACACAAAGCGAAACGAATATATTTCCCCCCTCTCCGTTACACACCTGCATAAATACGCCGTCGAGCGCCATCATAACTATACCAAACCTATTGGCGGCAGTGTTGAGGTTAAGGATAAAGCCTTACCTAAAACGAACCTAAAACGCTGTTTCTCCCAGTTCACACGACAACACATAACCGCCGTTTTCAGAAATCTCCACTTTGGCCGGAGTTTTTAGAAATAATTGTTTTCTGTGATAAAAACGGGGTTTTCGTGTAAACGAGAAGCCAATCCGCAGGGAAATATCTGCGTTTTCCCTTCGTGTAAACGGGGCCTTAGTAATTTGTAATTTACGTTTTGATTATTCTGTTTCCTGTTTTCCTCCTGTCATGTTTTATCTTGCCTAGAGCCAGGGCTGGCAAAAATAAGAAACACTTTTCCTCATATAACACACTATGATTATTGGTGCTATGTCAATCGACATTATAAATACTGCAAATATTGAGAAAAAAAATGCAAATATCTCAAATAAAATGCATTAGACTCTTAAACATCCTTGCTTTCAAAACAGAAAGCATTTGACGAGTCAAGGACACAGATAATGAAAGCCCTGGTGCTACTGCTATGAAACACTTTGCTTTCAGGGCCATGAAAAGGCAATGAGAGTGTCCTTGCTTTTGAGATTTTTAAGGCATTTCTATTCAGTGTTGACTCATGAACACACACTTGTGTTTTTTGGCTGCATTGCAGAAGATTGTGTGTGTTGTGTTCTATCAGGCCAATGATGTTATAACCCTCTAACTCTGATTTGTGCCTGCATAAGTCACATTTGCATTTGTTTCCTCTCCCTGTAAATTTCATTTTCTTTTAAGTGACATACCATGGCCCACTACGTTGAGGGTGATAAACTTGACGGTGGTGGTGCGGTACTCATAATAGGGGAAGATGAGCATGCGGTCGAAAAGGCATCGATAGGTGCCGGTGTCGTTGAAGGTGACGTTGAGGATGTAAATTGAGCCGTCTTCCACATCATACGTTTTTTTACTGCCATCCCAGGCCAGGCGGTCGTCGAAGTGGTCATCCAGTATGTAGCTTGACATTTCTGCATAACTGTAGATCTAATCGTAAGAAATAAGAGTGAGACCTCTATGGCAAATAACCAGTGTGAAGTACACAATATTTGATTCAGCACTCAAACCACTCGTATTTGAGGCGTGGTTTACGAATGTCTATCAAATGCGCCTGTACGTAGCTCATAGCCAATCGTTTCAATTATACCAGATGACGTATGTAGAGCGAAAGAAATTAGACGAGGAAGAATACGATTGGTCAGAGATTTATTTGCGTTCTAATCTAAACTACTTAGAACAATGTCCAAGGCTGCATCGAATGGTAACTTCGCGTCTATAGGCATAAACAAACTGCTTCAGTGTGTCACATAGACGCCGTCATCGTCTTAATGCTCCCTCCCCGTTCTGTGATTGGTTATGAGGCGAAAATTTGGTCAATGATACTGATATCCAGACTACCTAGCAGCGTGAATAAAATCGCACTGCACAAAGGCAGTATGGGGAAACCCAGGCTAAACATCTATAGGAAATAAAAAAAAAAAGGTTTTGAGTTTAAGTCTGGTTTAAATCAGCTCATCATAGGCTAGATTTTGGTCTTAGTAGTCAAATCTGCCACAAGCCACAGTGATAAAATTAAAATTAGCGTCCAACAGCAATTATAAGTAAAATCGAATACATTATGACATTTATACCTTATTACATTTAAATGTTGATTTTAAAAATCCTTATCCTGTATGAATATCTGGAGAGGTCATGGAAATGAAGATATTGCAGGACATAATTATGCTCTGCATTACTTTAAATACGCCAATCATTTAACATTTTAATTGAACTATTAAAATATAAATAAAAATATATAAATATTAAACAGTCTCTCATTCTCTTTCATTCTTGCATAAGAAATATAATTCTGGTAATATTCTATGCTAAACTAACTCACACAAATGACTATGGCATAATACACAAAGAAGCTTGTGTGTAACGTCTATTTGGTAGCTAGTAGCTCTAATGGCCTTCCTTACCCTCCTCATAAACACACTCACAGTAAAGTGTTCTGTAATGTGAAGTAATTCCCTTCTGGCCACTAAGATGCTCATAAATAAAGCATGATAGTGTTCTTGCATGAAAAATGCAGCATTCTCAAATATGCTTTGGGGTTTGTGGTGTTTTATTATTATACCATAATGGTAAATTATGAAATAATTAAGTTGCATTGATTCCTGTGTGCATGTCAGTACACACCCACACAGCTGTGCTAGAGATGTAAAAAGGCATCTGCGCATTAATTTAGGCAGGGCTCGACATTTAGTCCGGGACAAGTGGATTTTTTGTAGGACAAGTAGGCTAGAAGAGAAAATTAGTTGTCCGACCGGCAAAATAAAATACCATGTTACTTCACGTTATGTGCCACTCGTTACGTCTATTTTACAGATTTAATTTTACCGATTTGAAACTAACAAATTTTTCGCGCTGCCTGTGAATGTCCTGAATGTGATTCACAGAAAGACGCGCGCATGCACAGACCCCGCGCGCCAGAAGTTATCTTTCGCGCTTGAACGAACATCAACAACACACACAATTAAGCCAAAATGTCATTTGTCGAGTATCTTCATAACATAAGAGCAGTCTTATGATGGACATAAAGAGTTGTTGTGACTCGTGAGAGAATGAGGCCCGTGTGAGATCCGCGTCTCTGTCCACAGCGGCTCCTCTTAAAGGGCCAGCTACCAATAAAGCGTTCTGTCAGTAAAGTTAATGAAACAACAAAGGGAACAGAGAAAATTACTCACTGCTCTTGACTAAAGAACTTGTGTAGCTTTAATAAATAGTAGTCTATATATAATTTATAATTTATGCAGCGCAGACTGTTTGATAACTTTAATCAATTTCTGTATATGTCCTACCTGTTAGACAGTTAGACAATTTTTATCCAGACATCAATGGCTTATTGATCATTATAGGTGTTCTCAATCATTTAATTGTTATTGCTAATTTCAATCGCATATCACAACCGCAATATTGACCTCAATAATCGTAATATGACATTTTCCCCAAATCGTGCAGCCCTAGATAAAATTATAAATCTTTACCCGGACAAGTGACTTTTGTGCATGGACAAGTGAAACATAAATTTGCTTGTGCCTCAAAAAGTGCCTCAAAAAGTTAATGTCAAGCCCTGATTTAGGTAATGCGTTGTACGGAGGGAGCAACATCTGTCTCTCCAACACGTGAGGTCAAGCTGTGTTTGGTCTCATACTCACGTGTGTAAATTCACTCTCGCCTTTGGCCATGAACCACCAGTCCACAGTGGCAGAGGCCGGCACTTCCCCTCTCATCTTGCATGAGATGCAGCTCAATTTGAAGCCTTGACCCGCCACCGCCTCTGTGTCGGAGTCCACCTCCACACACGCCCCGTGGCAGAGCCAAACTACAGGAAGAGGAAGACATTCAGTGACAGAAACAGACACATCTGCTTCAGTTCGCAAAAAGCTCTTTTTATTCTTAGTGATGCCCAATTTTTGGTTTTGAGCTGACAGGCATTAGCATGTTTAAATCTTGTTTTAATCTTATTTTTTTTTTCCTTTTGCATGCAAAAGGGGTGGGGGATTATGCATGATGGCATTTTTTTAGTTCAAGGCAGAGCATTTTCTTGCAAGCTTTATTTCCACTCATGACCGATTGTGCAGTTGAAATAGTCCTAATTAACGGCATCAAAATTCTTTGAGGGGAAATAAATGGTTTGTTATGAACTGTGATCCTTTTTGAGTCATTAATCTACTATCATATATAGATGCAAGTCTCTATATATGCCTAGAAGTCGCAAACACTTGCAGAAAGGAACACACCTGATATTCCAAGTGTCTTTCTCTCACACTTCACCCTGCTGTTCCCTCAGAGACATCTGTATCGCTCTCAACCAATGATCTTTTTGCAATTCTGACCTCTGGAGAAGTATTTATACGTGTGCAATGAGATGAGGGACAAGAAACATTGCACACACATCAATTTACATTGACTACAGTCCTGCTGTTTCGATTTTGTACTGTAATAATATTCAGGAAAACAACATTTATCATTTGCTTTTGATTGCGAAGAGAAAAGGAGGAAGGATGAAAAAGTAAAAATTGGTGCCACCCCAACTGGAAGACAAGAGAAGGAAGAAAACAAGGGGGAAAGAGGGAAACAGAGTTAAACGTTTTCAGTCTTACATCCATCACATCACTGATTATAATTATTATTACAGATTATTGATTTATTGCCTGCGGAGAGGAAGAAAAAGGGTAGATTGGAGAGGAAAAACAATGATCAATACAGAAATACTTCAGTTTCAGAGGAAAGGGGAGGAAGGGTCAAATCACATCATGCTGACACATTACTAAGCAAGCCAATAAATGGCTGACATTTCAATTCTATACCATGTCTAATTAACATTAAACTCATTTTAATGAGGTATCATGATGTAATGTACATGTGGACAATGGATTTCAATTTTGAAAGATTCCACTTATTATTGTGTTTAACTATTATCTTTAAAGTCAGATCTTTTCATTTATTTTGATTTGTGCATCCGAGTGTAACGGGTTATTAAAAAAGAAAAAAGAAATGTAGGACAGGGACTGTGTTCTATGCATCGGTTGATTTGCATACTTCACAATAAGATTAATAACATGCATTTGCAATCTGGGGGGGGGGGTTTTCTGAGGACATCAAAGGACTTTATAAAGGGTGGGAGGAAAGGAGACCTCTCCCTTTCTCTTTAAAAGCCAAGGACGGACAGTATGTACGCAATAAGCTGACCTCAGACATGTCAAAAACTGCCGGCTAAACTTCTGTCAGTGTCACTGCGGGGAAAGGGTCATTACATAACCCCTTTTCACAGAGATTACATTATGCAACTTATTCCAGATTAGACTGCACAATGCCTGCTTAATCCCAGGATTGAATTAATGCGCTAAAAAGTAGAATTAAACAATTTTTACAATTGCTTTTTTGGACGGAAACGCTTTTATCCAAAGCAATTTGCACTGCATTCAAGTTAAACATTTAATCAGTTATTCATTTCTTGGGAATTGAACCCATGACCTTGATTTCTTTGCACCATGTTCAACTGTTTGAGCAACAGAAACACTGTGGTGCAATGAAAGATTCAAGGGAAAGAGAAGAAAAAGCCTTTTGAGAGCTGATTCAGGCTTTCTATGTGTAAACAAGACGCCGAGGACAGTCTAAATCTGTATAGCAGTGACATATACACTCTGGCCTCTTGGGAAATGGCAAAGACCTGTGACGAACACTGAGCCCCAGGGTGGAGACTGTCCATAGAAACAAAAGCTCTTTGATACATCGCCCAATGTGTGACATGATGTTGGCCAGTGATCTAACAATCCACATATTCTCATCTCCGTCCACTCGTCTTTAATCTAATCTCTAAAATGAATCTACAATGAATGATATTGTTGGTGACCCCCTAGTTGATGGTGAATACAAACGCCAGTGATATTTCCTCAGGCGACCAGATCTCAAGACAAAGCCTCTTCTTTTTTAGCCTTAAGACACTGGGATTCTCACAATTGGTTCTTGATGCTGGGATGGCTGCAATTTCCATTAAGAAGAACCAGTAAGAGACAGTCCTTCATATAATATGTCCTTGTTCACCCTTGCCCAGATTTAGCATTCACGCGCTCTCCGTCCTCCCCCATCGCCTCATCCTCTTTCCGACACACCTTTCCCCACATGCACATCAGTTTTCCACAGTGCCAGACCTGTACGTGCATGAAACCTGCGTTCTGAAGGAGCATGACAGTGCTGGATTCTGCTGAGAAAACAAAGCCCCTGCTCCTCATTGGTTTGCCTGTTTCTAGGCCACTGTTTTCAACCTCTGTTAAACTATTAATCGCCATCTTCTCCCCCAAGCCTTTCTAGGACATACAAATAGGTCTAATCAGCAAAATAGCCTTCCTGTCTGAGTGCTCAGCGGTGCTGTCTTGACTGTTGGCCAGCAGATCTATCATAGATTGCGTGATCAGCAAGACACACTTGTTAAATCATATTAAAATATATTTGGCTTTTATTTATTTTTGTCATATGGTTTTGTTATTTTTCAAAATGCATTAAAATTAAAATTTGAGTCGATATGATATGATAAGCTGATAATTATTTCCATAAATAATAAATTACCTGTACTAAATTTCTGTCTATGTGTGTGTGTATGTATATATATATATATATATATATATATATTTATACACACACTAAAACATAATATATAAAAAAACACATTAATTTAGGTGTCAAACGTTTTAATGTACAGTATGAAAAATGGATATTCATTTTGAGATTTTACATGTATCAGTGTTATTAAATTATTAATGTCTTTAAAGGTTGACTCCCAGTTTAACTATATTTTAAATAGTTTAAATGAGCATTAGATGATGAAAAAAGTAATCTAAATGTAAGAATAGATGCAAACCAACAATATTTCAATATTCAACATATACCATAAAAAAACTAACACAGACATATATGGCATCATAGTTTGCAATTTGCATCCTTATTAGAAACTACAAAAGCATTGCAGATCTCACTCACTCTGTGAATGTATTTCAATCCAGACTAATTTTCTGCCAATGTTTCTTAGTTGCATCCACCTCTCACTGCTTAACTCCACATTTCCTTGAGAACTACTGAACACTCGCTGCCAGCCGAGCTAATCAATCATCATCATCAGTGTTCACAAACATGTGTACATCTAAACATACATTAACAATTACAGCGCAGTCCAGCACTAAGCCAGACAGTCTAAACTTACACTAATGGCACTTCTGGAGTATTGTGTTTAGAGCAGGATATGATACAGCTGTTAAACAGCCGGAGAAACTGTATATAAAAATGAAAATGTATATATTTAAGAACAATTTGTTATTAATATATCAAATATTTATATTTATGTATAATATAAACTTTGTATAAATATATATATAAAGTATATAGAATATACAAATATTTCTTAAATATATACATGCATGTGTGTGTATTTATATATACAAAATAATTATACACACTACACACACATATATTATGTAAACACAAACTTTTATTTTGGATGCGATTAATCGCGATTAATCGTTTCACAGCCCTATTGTGGGCCATGCACTGTGAGTGCTTTAATGACTCATTGGTGCCTCATAATTATTCATGAGACTGAGAAGGCACTTTCTCTTAATTATTCATGACACCATGTGGATCTTTCCAATGACAGACATGTCAAACTGTGATATCGCGCAGTAGATATGCATTGCATATCTTTCCCCGCAATGCTACTGCCAGGCCTAGACTCTGGCTGCGGTTGGTTGGCCGTCAACCACTGACACAACTAAAATGTGTGTAGCAAGCATTTTTGTAGTGAGAGAGCTTTGAGAACTGGAGAATGGTGGGCTTCGGCCTTGTTCACCACTTCGAGTTGCGTCTTGCGAGTGATGCGGTATGTAAGTATGCATGTAAACACAAACTTTATTTTGAATGCGATTAATCGCGATTAATCGTTTCACAACCCTAATTTAAACTGTGTGTAGCAAGCATTTTTGTAGTGAGAGAGCTTTGAGAACTGGAGAATTATGGTGGGCTTCGGCCTTGTTCACCACTCCGAGTTGCGTCTTGTGAGTGATGCGGTATGTAAGTGCGTATGTAAACACAAACTTTAATTTTTGATGCGATTAATCGTGATTATCGTTTCACAACCCTAATTTAAACTGTGTGTAGCAAGCATTTTTGTAGTGAGAGAGCTTTGAGAACTGGAGAATGGTGGGCTTCGGCCTTGTTCACCACTTCGAGTTGCGTCTTGCGAGTGATGCGGTATGTAAGTACGTATGTAAACACAAACTTTTATTTTGGATGCGATTAATCGCGATTAATCGTTTCACAGCCCTAGCCCACAATGAAGATTTTAAACGTGGAAGACAAAAATAGCGGTGAAAAAAACCCCAAAAATTTACCAATTCCCCCCTACTATATTAAATCTAACAGATGCTAACACTGTCTTCAATGGTGTTCAACACACATACCTCAGTTAAAATCTCAGAAAAATTGGGTTTAGGGTTTCATGACCCTTTAAAGCCCCTTTTCCTTGGTGATTCTATACTTACTATACCAAAAAGGTGTTACACAAGTTCTCCTTTTGAGCTTTCTCCTTTTCTTATTTTAACCTTCTGTTCCAAATTTACTCCTTTTCTAGAATTAAGGAAATATGAAGCAATTTTTAGAGTGAGTTTCTCTGGATAAGAGGATCTGCTAAATGCTTTGAATAGTAGATAGGCAATTTAGTGAAATAAAGTGCAGTTCATTATACAAAAAGATGAAATTGACAAATGTGACTTAAAGAGTGTGTCATTTAGTTACAATACTTCAAGAGAATTAGCATATGAAATAAAAAAGACTTTTAACCATTTAAGCAACTGATAAGTTGTCGGTTCATAACCTGCTAGTACAGGGTATACGGAACACATATTCTCATAATGGGTGTCCCGACACAAATCCTCACTGCTTAAACTAGGACATCTATCACTGAGGCATAACTGAGAACACCTGTTCCCAGCGGGGAGCGATTTATTTCAATCACTTCCCTCCTTACAGTCACAGACGAAAGATATTCAGGCTATGAACAAAGCACTGACAGCCACATATTTTGAACACCCACCATAAAACCTAGCATTCAAGAATCACAACACAAAACAGAGAATTCACGACCTACTGGAAGATAATAACAGCTTGTAACAGAAGCAACCGAGCTTGGACAAGAGCAATATTTCTGTCTGGACAACCTCCATTTTAACATCAACACATGCTCTACTAAAAGTGACAGCTGGTTTGGGTTTTTACTCAACAATCCGGAAACCCCAAAACCCATTAACACAACCACTTTAAACTAAGACTCAATAAACAAAAAGCAAAGACGTACTATTTCTGGACTGGTGCTAAATTGTCCTGATTAGGTCAGCAAGAAATTAAAATTTCAGTTGCATTATATTTTAACATCTAATAAAATAATTCATTACAAAAAGTACATGAGATAATTCTTGTGATAACGATAAAGTGATTTATATATATATTATATTATTTATATTATTAACATACAGAATTATTTGAATATATATATATATACTATATTAAATTATACTTTATATAGGCTATACACTATTTACTGTACATAGTAAACAGAATATTAAATGTTTATATACAAGCACATGCAATATATAAATAGACATATAATTAAAAATGAATAATAATAAGAATAAATGTGTATCTATATGTATATTGTGGATTATCTTTACTATAGTGTATATAGTGTTATAGTATCCATCTAACTATCTATTAAAACACTTTAAATACTATAAAAATACTAATATAAACAAATGAGAGCAGCAGATACACTTTAGCTTGAAAGCGGATTCCTGCTGTACATGTACCTGCAGTTTTATCATGGCCTGAGTGACACAGATAAAGGGTGTGAGGCTTGAAATGTGTGTCTCAAATGTTTCAAAGTGCACTTAAGACACTCACCGTGTGATAAACACAGCAGCACAGGGACCCGCAGAAGTCGCACTGCAGACATCTTCACAGGTGATAGCCACAGCTTTCTGAGTCGTGCTTCTGTCTTTCACACACACACACACACACACACACACACACAGACACACACAGACCCAAAACAGGCTCAAACTGAAGGGCAGGAGGTCTCGGCAAGTAGTCCACAATGAGACAGGAGCTCTGCAAAGGAAATGTGTCCCCTGGATCTGTGAATTGATGAGCTTGCCAGAGTGGAAAACGATGATGTTTTCCTCCTGTCTTGTCGGGTGGGAGATGAGTGTTTTGATGAGGTGCAAGGGAGTCCAGTAAGGGAGTATCAGAGATGTGACGCCGCCCTCTGTGCGGAAAATCGATCCAACAAGTCCAGAGTATTTAGTTACTCCATGAAAGAAAAAAGAGATGAGATGCCACACTCGAGTTTCAGTCAGTAACGGTTCTTCTTGACGTATATTTAAGTGATTAAATATTCTGGTGAATATCTGATCTGATTTCTAAAATATATAGAGATATTCACTAAACAACAAAGAGTTCTTGTTTTCTTGACAGTGGAAGACTTGGAGCTGAGGTTGTGATTAGTTTTGAATGATAACTGTGTCCAGATAATGGAAGACAAGTGACATTAACTAAGAGTTTTGTGTTATACAGTTATCAGTTGACTTGACCTGAGGAGAAAAACATTTGAAGTGATCCAATCTTTGCCACAATGAGTTTAAAATGGACAGTGGATCTCCTTAATGATTATTCAGACATTCCTTCTACACTAAATTATATGTATTGCTTATGTATTTTGTGAATTATTGCTTATGTAAATGAGTGAATTAGAGAATATATCTCTTAGGATCTTGACCTTATCTTGAAGTTATAGGATTTTTAGACAATTATGAATAGGAAAAATCAGCTAAATGTATGAAATGAGGTAATTTAGCTAACATTGCACTGTAGCCTACATAAAATATCAACAGATTTAGCAGGCTGCCTATTCAATACTTGGTTTAATGTTTGTCTTTCTCTCATTTAAGCAAATCCATGTGAAGTTGCTAACACATTTAAGAAATGGTTACTATGATTGGATGTAGTTACTAGTTATGCTCATGTTACTTTTGCCAAATAGTCTGTATTTCCAAATGTCAAACATCAAGGCATATTTTAACAGCGCGTTATGATGATCACCAACATATGCTAATAATAGTACATAATTCATGGGTCTAGCGTTACATTACATATAAATGAATAAAAAATGATTTCAAATACACTCTCTTTAGTCTTTTGAATAATATAATATTCAGTGGGTACAACGCTGGCGTTGTCCTTTTTCGTATTATCGGCTGATGCAAATGCCAACAACGTCGATGGCGTTTCACCTGTCAAGTCAACAATAATAAACGTGACCTTAGGGTGCTTTTGAGGTTTCTATATCTCTCAGCCTACCGTGTCCGATTACCACCTGTATTTAGTCAAAACAACATTCCTTCCCCACGTTTAGTCTTCATTCAGCGGGATACGATCCCGAAAAAACGGCTTCTCCGTGGATGAAGTCGCTCGCGCGGTTAAATCAATCCGTTGGTCACGTCACGCGAGGTGTTTTAGAGTCACGGAAATTAAACTGTTATAAATGTTTGGTCTTGAAATTATGATATGCACAAAATAATCCTTTTGGACCGGAGAATCGCACGTTAAGCCCAAACGTGGTGCGTTCATTGACGATAGCTGCTGTATTGGAAGATGCGGCATTTGGGATAGGCGAGGAGTGACTTGGAGGTGAGCAAGGATGGGGGAGGGATATGCAGATGCATTGCAGTAGAGTGGGATGAATGGGAAGGATGGAAAGCATGATTTCTGGGGATATAATTTCAAGTTAACGTAAATAGATGCTTTATCGTCCCATAGTTAATTCATTCATATCTTAAATCAGTAATTTGGGAGGAATCTCATCACGTTAATATGAAGCAGCATCTCTGCCCGAAATCAACCTCCCATCAAGCTTTTAAAGGGGAGCACTACTTCAAGATGTATGAAGGGTAGGCCTATATCTACATTCTAAAATGCACAACGTGGCTTATGTAGGCTCCTATAAACAGCGACACTAGAATACCAAATTCAGTACAGACCATTGATGATGCATTGCATACTACCATAGGCAACCAGATGCACTCAGAATATGAAGGCAACACGTTTTAGAATGGCTTTCTGAAACCATAACTTTGTGTGATAAGAAACAGGGCTGCGTTTCCCAAAAGCATCGTAAGCCTAAGTTGATCGTAAAAACGATCGTACGAATGATATTATGTTCTGTTTCCCAAAAGCACTTGAAAATCTTCGTAGAACTACGAGTGCTCTGGATTAATCGTACATCCCCAAGTGCATTGTAAGAAGACAGAGTTATGAGGTCACCTGCAGGACAACCAGCAGATTACACTTTTATCTAGATTTAATAGATTACACTGCAACGTAAGTAGCCTATAATATATAGGTTTTGATTGTACACTTTGTTGTACTCGTGTTTTGTTTAAATTAATAAATTAAATAATTAAAAGGGGAAGGAAAAAATAGAAATACACATCTAAATTAAACGAATGGAAAAAAAAAATCATGAAATAAGTAATCTGGGAAATATGCTTTAAAGACCGGGCAACATAGGGATGAATTAAAAAAAATCTGTCTTGCTGACGTGCACGAAAACCAGCTATAATTGGGCATTTCTCGCAGACCTCCTACACGGTTGCAGTAGTTTGCAATGTGACATGTCCTTCCAGAGGTTTTGCTTTTCCTTATTTGTGTCCTTTAAATCTGTTAAAAAATAAAATCTTGGGTAGAGAGATACCTCTCTACTTTATTATTTTCCAAAAAATGCGTTTGTATTGAACACTCCTTTTTCTACTGAATGTTTTCATATCTTATAACCAAAACACTGGCAGATATTTTTTTTTAAATTAATAGCTAGCCTTACACACTTCTAATAGGTATATATATGTTATCTTTTGCAATATTAATATATCTAACAAATATGGTAGCCTATCATTATATATATGAAAGGTTGTTGGTCCAAGTTAAGAAGGGAGAATCCAGGGTTTAATGTTACTCTAAATAGAGTGTCCTTTAGGACCCGGTGATTATTGACGGAACTTCACATATATTCTGCGACGTGACGTCAGTTGCTGCAAGCAAACATGGAGGACGGCGGAGTGATGGTTGAGAAACCTCAGGTGAGATGTTATGTTGTGTTTTTAAAGCATTTTACGAAGACGGGACTGGCCTATACATCATTATTATCTTCAAAAATTTCTCTTCTATGCAAACAAAAAATACATATAACAAGAACACAACTCTAAAGCTTAAAATAAACAGTGAAAAGATGCCGATTCATTCAGCTTGCCGCAAATGCTCAGTCATGCCATTCTCTGACAGCGGCTAACGTTAGCATGTGTTCTCACGTTAATTTACAGAAGAGTAATGCTCACTACGAACCTGTCAAATTTACTTCTTTGATCATATTTAAGCTGTATATGATTATTATGAAAAGATTTCTTCATTTGTTCACAGCCACAGAACATTACATCGGTTAACCTATTAGGTTAGCTATGTAGCATAGCAGTTGTATTTGTCATTGTATTAACATCTTAAGGACTGTTTTTTTTAACAAACCTTATATAATGCTTAACATAACTTTAGTGCATGTACTTTCACATTTGAATATGTATGAATAAATAAGTAATTGATCTGCTTCTTGTTGCTCATTATAACAGTTTGAATTAGCGGTAATTTATGATCTGTTATGCATGTTATCTTAATTATGCGTGATAAATGTTTATTTTTATTATTGTAAATTAATGTTATTAATAAAATAATATTTAAAAAGGCCAGAGGCTTCATAATAATGATAATTATTCATATAAGTAATGGAAATGGCAGATATTCACTGGGGGATGCTAGTTGAGGACATATTTACAATTTTTGAACCACAGATGCAGAAAATCCCACTATTTTGTGTATGAAATTTACCTAGCATTTGGAGGCTTTTACACCGACACTCCTTTGTTTGTGTTAATTGAGTATTATGAAATATAGCTTTTATATCTACATCTTTGTGATCTTCTTTTCACTACAGGAGGATGTGCCGGCCCTGCTGAATTCAAGGCCCCAGACCGGCTTGTCTTTCTTGGCCCCTGAACCAGAAGATCTGGAGGACCTTTACAGCAGATATAAGGTTTGTATGTTTTTTTTTTCTTTGCTTTTTTTTGTGTGAGTGTGTGTAATTGACTTTGTACTTGTCTTTCACAATATTGTCCATTGAGTACTGACACTTTCCCACTTGAGACATAATCACCAATGTTAATTGGCCTTCATTTCCACACTGTAGAAGTTGCAGCAGGAGCTGGAGTTCCTGGAGGTGCAGGAGGAATACATTAAAGACGAACAGAAGAACCTGAAAAAGGAGTTTCTTCATGCCCAAGAGGAGGTGAAGAGGATACAGAGCATCCCTCTGGTCATTGGACAGTTCCTAGAAGCAGTCGACCAGAATACTGCCATTGTGGGTTCGACCACAGGTAAAAGGACTGATTTTTATGTAATAGTAATAATTACAGTATCATCCATAGACTTTAATTTACTCTATCTTAAAATGGTTTTAACATGTACTGTATGATGTAATTTAAAATGTATACCTTGATATTGAATGCACTGAAAAGTTTAGTTCACACCAAGGACGATAACTGTTAGAATAAAGATATTTAGTTCTAAAATGTATTCAAAATATAAAAGAATAGCAGAGTAAATAAATACCACAACTGTAAAGAGGACGGCACAAAGAAACAATATCGTCGGAATCTCTTTCAGAATATTTTTTTCCAACTGATGAACAATAAAAATATTGCCAGCCAATCAGAATCCATCCAGTTTTTGAAGAGCTTAAGCATTTTCATTGGCAGATAACAAAACTGCAGAGTGCACTAAAGGTCCGGATACACTTCAAGTGAAATTCGAGCAAAATCAGGCCAAAACGAAATTCATTTTAAGAGTCGAAACAGATTTCCAAAGTGAACTTTCTAGAAAATTTCGCTCCTGCTGGTAAACCCCTTCAAACCATTGACGTAGACAGCTGTGGCTCTTGCCCTCAGCCGCCTTTGACGTGGAAATCTTCGTAGTTGCCATCACTGAAGTTGTAATTCTAATTGAAAGAGACGCAGGCAATGTTTTTTCATGTGTAATACCACTTGCTCTAAACTAAAGAAATACATTGTATAAAATGGTAAATGAAGAAACTGGAGTGCCAATTTGCAGAGCTTGTGCAAACATGATCAGATACTTTCTTAGTTATTTTTTTACTTGCCACTAACATTGAGAGGAAAACTTTCTGCATATGTATATTTAGATATTCATCTTAATGGTGCTCTCAACAATGTGGGTGGCATCAGGATGTTCGCTAAGTATATGTATTTTGAACTTAAGAAGAATGAAAAAGAACTTATATCTGGGCCTTAAGAATAAACTGAACGATTTCATCTGCTGGTGTCGACGCTAATGTAGTTATTGTTATAGTTATCATCTTTATAGTTAACTATAGGCCTTAAGTTGCTTGAATAAAATAATCTGTCAAATGCTTAAAGCTACACTGTGTAACTCTTTGAGTTTATTCTTAGCTAAAAACACTTAGTTCTTTCAAAAATATTTGTGCTCATTAATGTATATTTACTTCGTTCAAGTACTAAAGTATTCTCGTGAGTGTATAATATGCCATTGAAAATACATACGGGTAAGGGGTTCTAATGTCGGTCGCCATGTTGTCCCTCCATCTTGAAAGTACGTTAGTCAAAAAGGGAAATACCCGATAATTCAAGCTTCGCCTTTCACGTTTACGTTTGAGTTAACACTCATGGACGAGGTCGAACTGGAAGCCATGTTAATCTTGGACTACATTGGCCACCGTAGGAGTTAAAACGAAATCGGAATTGAGAGGAAACAGAAACTAATATTCACTGGATGGTCATATACCTTTTCACCACTAGATGGGGGTAAAAATCACACAGTGTAGCTTTAAGTGTAAATTTGACATTTTATGACATTGTATATGTTTGTCTTTTTTTTTTTTATTCCTTCAGGGTCCAATTATTATGTTCGGATTCTGAGCACAATTGACAGAGAGCTGCTGAAGCCCAATGCCTCCGTTGCGCTGCACAAGCACAGCAATGCTCTGGTGGACGTTCTGCCTCCAGAGGCTGACAGCAGCATCATGATGCTCACTTCCGGTATCAAACAGTTACTCATTTATCCTGTATTATCATATTCATTTCCCACTTCTGAGTCAGTTGCTCCTCTGTTTTACTTTTAATGCGCTTCCTCTCTACCTGACCCTAGATCAGAAGCCAGATGTGATGTACGCAGACATCGGAGGAATGGACATCCAGAAACAGGAAGTGAGGGAGGCCGTGGAGCTCCCTCTCACACATTTTGAGCTCTATAAACAGGTTAGTATGTGCATTCAAGTGCTTGTGGAAAACAAATGGGTGTGTGGGAGTTTTGTTTGTCCACTCACTTTCTGCTGTTGTTCTCAGATTGGTATTGACCCACCTAGAGGAGTGCTCATGTACGGCCCACCTGGCTGCGGCAAGACTATGTTGGCAAAGGCTGTGGCTCACCACACTACAGGTAGACTCAGTTGTGGTTAGAGGCTGTCAATAACTGCTTTTCCACCGTCAGGCCAACTACAGAGAAACAGGCAAGTCAGTGACCAGTCCATTACACATAATCTACTAG